TTTATTGGCATCAGTGTCACTTTAAGGGGACTGGTATTGGTAGGTTACTGGTATCGGAATATTTAAACAATACCTAGCCCTTGTCTGAAGTCAAGTCTTAGTTTTGAGTTCAACAACTTTGTCCTTTGTCTGGGGGTGACGTTAAAGTTTGAAAGGATGCGTCAGTAATGGAGAAACATCAACAATGAACTGGTTGGATGACAAGCTGCAGGTCAGAAGTGGTTGCTGTTTGGGTGACGTCAAACCTCCTACAGGTTACCAAGGTGAGCAACAACTTTTACTGTGCCATCCTGATGTACCACTGCATCACAAGCAGGCTTGGAGGTTAGCACCGCCCTCCAGCCAAGTGCTGGTAAAACGTGCAAGTGGCTGCTAGATTTTCTTCACTCATCAGCCATAAAAAACAACAATAATCTACTGAGTGGCCGGTATATATTGGAATCGACAAGAAAGTTAGTTACAACCCCGATCACAAGCTTGTATTACTGTTGCTCAAAGCACAGCACAGGTAGCTCAAGAATATAAAAACTTAGAAAATCATGTACTGTCTCTGCTTTGCATTACTGCTGCCAAAATAGTTGATTCATAGATGCATATCGTTTCTGAATATTTGAAACAGTTTCAACCATTTCCCACTTATTATTAATGCCTACTATGGTAAATTTGCTGGTCTCTGCTACCAACCAAGAAGAGAAAAGTCGCTGTTGTCATGTTATAGCTTCGTTATATTTACCTTTTGTTAAAATTTAAAATGTTATGCCCTCAAAGTAAATTTTTCCCTTAAGTATCGAATAGATTATTTTAAAGGTAGTGTAATGAAGTTAGAAATTCCAGTATCGTGACACTACTTTGCATGACACCACAGCTTTTCCACAACAGTTTACGTCCCTCTTTTAACCCATTAGCAACTCTTTTGAGCTCAAACCACATCAGGCACCATAAACATATGAAAGGCTCTTGACAGGACCTTGTGGGTTTGCACACAGACCCATTTCAAAAGGGGCCAGCAGCACGCAGAGCTTTGTGCATCCTCCAGTATCTAAACAGTGTGGCTCTGCGCACAACATAATGGAACAGCAAGTCAAAAGAGTTGACAGTGAAACAAAAAGAGCTGCAATAACTTAGTGTTCTCAGTTAGCGCTGAGTACCAGACTGTCATGAGTTTGCAAGTCTGAGCACAAAGACTGAGGGAAGCAGGCGGAGGTCAGAAAACAGAAAATAAACCTGGCGATGACAGGGAGAAGCCAAGATGATGCAAGAAAAGAGAAAGAGAGGGACAGTCAAGAAGGAACTGATACGGGTTAGTCCTGCTGACCAAGGACATTAAAATTAAAATGTTTCCTGTCCTGGAAGTTTGAATTAGGTTTATGAGAATTAGCTTGCATTTCTTCAGAAAAAGGAGGGAAACTTCACATGAAAGCATCATACAACAGCTGCACAGTGTCTCCGCTCTGGAAGGATGAGACATCTTTGCTGTTACACCAAATGAGGAACAAATAAAAAAGAGGCTGGCAGCAACACACCATGTCAAATGATGTTTGACAGAGCCTTGCAGCTACAAGGCAGCAGTCCCAGGACAGCTTCACTGGTATTTAGCTTGGAGGTAACATCAGCACCCTGCATGTTATTAGTGTGGCCTGTTTACACTCAAAACTAGTAGCAACACATCAAGGCACTGTACAAACTGCTCAAATTTGAACAACTTCTTCAAAAACACGGTGGGAAAAAAAGTCATTATGGGGAACTTGGGTGAGAGATTTTTCTGAATAAACACACTTTAGACACGTCAACAGCCACAGAGGATGAGGACAGCAGTTTAAACACTGACAAATGACTGCTGATCATCAAAACATTACATACTTTCAATTAAATACTTTTAACGGGGTGATTTGCTGCTGGTACATGTACATTTACTTGTATAGCTCATTGTAGTATTAGTACTTTTTGGCTGTTTATAAGACTAAGTTGACAACTTGTGGCAAAAGTTTGGGCTGGTGAGGTAACAAGTACCTTTAACCCAGCACCATTGAATCTCCAGCATGAGAATACGTGTTATGAAAGGCAGTTTAGTGACTTTGTGAGGATTAGCAAGTGTAGTAATCACAGTGTTACCTTCCGTAAAGCTTGCACGAAGAGGCCTCTCCATTTGTGACTGTTCTCGTCACTTGAAAAGTCGTATATCTGCTGGGGCTGCATTGCTGTAGCGGCTCCTGGCGTTGCCGTGATCCGGGCTGAACTGTCAGCATCGGCCCCGGATAGATAGTCCTTGTGGGTGGGTCAGTCCAGGGCAGGCACGGCGGAAAAAGTCAACCAGTCTGGCTTGCAAATATGAAGAGTATCACAAAACCACACTGCAAGTCCGTAGTCGAGTCGGGTTAAAGAGCGAAAAACTAGCTACAACATAAAATAAGCACATGTAGCTATAAAGTTAACTCGCTAGCTTGGTGGCTAGTGAGGCTAGCCCGCTGCTGCTGCTGTAAACAGCGGCTAACTAAGAAGCTAACGGCTAATAACAATGTTGCTAAGTGTTATACTTGCTACTTGGGGTTCGCTTGAAAGCTTATAATAGGCACATTTAGTTCAACGTTAAGTCACGACATGGGAGCTCAGCTTGCCGCCAGCTAACTACAGCTACAAGTTACGTTTGGTTATTTGCTGCCTAAACACCTGTAACGTTAGCAGGCTAGCGTTAGCCGACTAGCTAGCTGGTGCTACAGGCTGCTGCTGGCCTTGATGCGCTCCCGAGTTTTATGTTGTGGCACACGACCCGTTCAGCTCCAAACAAGGCACACTTTCTCCTGCGCTGTTTGCTTCACGTTTAGGCATCTTTTTCCGGGGTGATCAGACGCTTAAAATCCAACGTAAATCCCCCAGAGAGCAGCGGTGGGTCCGAGGCATGTCTGCGGAGCGGGGCAGCTGAAGAGCAGTCGAGGTGTTTTTGGTTTGAGAAGTCGAAGATGTTCGTACCAACTCCGCTGCCTGTCTGTCTGCTGCTGCTCTCTGCGACGCGCGTCCGCTGTCAGGCACGCACGCTGCGTAATATCACATTTTATTGGACAGAGTAAAAAACAAGGCTGGACTTCTGTGTCATTACAGACTGGGAGTCCCATGTTTGTAGACAAAAGAAAATAACATTTTTTTTATCATTTAAATAAATCATATAAAATCAAGCTTTATTAATTGACTTTACTGTTACTGCTTACACAACACAGCTAGACAAAATACATTTTATAAGACAATTAAATGCGAAAAAATCTCCTTTATTTCCATCTTATTACACAAGCATTCATTAAAAACAGCCATCTGGAGAAACAGCATTAAATATATACACATTTTGTGTTCACACTGGGGCTCATACACTGTGTTTGTTGCTGTGATTCTGCCTCCTTGTGGACAAACTGAGTAAGTGCTTCATCCAGAAGCTGCTGCAAACTGCTCAAACCAAAAAGTAGGAGGTCAAGCTTGAATATAAAGTTTCTGCTCACAATTCCTATATCCTTCTCCATGCATTTCCAGTTGATTATCATCTTTGTACATTGCACATACTGTATTATATAAACTTTTTAATGTTCCTTGGACAATATATTTGCCCCAGGGCAGACCCAGAACATGCTGCAGGGATTACATATCTCATCAGGCCTGGGAACACCTTGGGGTCCTCCAGGAGGAGCTGGAAAGTGTTGTTGGGGAGAGGGACGTCTGGGGTGCTTTGCTCGGCCTGCTGCCCCAGTGACCTGGCCCCGGATAGGTGGATGAAAATGGATGGATGCATGCACATAACTGTGCAGCTCTTTGACTTTAAATCAGATATACAGTACATTTTTCATAGTATATTTTCATAACTTTATCCTCCTGAGACCCGAACTTTTGTTTGGTTTGCATTTTTTATTTCTCCTTTCAATTTGGGATCAGTAGGACCCAATAAGTATAAAAAACTAAATATTGTCAACAACATGAAAGTCCCTGTATCCTCAAACGAGACAACAATAAAGTCTCAATGTTTTTAAAAGAGACGATAACAAAAGCCCTAATGTCCTTCAACGAGATGATGATAAATTCCTTCTGTCTTCAAATGAGTACTTTGTAATTAACAGTGTCTTAATTGGCCAAATTTTGTTGCCATATCAAACTACAAACATTATGAATTATAAATTTACAAGTTTTAACCATTAAATGTGATCAGGTTTTGGAGGGATGGCTGCCATCTTGTTTTTATATGGATTAGTGTATTGTGCTCTTAATGCCACTAGATGACACAAAGAAGTGTCCACAGATGAGGACAGCAGGTCTGAGTTAAGCAGAATGAAGTATAAGGTCAAGTAAACCCAAAATGTGATGTCCTCATATGAGGACACAGGGTCTAATCAGGTCATTGTAAATGTATCTGATTTGTTTGGTTGGTTTTTTTTTTGTTTGTTTTTTTATACTTTGCAGTACTTTATTTTTTTACTTTTATTTTTTACAAATAAAGGCCTGTCTCAAATAGAGGCCTGGTCTGGTTGCCAAGTAGTTCATTTTTTTTAGAAGTTCTTTGGATGTATAAAAGCAGATTGTTGACTACCCACTTGAGCTATCATTAGTAAGCTGTTTAGATCATGCAAAAAATATAAATGTTTAAATGTTAGCTTGGTTGATTTTATTTTACTGAGACCATGAGCACCAGAGAAGACTGTAATTCATTTGGATTTACCGGCATGACAAAAAAACAAGTGGTGACTTCCTGCTTCTGAAGCTGTCATGTATGTTATTTGAAGCCTAATTTTTTTACAAGTAATTTTCATAATGGTTCAAATAAGCAACTTGTTCATGTTTGCCATCTTTGCTGCACAACAGTTTTGTGTGAGAGGAATTAAAGGCCTGTCCCATATAGACGCTCCTGCATCTGAGACAGTTGGATGTGCGAATATCTTTCTTCAAAGAAGTTGTAATATTGAAAAAGTACCCATGAGTATGTTGCATATATTCACAAGTCATATGGCACAAACCACACAACAAATCAGTACATTTGCAATGCAAAAATATGTATTTATGGTAAAAATACTCACATTCATTTGTCAATAAATGGCATGCAATGACAGCAATTTTATAGGAAAGCTATCTGGACAAATTTTATCAATATGTAAAGCCTCTGAGACTCGAATAATGAGAAAATCTGAGCAGAATTATATGAAATCACCACCCCCAGCACATATAAAACTTATAAAACATCCAAGTGTTCTCAGTTTACATCAAAGTAAATATGACATAACACTAAATGATTTAAAGCTGACATGATTTCAATTTCTTTTAATGTCATAAAATTATTTTGGAAGACAAAATGCCCCAAAAACAACCCGTCTGTCTTCCAAACTGTGCGTTCTGCAGGTATGACTGTGCGTTAATTGCGTTACAGTTTCAACTACTGTTCAAAAATTACACCCAATCTTCTTATATTGTCGGCAGAAAACTAGGCATCATCGTATTTTTATATTCAATGATAAAAATATTCAGAATCCTTTTTTTTTTTTTTTTTTAAATCAAATTAACTTCTGGGATTTTTTTCTTTTCTCCCAAAAAATTTTATGTAATAAAAAAAAAACATACAGATGATAAAATACACAACATATCCAAAAGTAAAAGAAAAAAATCCAAGGCAGATTCACACGCTCTAATCTTAAAATGATCAATCTCCCAAAAAGGTTATATTCACATTCCAGACAGCATGTCCAAGTTGATAATATTACTGAAGCTGAACCGTTTTTTTTTAATACTTAAAATTTCCACTAAGCGTAACTCATCATGCACTTTTGTTTTAGACAGAGATGTAGTGCAGAAAAATTAATTTTAACTTGAAATGTAGTGGAGTAAACATACTGCGCGACCTGAAACAGCACTACGTACATAAAACAGTCTTAAAATGTAATCAAGTCACATATACGTGACTTTCTGCGCTAAATTAAGGCTTGACCTGTAATGAAAACATTTCCGCTCTGATGACAGTGATGCTGAGGTAGTGACAGCTTGACACAACATAGTTTCATTTTGCATCCTCAAGCTGGATGATTTTTGGTTTGCTGTTTTTACGTCTGTGATCACTGTGTTGCTCTACAGAGAGAAGCGACTCTCCACCTCATCTGCGATCATTTCAGCGATGGCGAGGGAGGAGGTGGCCGCTGGGGAGGGAGCGTTACGCACGTGGAGCACCCGGCTGCCCACGTCCCCGACCCCGCCGTCAAACACAAAGTCGTCTACAAGGTTTCCGTCTCGGTCGAGAGCCTGAGCTCGAACTCCTGCTGGCCCCCTGCGGAGGAAACAAACCAGGGTTGTTGTTGAAAACAGAATCATATCATTCCTCTTCCCTCTTGTCCTGGTAATAAACTGTATATACTGCAATGTGCACGCATAGGTCTTGCATTTTTCTCTACCTGAGCACGTCACTTGGCGAGATTTCAGGGATGTACTTCTGCAGGAGTTTAACCTGTGCATTAATGTTAATCCCTCGATACATCTCTCCAATTCCGTACGTAATGTTCCTCAATACCAGCTTCTGAAGGCCCCTGGAGAACGAGAAAAAGATTCAAATTAAATACTCCTGCAACAATGGACAATACACAGACAAAGAAGAAAATAAGATGAGAAAAATTTCCTGTTTTACCTGAATGAGAGCGCATCTGCAAAGTCTCGGATATTGAAGTCGTAAATTTTGTATCCCTCTCTTTTGAAGGCGAGGACGGCGTTGGGGCCGAGCCAAACACTTCCATCCATCCTCGGGGTGAAGTGAACTCCGAGGAAAGGGAAACGAGGGTCGGGGACCTATAAATCAGTTTTATAGAAACAAAATGAAGTAGCAACAGTGAAATATGTGTGCAGCATGAATCAATCTAATAAAATCAGGAGATTGACTGAGAAGACAGAGGCATATTTGTAGTTTCAGGCTCTCGGTTTTACTTTAAAAAACATAATCAGGAGCATGAGGAGGTGATAGGGAACAACTAATAACTACCAGATGTGCACGCTGATTGCTCAGTTGCATCAGTTGGGGGGGGTCTGTAAAATTGAACACAGATACATACCAAAACTCAATGCTCTTAACATCATGTAAACAACCTCAGTTCTAGCCTCTGCCTGCTTTTGATGGTGATTTTAAAGTAAAACCAAAAGCCTGAAACTGGAAATATACCTCAAACTTTCTCTGAAGTAACTCAACTCTTATAAGAACAGTATTGTCTAATATTTCATAGATCCATCCATCCATCCTTCCATTTTCATCCGCTTATCCGGGGCCATGTTGTTGGGGCAGCAGGCCAAGCAAAGCACCCCAGATGTTCCTCTCCCCAGCAACACTTCCAAGCTCCAAGGACCCCAAGGTGTTCCCAGGCCAGATGGGATATGTAATCCCTCCAGCATGTTCTGGGTCTGCCCCAGGGCCTCCTACCAGTGGGACATGCCTGAAACACCTCCAGCAGGAGGCACCAAGGAGGATCCTGATCAGATGCCCGAACCACCTCAACTGACCCCTTTCGACGTGAAGGAGCAGCTGCTCTACTCTGAGCTCCCTCTGATGTCTGAGCTCCTCACCCTGACCCTAAGGCTGAGCCCAGCCACCCTATGTAGGAAACTCATTTCAGCAGCTTGTATCCGCAATCTCATTTTTTGGGTCACTACACAGAGCTCGTGACCATAGGTGAGAGTTGGGACGGAACGGATGGCTCGTAGCAGCGAGCCCAGCAACCTGTAATCCCCAGGCATGGTCCAAGGTTTGGATTTGATGACCTCGCAAACATTAAAGGGTTTAATCTGCAGCCTCAATCACAAAGTAAGGCTGAAAATGTTATAAACACAACACTTCCTTCATTTTTTTAGCTATGGGAAGTGCTTGTAAATCTGGAGTGCCTCCAAGGAAAATCAAGTTTTTAACCTTGTTAACTGATATGGTGTTTTTGTATGCTACAAAATATGAGTGAGATTTCTCTGCGCCGATCTGCAGCGATTCTGCACCTCTGCCCTGTCCTAATCACACTTAGAGCTGTCTCTGTCTGCTTGTGTGTGTGTCCCCTTATCTTTTGCTGTCCTTTTTCAGACACAACTGACAATATGTGGAAGCATTGGATGCGTATTTTATCATTTATCATGATCTGATTATTCATATTATATCTAATAAATCCTTGATATCGTTCATCACAGATCATCAGTGTGTCTTTCTGCAAGATTAGAGTATCGCTGCAGATCACAAACTATCTGTGAAGCTCGGGGCCGTGTGTTAACAGCCCGACTGGTTAACATGGGTGCCAAAAGGAAGTGGGCAGCGCTCCACTGAAAACAGAACAGAACTTATCAGTCAAGGCGATCAGGACGGTTTATGAAACATTAGTGACACAATATCAACTGCATGATAATGTCGTCAAGCCGACAGCTCGTGTTATTGATTACTGTTTAAAGCAGAAGTTTGTGTGTTTGATAAGCAGAGTCAAAGGTAGGCATGTATGCGCAAGCTGCAGGCAACATACTAAATGAGACAAAAGTGTAGATGTACATGTAGGCCATTCTTTTAAGCACGAAGGGATTTTTTATACATGAAAAAATAGTTTTAGGGGTTTAATCAACACCAGGAGAGGAACTCTAACACACTTGGAGTGATGGATCAACTTAGGAGGGATCCAGACTTGTTCTACAAAGCAGAGAATGGGTGCTATCACTAGAGAAAGCTGGACTCAATAGTATCTCCACCTATGGGATTTAATCTCCACCTCTACGTACCAATAATGAAAGAAAAAATAGAAATGGAAAGGCTGTGGCTCTCTGATCTCATGTTACACAATTTCTAGGTTGCAAATTCCATCAAACTTTTCACATTCAAATAATCATCTCTTTCTGCCACAGTTTGAAGTGACAGAACACAGCTGCAAGAGACTGGAAGTCACATTCAATGAGACACATCTGCAGATCAAATGATATGTGTGGATTACATAACTTAAAGATATATGGATATATGGACATATGATTCTTCAGCAGACTTACAGGGTAGATGTTTCCCTTGACCAGATAGTGTTTCTCTGGCTTCAGGACCAGATAATCTCCTCTGAAGGGGACGATCCGAGGCTCTCGACTGCATCCTGATATCTGCGACAGGCGGTCTGAGTACAGGCCTCCACAGGTCAGGACATAACGGCACCGCACCTCGTTACCCTGTGAAAACAATACAGACATTAAAAACAACAGAACACAATCTAAACTTTCTGATGCTTTTATCTGTGTGTGTCTTACCTTTTTGTCTTTGACTGCGATCGGATATTTCATTCCTGCAAACAGAATTAAAAAAAGACACACCGAGGTGAAATTTAAATTACTCAACAGCGCTTGTTTTATTGTGACTGTGGTGACAACAACGGTGGAAGAAGAACTCTTGGATATCTTTTTTTTTTTTTCTCTTTCACTTAAAAGGGACAGTTCACCCCAAAATCAAAAACACATATTTTTCCTTTTACCTGTAGTGCTATTTATCACTCTAGATTGTTTTGGTGTGAGTCGCTGGGTGTTGGAGATATCTGCCGCAGAAATGTCGGCCTTCTAAATTTGGTTTTAAGAATAATTTTATTTCATGGATTAAGTTGCTTTATTTGGCCCCTCAAGCTTCAGTCAGGACGAATAATATCCAGTCAGAATATTTTCGCCTCTATCGCTCTACTAGACAGTGCCGCCCTTTGAGCCCCCTATTATTCACGATCGCTATTGAACCTCTTTCGATAGCCCTTCGGTCTAACCCCCTTATTACAGGCATATTTAGAAATGACACTCAGCTGAGAGTTTCCCTTTATGCAGACGACCTCCTTTTATATGTTTCCAACCTGCCTGTCTCAGTTCCCGCTGCTCTTGCAACCCTTCATTCATTTGGTCAAATATCTGGATGCAAATTAAATTTAAACAAAAGTGAGATATTTCCCATTAACCCTGCTGCTGAGATGTATCCCCTGGAAAATTTCCCCTTTAAAGTTGCCCATGATAGTTTTGTATATCTTGGAGTCCATGTTACACACAAATTTGAAGACCTCCCTTAGTCCATTTTCCGTAAACTTGATAGCCTGATTTCAAAATCTGGAATAAGAAAGTTCCTAGGCTGTGCAAACAATATTTGCAAAGACCGAAGTCACTGGGAGGGCTGGCTCTGCCTAATCTTAGGTTCTATTATTGGGCCACCAATATCAGAATTCTTAAGTAATGGCTTCAATATGAGGCTTTTGATCCTCCCCCAGCATGGCTGGTTATGGAGGCAAGTTCAGCAAATCCAGTCTCCCTGAAAGCCTTAGTGCACTCCCCTATCCACTCCTCCTCTTTTCCCTACACCAAAAATGTTATTGTTAAGACCTCACTTAGGATCTGGGTCCAGTTTAAGCGCTACTTTGGCCTACAGACTTTCTCTATTTATGCACCACTAGCAGCTAACCATGCTTTTCCTCCTTCCCTCATAGATAGTGTTTTCTTAAGGTGGACAAATTTCGGTATTCATAACTTTAAAGACCTGTATATTAATAATGTCTTTGCTTCTTTTCAGCAACTTTTAGATAAATTCTCACTTCCTAAGCAACATTTCTTTAGATATTTACAAGTCCGCAGCTTTGTTCATGACACATTTCCTAGTTTTCCTAATTTGCCCTGTGACTCAGCTTTGGATAGTTTCCTGACACCAATCCCTACTCTTAAAGGCTCTGTCTCATATATCTATAATCAAATTAATCTTTTACATTCAGAGCCCCTAGGCTTAATAAAGTCACTCTGGGAGGAGGACCTGGGGGTCGCGATATCAGAGGAAGTCTGGACAGAGATCTTGAGACTGGTACATAAATCTTCTATTTGTGCAAGACACAGTCTTATTCAGTGCAAAGTTGTACACCGTACCTACTATACTAAGGCTCGACTGGCTAAGATTTATGATGGTGTAACTCCAACTTGTGATAGATGTCAGCAATCTCCTGCAAACTTAATACACACGCTTTGGAATTGTCCATCCCTATATAATTATTGGACTGAGATTTTTAATACCCTGTCAGAGGTAGTTGGGGAAAAAATAAAGCCAAATGCTCTGAGTGCACTATTTGGGGTTGCCCCCCCTTCCCTCACTAAGTCTAAAAAGGATGTACTTGCTTTTGCTACCCTGCTAGCCAGAAGATTAATTGTAACTAATTGGAAATCAACAATACCGCCCTGTCATGCCCGCTGGATTAGAGACACCCTTTATTTTCTTGGGAAATTATGGGGCCCATTCCTTCAATTCGTTAAGAAGACAGACCTTCCACTCACCCCTGACTGACACGACTGAAGCTGCTTAGAGAGACTTGTAGATATGTTGTTTCGGTTGTGATGAGGGTTATATGCCGCTACTCTGACATGGGATGTCTGTTGCTATCTCTATTGCAGTTTACTATTACCTGACTGATGTGCCTGTGTTCCTCTTATCTCTTTTTTTTATTTATTCATTTTTATTTTTTTATTTACTTTTTATCCTTTTATTTTTTGTAATTGTCTATTTCTGTCCTAGTCCTACTTTTTAATTAATCTATTTAATTATTTTTATTGTGGTTGTTCCAAGTTTTATATAAATTGTTCGGATATGCAGCGATACTTCAGTGACCACTTTCTTTTTCTGTTGTTTTTCTTAAAAGAAAAAAATGTATACTTAACTCTTTGTAAATGTCTTAAATACAATTGTATATATCTGCAAAACCCAATAAAAAAAGTTGAAAAAAAAAAAAAAAAAAAAAAAGAAATGTCGGCCTTCTCTCCAATATAATGGAACTAGATGGCACTCAAGATAATCCACAGACCTTGTTGTGAGCAGTTTCATGTAGGAACTATTTTCTTTCTACTGAACTACACCTGCCAACCATATTACTGCACAGAAGGAAGAGTGCATCTACTGCTAGCTTACCTAGCACCACTGAGCTAGCTAACGTTACATCTCAGCCGAGGAGGATGCCATTGATGTTTATCCCCTCTCACATGGACATTAGCTTTTGGAAATTTAGGTCAAGATTTGGGTTGATTTATGTACATCAGCTTTTTAATCAGTTAGTTCAAAATATGAAGTCTTTTAAACAAATAAGAAAATAATTTAATCTTCTGCAGACAGATTTCTGTAAATATTTACAAGTAAGACATTTCCTACACAAAAAAGATGACTTTATTAAGATTCAAGCTCCCAAGGCATTGAAAGGTTGTCGACTAATCTACAAATTAATAACTCAATTAGAAATATTATCTCCAGTATGTACAGTGCATTTCTGACTATGGATAAGACTGACTCCCACTATTTTAAATCCAAATGGGAAGAACCAATTCCCATGGAGACCTGACATAAGATTTGTTCAGGGTCCCACATGGTCACCAGCTCAAACACAAGGAGAGAATTGAGATGGAAACTTATTGTACGCTTCGTGAAAACACCTCATATAACATGTAAATTTGATGCTTCTGCGTCTGGTATTTGCTGGAGGGCATGCAGAGAGGTGTCGGCTAACTATGTCCACATATTCTGGGCATGTCAAAAGCTTACCATCTATTGGGACAGCATATATCTAACGCTTAGGGATGTTTTTGGTACGGACTTGACCAGGGACCCCATGGTAGCTCTACTTGGATTAATACCAGACGGTATTGAAGGTCGGGCACATACTTGACTTCTCCGGATTCTATTAACTGCAGCTATCAAATGTATCAGTATTCGCTGGCTGGAGCGAAGACGACAGTGTATGAGTCATCATTTTGTGGGTGAAGTATCGCCTTAAGTACAAAACTCTGAGTCAATGTACTGAGCAACTTTCCACCACCCGCTGACACACTGATGTACAGATCCTGTTTATTACCTTCCGTGCTCCCAGCTGGGCTCTCCTTGACCATGGAAATGTCATTAATCTCAGAATCAGTTATCACCTTGCCGCCAGCCTCCACAAAGTCTTGGCCGTACCTGAGAGCCACCATCCTCCAGTCCACGATGCCAGTGTAGGGCGAATCCAAGGCCATGATACCCTGCAGAGACGACACACTATAGACCCCCACTACCATCTTTTCATCTGTAGGAACAACAATAGTGTCTCTGAGACTCTTACCCTGCAGTACGGCTCGCGTTCTCGGATTCCCTTGGCGTCAACTATACCGAGGTCACGCACATTGTTCTTCATGCCGCGTTCATATAAAGCTTTCAGCCTGGGTATCTCCTCCTGCTCCACAGCCACGATAAGCTGCAGAAATACACCAATCAATACCGAGGCAGACACAACACAACGATCCATACAGCCCAGCAGAGTTTGTATTACATGCATGTTGGTTTTTATTTTATCTGGTTAAAACATGGAGGCAGACCTTTCCACATTTGTTGTAAGGGAGTCCTTTCTTCTCACAGTACTCGTAGGCTAAAGTGGCTCCTCGCACACACAGACGGGCCTTCAGCGAGCCCGGCGTGTAGTAGATCCCGCTGTGAATGACCCCACTGTTGTGCCCACTCTGGTGCATAGCTGGTGAGTAAGAAAAGTGACGAGAAATAAAAAAACAAGATGAAGAAGTAAGACAGAAAATGAGGCTTTAAAAGGTTAATCATCAGACTTTTCCACTGTGTATCATCTTCCTGTAACAGTCAATATGATCATGAAAGATTTTTCAGTCAGATTCATCCAAGTGACTCTCAAACTATGCAAACATGTGCTTTGTTCCTGTTTCACACTGATGCAAAATCATGACAAACTCATTAAAACTTGATGTCTGTCACTTATGTTTAGAGAGCAGAGACTAATCTGCAGTCAACTCAGTTGCAGCTACTGCAGCTAACGATTATTTCCTTGATTTACTGATTAGTTGTTTGGTCTCTAAAATGTCAGAAAATGCCGAAAAATGACGAGCATTGTTTCCCAAAGGTCAAGATGACTTCCTCAAAATGTCTTGGTTTGTCTACAACTCAAAGATAGTCAGTTTACAGTCAGAGAGGAGGAAAGAAACCAGAAAATATTCACATTTAAGAAGTTGGAATCAGAGAAGTGTGACTTTATTTTTCTTAAAAATTTACTAAAACTGATTTATCGATTATTAAATTAATTGGCAATTAATGTAATAGTTGATAACTAATTGATTAATCATTGCAGCTCAAATGTAAGTGTTAACATTATGCATTATTGTACAACCCAACCCCATTTGATCATCCAACTTTTTTCGGAGGGACGCATTTTGACACCAAGGTGTCATGGCTGTCTTTCAGGTCTGAGGTTGTATGCAGGTGTTCACAGTGCAGCACAATGGCAGGGTTTTAACCCTTTAACTGTTAATCCGATACCCAAAGCTAAAACTTGGCACTTTAACCTCGTAGTCATTGTTCAAGTTCAGATGTGCTGGAGTTCAGAGCCAGCGCCATAAAAACTATTTCACTTTCCAAGTACTCATTGTCTGCTTTGTGTAACTGGATTTAATTACTGAGACATGAAAAACATTTTCTCTTTGGAACACAGTGTCTTCTTTTGCCACAACAACTTTTATGACTCAACCCACCAAGCTCTTTTTCTTTCTCCAGTAGGACAAAGCTGAGCGACGGGTGTCGCAGAATGAGCTCTCTGACTGTCGCCAGGCCCACGATGCCTGCCCCCACCACGGCCACGTCATATGTGCTGCAATACAGACGACAGTGAGGTTACTGACAGTACAAATTTAAGATGGTTACTGATAAAGAAACAAGCTTTATGGGTTGCAAAAGTTAGAGAGCAGAACAGAATATTTAGGTCACTGGTTCAATGTCCAACTGTACATGGCTGTAGGAGCAGTGGATAGACCTTTGATACTCATCAGTGGGGAAACCCATGCCAGCTAACAGGCTGTTTAGATACTGTCCAGCTCTGTCACGAGGCTACATCAAGTAAAATATAATTACCACAGATCATGCAGTGTGTGGGCTCAGAGTGTAAGCAACAGTTCTGGAATATCTAACTTGTCCACAATCCACCACAAATCTCACATAATTAAGTATTTGCAGAGAGCTGGAAGAACACAATGTTCAAGCCTGGGGACATTTAAATTACCATGCCCTCTCAAATACAAAGGACTCAGAGAACAGTCAACATCTTGTTTTCATTTTTCAAAATTAGAACCAGGCAAAGTGCTATAAAACTCCACAAGGGGAGGAACCGAGAGAACTGATTGGAGAAAACATTTGGGAGTTTGGGCGCATCACAGCCCAACTATCTGCACCTATAGGTGGGTTTAAAGGTGCTAAAAGTTCATATGTTCAGTGACAAAATGTCCCTTGAAGGATTTTCCTGAGTTTGCAGTTAGATAAGTCGAGGAGGGGGCTGCCTGAACTTGTAAAAACGTTGGCAGCTGTTCTTGCTTAAACCTGAATAACATTTAATGCATTAACTAATCTGTGATGAAACCGGCATTCTCATATCATGCTAGTCTCACTTAGCCAAGAGACGTTACCTAAGAGTTACAAATCAATATTTTTATGGTACAACATATGTATTTCACAGTTTACTTAAAGCAGACGAGTGAAGGGCCCCATTACATAACATGCGTGCCATGGCCCCGGAGCTGCCTATAGGTTTTTTGTAGGTCTGATGTGAAACACATGGTGCAGACACGCCTTCTTCTACTGACTTCCTGTACGACACTGACCAAAAAAATGTGTGTACTTCTGAAGTTACAAAACCAAAGTTTTAGGGGTGTTATGTTTGAATATGCAAATAGGGTGTATCTAATTAAATATGCACTGATTTGCATACATTTCCAGAACAGAAATCTGAACAAATTACACACCTCCATGTGTATTTTCTTCCCACAAGTCTGAAATAAGACATTTGGAGGCAAAATAGGCCAAAATCTCAGTTTGTTCAAATGTTTTCACCCCTTAAAGTCATGCACATGTTGATGGAGCAGGACTGGTTTGAGAGGCACAATGCAGACTCAGATGTTTTGTGTGTATAAACAATGTGGTGGGGGTGTGGAGATCTGGTTCTGCAGAGAACAGAAATGTTATGCAAGCTGGTTCTTGGTGTTGAATGTCCTTGGCCATGACTGAGATCAATTTTAAGTTAAGTTAAGCAATCAGGCTGAGGCTTCTTTGCCCCTTTTCTTGACTTACATGTCTGTTATGAGTGAATTTAACTAGTGGATCTCACTAGAGACACGTGAAAAGGTCTAACTCCTCACATGTAATTACACTACACTCCCACACAGTGAGAAGAAGCCTTGCTCTGTTCTCTGTAATGTCAGTCTTACCTGTGGAGCCGCCTGGTTGTTACGTCCTTTATCGGCTGCGCTGCCCCGGCAGCCCTAAACGTCGCCCCGCTGAGTGTCCGGATCATGGTCGCAACGTTCACCAGCTCCTCACTGCCTCTTTTTCATTGTATAAGTGTCAGAAAGACTTCCCTGAGCTCTGTTTTTGTGTTTCCTCCTCCCTGTTGCCGCTGCTAGCGTCCCATCCTGCTGCTCTATCCTGAAACTAGACACGTGACCACGCCCCCTGCGTCGCACCGCTCTCAGCCAATGGGAGGGCACGTTTTCTTTACGTCACTGGGTCAAAGGGCACAGGACTCGTCTGAAACGTAAACAGTCGTGTGTATTGGAGGGCAGGTGAGATTGTTTTATCGGATTCAGCTGTGTCGCAGTTTCAGTTGTTTGTTTAAGTGACTCAAACATTAGTTTAACAGCACTAATGTAACAACAGTGTAATAATTTACTTTATTTTCTATGTGTGTTTCAGATATGAGTCTGTTATCGAGGACAGTGCAGTGTGCTGTGGGTCAGAGGGAGTGGAGCCGCAGACACTTCTGGGGCTGGCTCAATGCAGTCTTCAACAAGTGAGACATTATTAATGGATTCATGATAAAGCTACGTGTGTTAGCTAATGGCTACACAGCAATGCATGGACACACTGATTAATAATAATCAATAAAATGGCAAAGCACTTAACATACACCTCATAACTCAAACACACTTAAATGAACCTAATTACCTCGTTGCATATCTTCATATTTGTAAAGGTCACTGTTTACACTCTTTTGCCAGTTTATTAGGTACACCTAGCTAAAGCTAATGAAGTCTAATACAACAGTCCAGCAATAAATCATACCTCCATTAAGATTATAAAGTTCAGTTATTGTTAAAACTGTTTTAAAAGAGATAAGGGAGATTTTATTGTCCCTCTATATTAATTTTAGTATTTTATTATTTATTATCCATCTATATTTATTGTTGTAGAGAACATGGAGCAACGAAATTGTTTCCCTGTTCCTGGTATAAAGTAAATTAATTGATAAATGAATGAGCAGAAGGTGCAAACAAGAAGATATAAAAACAGGTACACAACAAGATACAAGACATACATATAGTGCAATAATAGAAAAGTATAAATACAAGTAGTGTTAATAAAATAAAGGTAGCATGATTAAATGTAAATGGTTGAAAATAAATTGTAATGATAGCCTTAAAGCATAAAGTGATATCACGATGCTTGAGTCACAATAAAATATAATTGTGATTTTAAATACGTTGCGATATGCTGACTATCGCGATAGAATATACAGAGAAATATTGTGGTTTATTATCTTTTGTCAACTGTAAATTATGTCCTCAAAGGAAAACTTTAACATCTGTTTTATCTAATAAGGTAAGGTTTTAAGTCTGTTCATCTCAGTTCAGCCTCTTTTTTTTTTTTTTTTTTTTTACAGCAAAATGTAATAGTAATTGATTATATTAAAAGCATATACTGTAGGCTACCTAAAGTTTATTTTGTATTAGAAATATTAATAATTTCTATTAAAAAAAATACTTGGCACTGTGTGACGACACGATATTGCCACACAAAAATATTGCAATATTATGCTGTATCGATTTTCCCCCACCCCTAGTGTTGACTCAACTGTATTGTCATTAGGAGGCTGTTAAAGTGCACTGTGTTATACTGAATAGTGTTTCTAATATTTTGGTGCTTCGCTTCTTTTTCTTTTTCAGTGTATATAGCTTGATCTAGAAGAAACAGTACCTAATTTCCCCTGTGATTTAGATAGTTGTATAACTTGAACTTGAAAATCAAGACCAGTTACCTTAATAGTGATAATTTGGTGATATTTTGGGGATGATTTATAGGCAAAATGTTGCTAAATAACCATTAGTAATTAGAATGATAGACAAACATACAGCAGAGAACATATTAATCATGTGACTCTGCCATATGTTCAGGAAATTGTACCACCGTACCACTGTTTGTTGCCTTTACAACCAGTAAAATGACATTCTGGTAATATTATGTTAATATAACCATAATCTGATATTAACATTACTGATATCTTGTTCAGCTCAGTGTTGATAAAATATATTATTGTCAGAAATGTACAGGTTTTTTGTGACCTAATCTCTCAAAATATTAAGGCTGAAACTGACAGTTATTTCCATGATGTATTTCCTCTTTTTTATTGAACACGAGTCTATAAAATGTCAAAATGACGACAGTGTCTTTCACAAGTTGTCATAGTCCAATGTTCCCTGTGGTTTTGTTTATTTAGTTTGACCAGCAGTCCAAAAAAATGTAACTATTCAGGTAAAAAAACAAACAGGCAAATGCTCAATTTTTACAATATAATAACCTGCAAATATGGTATTTTACTTGATAATTAACCATATAAATAAACAGTGGCAGATTTGTTCAGGTTAAGATATTTGTCCTGGTGGGTAGGTTGACATTTGTTGCGTTTGTAACCCCCTTGACTCCTCTCCTCTGCCATCTCAGCACACACTGTCACATTTCATGACATCAGCCTGTTTGGTACATTGAGTGTTTGTTGGTGTTTACTCAGGGTGGACTATGAGAGGATAAAAGCCGTTGGTCCAGACAGAGCTGCAGCAGAGTGGCTGCTGAGATGCGGTGCCAAAGTGAGGTTTGAAGGTTTCGATCGCTGGCAACACGACTACAACGCGCTGCCAACTGGGGCTCTGGGCAGATACAAGATCCAGGCGATAGACGCTACTGAATCCTGCATCATGCACAGAGGGTTTGACCACCTGGGTCAGTGTTACAGTGTTGAGAATATTATGTTCTTGTCCTTGTGGATTGTCCTGCTCTCGTTTCCATTTCACTCCATATGGGCATGGATCGATTTAACAAGACTAAAACCAGAAACACAAACACAAAATTAAAGGACTAATGAAAAATTTACAGAAAACTTGACATTTCAGATAATAACATTTAGGGCTCTACTGAACAGTTCAAAGCTTTGAAACTTCAGTCGTAGCATCGACATTCGAATTCCGAATCAACATTCAAATGCTGCGCAGCTTTTTAATTTTTTTTTCTTCAGCATTTCCATTTATTCTGTTTAAACCTGGTACACAAGTGCAGATTAAAGATTAGGCTACATTAATTTTATTAGCATTATACTATTTGTAGAATTGGATTCGCTGCATAGGATTGCCCAAAAGTCAAAATTCATTGAAAATGAAATGAAAATAAATTTTGCATCAACTACGTTAACATGAGCTTGACCTCCACCGTTGACCTGAAAGTGATTCCCCTCTTTGTTAACAAGAAAGGAAAGGCGACGGTGAAAGTGCATCTCTCCCAGACTGATTATCCAAAAGTGACGCAAGTGGCCAGGATGTTTTACACTGAGCGGGCACACACAGTGCATCAGCTCTGACCTGGTTGGCTGCTGCACTCACACACACTTTGGTGCCAGAGTCCACACTGATTTATTTTGGTGTAAAGTCCTCTGTACGGGTGCCTTCTTTTTCTGAATTAACGAGATCAGTATCTCAGAAATATGAGAAAAGTTTTCATCTTGTTAATTCAGAAAAACGAGCAGAATTTTGTTTCTCAAGTGTTAATCCTTGCCTATGTAAGTTTAATCCATAAAGAGCTTGCTAATTTTGTGTTTGTTTTTCTAGATGGTTTGAAACATGTGGAGGAAATCAAGTTCAACAAGTGTATGTACATTGAGGACAGCTGCCTGGAGAGGCTGAGCTCTATAGAGAATCTGCAGCAGAGTTTGTACATGATGGAGGTGGTGTCGTGTGGAAATGTGACCGATAAGGGCATCATCACTCTGCACAAACTAAAGTAAGTGTTTGTTATCTAAAAAAAGTTGAATTAAAATATTACAAGCTTTATAATTCAATTGATTTAGTTCCCTTATTATATATTATGTATTAATTCCACACAGGAACCTGGAATATCTTTTTCTCAGTGATCTTCCCGGGATCAAAGACAAAGAAACAACAGTTAACAGACTACAGACAGCGCTCCCACGTCTGGACCTAGCACTGGACCTGGAATGATATCAGAAAAAACGTCCTGTTTAGAAGAGACTGTTATCATTTAAAAATAAGGGCGCCATTTTTGAGGTTTCCAAAGTAAAAGAGCCAGTCTTGACATAGGACAGACTGAAGGGCTTATAGTGTGCAGCATGGAGATCCATCAGCTAAAATGTTAAACGTATTTTCATGTGAATCATTAAGTCGTGCAGAGAAAATATTCAGGTTGATGTGTCACCTTTCAGCTTGAAGTATAATCAAGCTTTAAAGGGACAGATCACCCTAAAATCAAAAATACATATTTAGTCTTACCTGTGGTGCTATTTATCTGTCTCGATTGTTCTGGTGTGAGTTGCCGAGTGTTAGAGATATCAGCTGTAGAGATGTCTGCCTTCTCTCCAGTATAATGGCGCTAGATGGCACTCGGCTTGTGGTGCTCAAAGCGCCATGAAAAAATATACAGTTAAAAAAACTCAACATCAGCGTCTCTTTCCAGAAAGCACAACCCGGTTAATCAAGATAATCCACAGACCTTGTGAGCAGTTTCATGTAGGAAGTATTTTCTTTCTACAGTAGTAGTAAAGTTAAACAACAGACTAAAGTAAAGAGGGCATGAGATTGAAACAAACTTGTCATATTAGGTAGGGGTTATTTTTTAGTAGGTACGGTTCATAATGGTTTGTGGGTTTTTTTGCTAGCACACAATAAATATCTTTTGTTCTTTCAATATCAGGGTGTGTTGTTAATGTGCTAACTGGCTAACTAGCATCTTGAATCAGTCCTATTGGTCGTCCAATTCCATTTTTGAATGACGAATACAGACTACACGCAGATGCAGAACATATGTGCTAGTTGGTCATTGGCCGTAGTCTTTACGATGTGTTCAAGTGGAGCTTTTTGGTCGAGGCACAGACAATGTGAGGAGACAACAGTTCGTCGCCACTAGCTCTGTGTTGGCTTTGCGTGTCTGGGCATTAACGTTAGCTAGCCCAGGGGTGCTAGGTGAGCTAACAGTAGATGCACGCTTCCTTCTGCACAGTAATACAGTTTACGGGATTATATTGAGTAACCAGGTCATGATTTCTGGAAAGAGACATTGCTGTTGAGTTTTTTTGAATGTATTTTTTGGCGCTTTGAGCGCCACAAGCTGAGTGCCATCTAGTTCCATTTTATTGCAGAGAAGGCAGACATCTCTACGGCCGATATCTCCAACACTCTTCAACTCACACCAAAACTATCTAGATTGATAAATAGCACTACAGGTAAGAGGAAAAATACGTATTTTTGATTTTGCGGTGAACTGTCCCTTTAAACAAAACAGCAATGAACAAAGTTAAAGCACTTTATATTGTTGACACTTTTTTGATAGATGGAACTATTGTGTAGTTTATTATATTCTCAACATTCAAAATATTACTCCATATGTGGGTACAAAGAGAAAAACCTTTTGAATAAATTCCCTTTAGATTAATTTGGCATGTGTACAATATCTGAGGACAGACAGATGGCTGTGAACATCCTTAGCACCAAAGTTCCACAGATAATGAGTACGATGTGTGTATTGTTACTGCTACATGCAACTAAATGTTGGTTAAAGGAATATCCACTCCTGACGTCAATAAATAGTTTCAGAAATGCTCATGAGTCGTGACAAAAAAAAGTTTGTGTCCTACATTATAAGTTACTCGAGACATAAAACTCACTACCAAAAACATGTCAAACTTTTTTTTAAAGAGTCCATCGTTATATTATAAAAAAATACATTTGGCAAACCAGGCAAGGCAGTACGTGGTAGTTTTACCTTCAATCTACTCAGCGACTACGAGCAGAGCAGCACATCGCCCCTTGTCTTCACACATCTACAAAATACAACAAAAACAGCTTGAAACATAGGCAACATACGTAAAACCAACATGCGTAGAGTCCACATGTCGGGGGAATAGTGCATAGACTGACATCAGTATCAAGAGCCACCCGACACACCCCAAGTGATGAAACATAAACTTTAAAAAGTGGTTGAACCCTCTTGTTTAAAAAAACGGTGTGATCAGATTGTGCTTTGTCTCCTGAGTCTTCAGAAAACACTGCTCGCTGATGGTGTCGATGGTTTCATTCAACTCGTGTTCAGATGTTCGGTAGGTGATAGTTGAACTTGCGCAGGTTGTTGTAGTACTTCTTATTGTCCAACGCTGGGAAGATGCTGCTGCTGGTCAGCTGCGGCAAATACTGCAAAGAGAAAACATACAAAAATATTTCAGGGATGATTTTCAGGCCAAGCAAAAGATGCACACATGCATGCATTATTTCTCCCAGGATTTCTCCCAAAGAAAACAACTTTTCTTGCAGATTTCACAGATGTTGGATGCAATATTTAAAACTGACATTAGCCTTCTATACAGCAGCATTTTGGTGTTTCAGGTCCAATCATTATTTTCCCGTAGAAGGCTACTGACCCCAGGAGGAAGGTGCTTGCGAGGTAAACGTGTCCTCTTGTTGCTGGAGCGGTCCTGCTCTCGAGAGGTGCTCTCGCTCTTCTCTCGCAGGCTGTCAAAGTACGGGTGTTGGAGCAGCTGCTCACAGGTCAGACGCTCAGACGGGTCCATCTTCAGACAACCCTAAACCATCAATAAAAGACAGTTGAGGTCAGGCACAGATGGCTTAAGATGAGAGTTAAGAGTCAAGATGATGGAGTGTTTACTCTGTATATTTGGGAACACACTGCACTTTGCACATGGTTTATGATTCGTTGTTCAGTTTCAGAATTTAAGTCATACTTTTTCTGAAATGTTGTATAACATGAACATTTAACTGGATAAAAACCCAATCTTTATTATACAAAGCTTGTAAATATCTAAAGTGTATTAAAACAGGCTGAAAAACATGAAACAGATCATAAGATCATCGTCATGACATCTTTACCTTCATGAGACTCAGAGCTTGATGTGACAGATTTGGATATTTCTGCTCCAAAGGTTCCTACAAAAAGACAGAATTTCTGTTTTGTAATTTTACTGCTTTGAATATGTCTGGCAAAGTCCAGATTTCACTTTCTCTCGTCTCTCCTCAGTTGACTTTTCTTTATTTAACCTTTGTGTGCTGCATTTAGGGCGGCTGAAAACCAAAAATATACAAAGAATCATCTGAGTACAACCAATATTGATTAAAAAAAGCAACAACATCCACTTTTGTGGGCACATCTGATTGTCTCACCATCTCTTGTGGCTCTGGGATTGAAACTCCACAGAAGAACTGGTTGTTGCTGAAGACCTGCTGGTGTCGAGGGATCAGGTCACCTGCAGAGGACAAGAATAATATTACTTACATCATAATAGGTCTCAAATTACTTCTGTGATGGTGAAAAGATGTTTTTTTCCCCACATATTTATATATAAAAATTAATATTAAAAACACATGGGTTCAGGTATCTAAAATACAAAAGCTCTCATTGGTGATTCAAACCTCTGAGACCCGCTGCGTTGCCGGCAATCTCGGCCGACCCTCCTGTCTCTCAGAGGTTATAGAAGGCTGGGTTTTAAAGCCAGATAATGATTCTGGTATTATATGAAACTAGATGACAATGAATCCAGTGTTACCGACCACGTTATGCTAGCCTGTCAGAAAGGGGGCTGAATAAGTAATAAGGTGAGGGGAAAAACAACATGGCCATTTTCACAGGGGTCCCTTGACCTCTCACCTCAAGATATCTGAATGAAAATGGGTTCTGTGGGTACCCAAAAGTCTTCCCTTTACAAACATGTCCACTTTGTGCCAGTCCCATACAGTTTTGAGCACTAACTATACACATCTTGCATGCAGTATAAATGTACTATTTTCCCCTATTGTATTTGAATATTTCTGCATACTGGGGTCCCTACAGTGTTGGGACTGCATAATTTGGAAAGCTGAGACTCTTGTAGATTCATTGAGCCCAACTGTATTCATGTGTGATGTTGTTAGCCCCTAAACTAGCCATTTCATTGTAGTGAGAGCATTATTTTTTAATCGGACATCACTGTATAAAATGACCTACAGTGACCTCTAGGATAATCACAGGCTCATGAAACAGCCACAAACTAGAGACTTCAGACATTCAGAGGATGGATGGTGCTCACAGGTATATTGACAATAACAGGGTGTCTCAACAGTTTCCAGAACAGAAATGCTCACCATCCAATCACTGAAAAATGCAATTATTACAGAAAGTTTTTATTCAAAATCACAGCATTATATTTTGTTTGGTGTTGCTCAAGGTCTTGGTGTCTTTATGTGGTATTCTGGTGGGATATTTGACCATTTTGATCAATTTTAAGTGGTAAAACATGCTTAAATTTGGCACACAAACTGTGTCACAAATGGTATCAACCCTAAAATTGCTGCAACAACTTATTAGATACAAATGAGCATGGGAATGCCTGCCATATACTTTGATCATAATGTTCTAAGCCCTATACACTCCTTTAAAATTTGAATAGCACCTAACTAAAACAAAATGTTTATTACAGGTTTATGACTAGAAACACTGGACACAGTGCTGAGCTGTATCTCAAATTAATCTTCAGGTTGCATGCTTTCAGGTGATATATACCACCTCTATGCGGCATGTACTGTTGACTTGCTTTTCCCCCAAAAGTTCCCCTGTCCCCCCTTGAAAAGACAAAAATGGGCCTCTGTGGGTCTTGGAGGATTAATGATATCCTGATAATCCTTGTAATTAATCCTAAAATTCACATATTTAATATATCTGTCACCATTTTCTACAGTATGTGATGTAGAATTTTATGCTTTGTGATTATGTTCATTGCATTAAAGTGAATTGTACATACACTGTATAACTTTATATAACAATAAAGCCCTGTTTCCTGTTTGTTTCAGAGCTTTGTGAAAATTTTGAATTTGCTTTTTCTGTTTAATCTTAATTACGAAAGACAGTTCATGTCCATGTTATTCATCCTCAGCCAAACACATCACAACTCCCTTCTACACAGTATTGTTTAACTCCTGCAGCAGCGGACTGATTTTTTACCCAGAGTCTTCCTGATCAGGTACAGCTGGTCCATGTCAGACTTCCCGGGCCACAGAGGGATCCCTGACAGCAGCTCGGCAAACACACAACCAATCGCCCATACGTCCACCGGGGGGCCGTACTGAGTGTCTCCCACCAGCAGCTCAGGGGCTCGGTACCAACGAGTTGCCACGTAGTCTGTGTAGTAATCACACGGACCAGCTGGTGATACAAAACACAGAAACACATGATGTGAGGTTTGTTCAGAATAAGCTATCAGGTCATCATGAAAGATGAAGGACTTTTTTTATGGATCACACAACCACAATGTTCACTTTTGTATTGAAGAAACAGAGATTAGTTTAATATACTGGCTTTATGTTATCAAATATTTATGCTGGAGTTATTTAGTATTTGTCCAAAAGTTTGTAGATATGTTACAGTTTGATCCTGTCTATGACTCTAATAACCACAATCAAGGTTTCACATTACAATTTTTCATCCCCTTCCTGTCCAGTAAAAACCATGTTTCTCCAGATTTGATTTTGAATATTTCTGATAAATTAAAAGATGGAGTGTTTGGTTATGTGTTCTGGAGAGTCTCCTACTTCTTACAACTCAATAAACTCTTAAAGATATTCTCTTGGATCAGCTGGGAAACTATAACAACCTAAAACATCTTTAGCAGGAACATGCAACATACACATCAATGCAGCAGTGATATTAATCCAAAAACATCATATAGAATAGTAAAGCAGTGAGGGGCAACATTTTACTGCACAGTGAGCAGTCATACTTTAAGGACATTTTGCAGTTAATACTTAGATACTTTTACTTAAGAAGGTTTTTAATGGAGGACTTTTACTTGTAGTGTGGTTGTATTCGTACTTTTACTGAGAATCTGAATATGTCTTCCACCACTGCCTGAAACACAACAGCATTTAATGACTGAAGCCTTGAAATACCACAAAGCCAGCACCACTGAATGCAACACAACGTGTCCACCAGGTGGCAGTGTCAAAGATGTAACCGCTGTTTATACAGACTTCAAACTTACTGAGAATCCTGGCGAACCCAAAGTCACACAGTTTGATGACTTGGTGTTTGGTGATGAGGATATTTTCTGGCTTGACGTCTCGATGGATGCACTGCAGGAGCAGAAACAAATTAAAATCACTATAAGCTCCATAAGGTGTTCAGGTACTGTGTGGTGTGAGATGCAGAGAATAGAGAGGGGTCTGTGTGAGTATCAGTAGGAGGAGGGAGAGACAGTGCTGCTGTTAAATGGGGGCCCTTGTAGGTCTTGTTGTGTCTAGGTGATACATTAACTGCTGGTCGGCCAAGGGGAAGGAATTCTTGTTAAAAAAAAAAAAAAAAAGAGCCATAAAGCAGAAGGCAGGGTGGGAGGAGACCGGAGGAATTCAAAAACAAGCTGAAGGGAAGCTTTGACGACTCAAACACACACTGTGTACGACATGAAGAGACAGGTGTGAGTAGGACTAGGAAAAGACAGAGTACGAGTCAGTTACATTTTGTTTGTGACAGAAGTTGACCGCTTGAAGAGTCTGCCAGGTTATACTTTTTACAAGGTGCTCAGGAACTCTGTAAGACAAGAAGGAAACCAACATGTCAGGTTGATTAGCTCATTAATCACTAAACTAATAATCCTACTTGACAACTGAGCAAACAAGATCTGGGGTCTCTTTTAAAAACACTGCATACGCACAAAACGAGGCCTGAAAGAGGCGTACACCACTTCCCCATGGAAAAGTTGTGATGAATAAAAACAGACTTGATGTGAGAAACTGTGACCGATGCTTACAGACATTTTGGAGACAGGAAATTGGTGACGCAGATGGTGAGGTGGAAGCCTGGTTTTAAATGTTGTCGAATGTTTTTTTGGTGCACAACATTTTTGTTTCTTGTCTGTACATACATTTTTAGTATGGATCCTACACATTGTTTTACAAATGAGACCCCTGGAGATGAAGGTCATAACACTTGGCTGAAAGCTCCAGGAAGCTCTATCCATGTTCATCGGGTCAGGTCGTGGGGGCAGCAAGCAGAGCAAAGCACCCCAGACGTCCCTCTCCCAGCAACGTTTTCCAGCTCCTCCTGGGAGACCCCAAGGCGTTCACAGGCCTGATAGGATATGTAATCCCTCCAGTGTGTTCTGGGTCTGCCCGGGGCCTCCTACCAGTGAGACATGCCCAGAACACCTCCAATGGGAGGCACCCAGGAGGCATCCTGATCAGATGCCCAAACCACCTCCATTGTACCCTCACTCGTAAACAAAACCCCAAGATACTTGAACCCTGACCAATCAGAGCAGACTGGGCTTTTCAGCTGAGGGGCTTAAAGAGACAGGCGCTAACATCACCTTTTGTTCACCTCATGTACAGACAGTCATGCTCCCCAGAGGATTAACCTTAAAGAGGACCTGTTTTTCTCATTTGCAGGTTCATGCTTGTATTTTGGGTTTCTACTAGAACATGTTTCCATGCTTTAGCTGTCAAAAAATACTTCATTTTCCTCATACCGTACTGTCTGTGCAGGAACACCTGTATTCACCCTCTGTCTGATGAGGGATTTATACGTCTGCGTTGAATCAACACCGTACCCTACACTGTGGCCTGACGTGCACCTCCCTAGAATTTAAATACATGTGACACAGACCTCCTGTTTATTTCTGTAAGCTGAAACCATTTCCCTCAGTGGAAACAAAGCTTTTATTTACTTTAATTTCACAGACAAAAAAGAATATATTGTGAAGACAATAAAGCCTCCATAAAAAACATTTTATGTCTTGCATGTGATTTATCCTGGCTTCATATGAGCAGAGGAAATCTCTGTTTGTTGCTAGGATAATTTATACAATGTAAAATGCCATAAGCTTGTGCTAATAACATTAGCATGCTATATTTGTTTGGAAAACGTGTTTAGTGTGAGACAGTTATTCTGTCAGTGAACCTTGTGAGTTGTAATAGATATGAATTTTGTAACGTTACCTTTGTTAAATGTTGCTGTTGTCCCTGGCTTCATATGAGAAGAGGAAAAGTCCGCTAGCTGCTAGGCTAATTTATACAATGTAAAATGCCATAGGCTTGTGCTAAAAACATTAGCATGTTGTATTTGTGGGGAAAATGTGTCCAGATAAAGGCAAGTGTTTGTCTGTGGATGCTGCCAGTTATAGTGAAGCTGATTTGTGTACTTGTGTTTGAAATTGTCTCTATTAAGTCATGTTTAATGTGTGTTTAATGTGTGTTTTGGATCAACTAAAGTTTACAGCACTTCACAGAAACCCTACCGCTGACTAGCATTTTGGAGGTGTAACTGCAGAGTGACACAGACACCAAAAAATGAATCTAATAACAGAAGCATGAATGGATGGATAACTTTGTTTTTTAGATTATCTGAAAGCATCTTTTGTCTATTTTTTGCCATCATCTCTAGTTTTCGCCTGTCCAGCTCTGTCTTCGTCCCTGATCCCTCATACGGCTCTGCAGCGGACAGTGAGCTGTTTCCACTGTTCGTCTGGACGTCCAACACTGAGCCTTTGTTGGTTCAGAGACCATCATCCATCAGTGTTGCCGTGGAAATGGCTAAATCGAGCCTCGTGACTGGCAATTAATAACAGTCTCCGCCCCTTCTACCCCACTTTGTTTCCCCTTCTTTTGAACCCTCTGTGTCCAGGAGGCTACGGGCCAGCAGCAGAGGGAGACAACCAGACAGCCAAAACACTCCGTATAAAATGTGGCCCAGCCTAAAGAGTCCAGACAGCTCCACACCAGCAATGCATTCTGGGAGAGCATCACTGTAAACATTCCACAGTGGGCAGGTCAGTTTCCTGGGAGACGAGCGACGCTCCCGTCACAGTGGGACAAAGCTGGGTGTACGGTGTGGTGTATATGTAATGTAGAGATAATAGAAAGTACACAGCACTGTTGAATCAAAAGTCGCCGTGCTCAGATTTATGCTCGCAGTATCTCAGAGTGACAGAGTTATGTCAGTACAGTAAACTGAGCTGTGTGCTCCTTTCATATAACTCAGAAAAAACGATCCTCAATAAAGAAATATTTTCTTTTTATTGCATCACTAATACATGTTTCTAAAGGTTTATCGCTTTACACACACACAGGGCTGAGGATAAATCTTTAAAGGATATTTTTTACATCAATATCAATTTATTTTAACCTTAAGATTTTTGGAAAAGTCATGCTTCAGTTTATGTATAAACGCTTGTGTTATATGCTGTTTATAGTTGGTTTCATTTTGTCTTTCTTTATTTCTACGTCTTGTTTTTTGGTGAATATTTGGACATTTTATTTGGAATAATTTTGGTTTTATGACTAAAAATGAAACCAAAACCAACATATTTTATACTGTGAGCAACATGTGTAAAATCATGTATATATTTGACACTTAAAATGTTTATTTTTGACCTTGAAAACAGAAGTTAAACAAAAAACAATGTCACCTCCATGTCCATCCAGTAGCTCTTCTGGAGCTGTTGACTGTATCACATGATCTTCAACAGATAACAGTCTTAAAGCCGACCGGCATGGACAAGAAGTCCTGAAATTCTGAGTAAAAATTGACACATTTCTGTGAAAACTGGGCAAACTCCATCTGCTGAAGACAATCATGTGATTCAAAAACAGCCACTGAACTGACCTTGTGGTGAGATTTTATCAACCTCCATGAAGGTAAAAAAAAAAAAATAAATAATTTAGTCACTTTGTTAGTTTTTGTTCACAAAGTATTTGGATCAGAATTTTGTATATTGCCTTGTTTATCTTGTCGTGATATGATTGCACTGAACAATCTGACACTGTGTCGCAAAGCACATACTGGGCACTACATTCTCAATATGTGTACCATTGAATCACCACAGGATCCATGGCACAACATTACCACAATATTTAAGTCATGATACAATATTATTGCGATTTTCAATATGTTGCGATAACATATTTTGCAATATATTACCTTTTTTCAACTGTAAATTCTGTCCCCAAAGGAGAACTTTGTCAACATCTGTTTTATCTGATGACATAAAGTTTTCAGTTTGTTCATCTCACTTCAGCCATTTTTGCAGCAAAATGAATCCAGTGAACGGAAAGAGCAACGGATTGTATTATTCTAGTAGGCCACCTAAAGTTTGATTTCTATTTCTCATATTGATAATTTATATATATATATTTAAAAAATTGATACTTGGCACTGTGTGATGATACGATATTGTCACACAAAAATATCGCAATACTTAGCTGTATCAGTTTTTAACCCACCATTTTACAAACACAAATTGTAGTGTGTATCTTTTAAGACACCATGGTAACCCATGCCAATTTTAAAAATAGTTTGAAAACCATAATAAGTGAAATCTTACACATACTACATGCTTACACTTGAACTGAAGAGTACAGAGCTGTTGATCTCTGTCTTTTATAAATGTTATTGTAAACCGCACTGCATTGTGGGATACTTATGCTGACGTTTTTCCAGGTACTCCAGCTTCCTCCCACAGTCCAAACACATGCAGGTTAACTGGTGACTATGGCGTGCTATCGTCCTTTGAAACTAAACTGAGAACAGTCCTTTTAGGCTGCGCCTTTCAGTAATGTGGCTTGCCGATCTTGATAATTATTTTTATTATTTTATTTTTATCTTATTCTTCTGTCTTTTTTATGACTCAGGTGTCTGTTTTTTTGGCAAACTGTTGGTCTTAATTTTTTTTAAATTTAATTTAATTCTTACTATTTTTTCATGGTTTTAATGTCTTATTTATTCTTCGTGGATGGTTGCTAATCTTAATTATTTTAATTTATATTCCTACTTCTTCACGTTTATGCATCTCTTTTAACCGTGTTTATGTCTGTCTCAAGTTTTGTCTTTGCACATAGTGTTTATGGCTACAGCTTCTGTGGCAGCTCACGCACTGTGCAGCACAAATTAAATGTTCTGTATAAATAAGGTTTTGCTTGCTTTCAGTGAAGAGTCTGGAGACACACCCACCCTCTGGGATGGCGGTCCAGCTCGTTGAGGACCGTGTGGTCGCAGTACTCGAACACCAGGTGAAGCTTCCGTTTACGTCGAAACACCTCGATCAGGTTCACCAGGTTGGCGTGTTTCAGTTGCTGCAGAGATATAAAACACAGAAGACAAACACAGCTCAATAAAACCAGTAAACCAGTAGAGTAAACTGGTGAGAGAAGTGCACCAGCTGTGGTTTGCTTTTATCAAACAGACTAAACTGTTAACAGATGGTCATAAACATGCTGTTGCCCCTGACAACCCGTCCTCGTCCTGTCCTATTTATGAGCTCCTGATGTCCAGCAGCCTCACACACCCACCCACAGCATGACTAATTAAACCTCTGACAATTGTAGCGGAGCAGCTTTGATAATTAGGATGCAACAAAACACAAGCAGGTTTCAGCTTCAACAAAACAAAACTTACAAAACAGAATAGCCTTTATATTTTTATTTTTGTCCAAGGAGGAGACTAAGAGGTAAATGCTGTTGAAGTTTTGTCGTTTATTTCCACATTGATAAAGTCTCTGTTGCCAGGCAACACTAATCACTTAATGGTTTAGGTTTAATTGATTAAATTAACATCTAAAGTAAAATCAGACTTTGATTAAGTGAACAGTGCTGCACACTTTGTACTTAAGCCTTTTAATTTCTCATTTCCTGTTATTAAAATAATTTTCACAGTCATTTCACATCCTGATTTAAGTACTGCCGTCAGCCTCGACCCTGCAGGGTACTTCCTCTGTTTGATTACAGTGCTCTAAACTTCTTTTGAACGCTGCTCTTTTCTCTGTGCAGCAGCTACAAAACGCTTCCCCTCTGTCTGCAGAATTAACTGCATGCTGTCCCTCCTGCTGGCCGCTCGGCTCAGCGGAGACACTAAAAACAGGATTTGCATCTTTAGAAGGTCAAATCAGACTTTAGATTAAAGTGTTGCATCACAGGGTTGCTTTTTTTGACTGTGCAGGATTTTATTTTATGTCCAGGATAGAATTTAAAGTAATAGGGAAGAGAAAAATCATAGACCAAACTCTGATCACTAGTTTATTTATATATACTTTCTACCATCTACCAACCATATTATGGTGAGATGGGAGTCAACTATATTTCACAAGTAAAGCTGTAGCTTCTTTGATGAAGAAAGACATAATGTGAGTCAGTATAATACCAAATTTGTTGATATTTATTTATTTCTTTATTTTTCATGAATTTGAAGTATCATTACAAATGGGTACAGAGGCCAGGAAAAGACAAAAAAGTGAAAATGCTTTTCATAAGACAAAATTTGGATTTACTAAGTCAAACTGTGAGCTAAAAAGTAAAACGTTTTCATTATTAATGTCATCTTTTGATATACTCTCATAATCTTGATTCAGTAAATCAAAATCCTTAAATTATTATTTTGATGTCCTCTCTCATAATTTCAACTTAAAAATACAATAATAACAACATTAACATTTGACTCATTATATCCTAAATTTGATTTTTTTTTTTTTTTTTAATATATATATATATTTTATCAAAGTTTTTGGACATTTTCTCTCTTGAAATTAACTCATAAACCAAAAATATAACATACTCTATCGTAACCTTTTATGTACCATCTCAAACTTTTCACTTGCTTTGTCAAATTTGTGAGATAAAAATCTTTTTAGAGTTTTAATCTCATACTTGTGATTTACTTTCATAATCTTGCTTTGGCAATTTATTTATTTTTTTACTTTTTCCTCTTATAATTGTGACTTAAGTCAAATTTTGACTCACTAAATCATTATTTTGATGTACTATCTCATAATTTTAACTTAAAAATGCAATAACACAGATGTTTGACTCCCTATCTCCTAATTTTGACTTACATTTTCTCTCATAATTTTGATTTAATAAGCCATATTTGACATACTGTCTTCTAGGTTTGATGTGATATCTCAGACTTTTGATTTTTTTTAAATAAAAATCTAAAAACTTGACTTAAATTAAGAGATAAAAAGTCAAAATTTTGAGTTACTGAATTACTCTCATAATCTTGATTTGGTAAATAAAAGTTGTTTTATTTTTTCCACATATAATTGTGACTTAAGTCATTTTGATTTTGACTTACTAAATCATTATTTAGCCGTACCACCTCACAATTTTAACTCAGCAATGCATGAATGTTGGACACATTTTACTCATTATCTCCTAATCTTGATTTAGAGATTCAACTTTTTCACTCTTTAATCTCATTTTTTGACATTTTCTCTCATAATTTTGATTTAGTAAGCCAAAATTTTACATACTGTATTCTAGAGTTGATGCGATATCTCAGACTTTTGACTTGCTGAGTCCAATTTTCAACATAAAAAAATCAAAAAACTGATTAAAATAAGGAGCTAAAAAGGTCAAAATGGTGAGTTTAATGACATACTTTTCATTTACTCTATTTTCCTCTAATAATTGTAACTTAAGTCAAACTTTTGATGTACAATCTCACAATGTCAACTCAATAAAACATTAATAATGTACAGATTTGACTCATTATCTCCTAGGTTTGACTAAGAACATAAAAAAAAAATCACTGTGTATCATCATTTTTGACATTAATAAGCCAAAATTTGATATACTGTCTTCTAGGTTTGATGTGATATCTCATACTTTGGACTTACTGAGTCAAATTTCATAATTGTGAGATATAATTAGAATTTGTATTTAATCCTGACTAAACTTTTCCAGGCAGCACTGGGCCTCCATACACAGATATATCTGTAACTGTTGTTACATCAGTTTAACATCAGCTGGGGAGTTTCTGAGAGCAGAAACAGAAGGTATGAAGGACATTAACGTGCCGTCACCTTGAGCATCCTGATCTCCCTCAGTGCAATCTTCTTGATGATGGGATCGTCCTCTGACTCCACAAACTTCTTGATGGCGACGATCTGCCCCGTGTCTCTGTTCCTGCACTTGAAGACGACGCCATAGGAGCCCTCTCCGATCTTTCCTATCTTCTCGTACTTCTCCATCGTCAGGCTACAGACATCCAAAGGTGACAACTCTTTACCAGGACGGTCCGAGGAGGTAGAGCTGTCTGAGAGGAGACACAGGAAGGGTTCAGAGAAGAAGAGTGAGGCTCATTTGACCAAATTCAGCCAAATTTCGACTTATTTTGATGTACCATCTCATAACTTTAGCTTAAAAATACAATAATAATACAAACCTTTGACTCCCTACCTTCTAATTTTGACTTAGTGCATCAAAACTTTAATTTTTATCTATTTTTTTGACATTTTCTCTTGTACTTTTGACTTAATAAAACAAAATTTGACACTGTCTCATAACTTTTTTTGTACTTTCTCAGACTTTTGACCTGCTGAGTCAAATTTGTGAGACGAAAATCTAAAATTTGACTTGAATTAAGAGATAAAAAGTCAGAATTATGAGTTTTTAATCTCATACTTTTGTATTTGCTCTCATAATCTTGATTCAGTAAATCTAAATTTTTACTTCTTTTTTTTTTAAATTTTGACTCATCAAATCATTATTTTGACTTATCATCTCACATTTTCAACTCAATAAAACATTAATAATGTACACATTAGACTCATTATCACCTCATTTTAACTTAGAATATCAAATTTCCCTCATAATTTTGATTTAATAAGCTAAAACTGTATATACTGCCTCATAAGTTTTTATGTACTATCTCAGAGTTTGACTTGCTGAGTCAAATTTGTGAGATAAAAATCTAAAATTTGATTTTACAAAAGCTGGAATAACTTCATATTAAGGATCAAAGCTAAGTCAAATCTTAATGCTTACTGGACAAGCTACAATAATGCTTTTATAAAAAGACATTACCAGTGTCCAGTGTACCAGTGTCTCCAGGACTGTGTCCATGCAGGGACAGATCACAAAATATGTCAAGGGATGAATTCTCAGTTGTTATGGCTGGAGTCACTACAGTGACTGGAATAAAAGTCAGGTACTGAAAGTGAACAAACCCCCTGAAATAAAAGAATGGGTCGACTGTATGATAAAAACTGCCTCTTATGTATCCATGCTGCCTGGGATGACTAACGGTGCTCAAGGACCAATCTGGGGGGATTTTTGGAATTATTTTGCATGGTCCGGGTGAATTTTGTTTCGCCTTGCCCTGCCTATTTTATTTTACTTTTTTATTCCTTTTTTTAAAAAAAAAAAAAAAAAATACTATCACTATTTATTTTATTGTGTTTATTTATTAAAATTTAAATTGATTATTTTGATTGTTTTTAGGTGGACTGGGACTGGTGCTGTGCCCCCTCATGTACGGATTTTTTATTTTTATCTTTTATTTTTTCTTTTATTTAGTCTCATTTAACGTGTAGAACTGTCATGTGACAACCTAACCAAAATCAAGAAAAAAATTAATTATATGAATAAAACAATGCTTTTATAAAATATTGAATGCATTTTAGTTTTTTCATGTTTTGACATCAGATTTTATTTTTACTTCTGCATCAACTATGGTGAAAAACAGCTGATTGCAGAGAAACACGTCATGCATAATTACTAAAATACACTGAAAAGCATATTTAAGAATGTACATTTAATCTAGACAATACTAAGCTCTATGCAGGCTCAGATTGTGTTCAACCTGTTGGTCATGATGTTAAGAAAAACCTCTCCAACTGTCTCCAAACGACAGATTTAATTGCTTGGAGGCAACATTACACCTGTCTCCCAACAGCTGGATTGCATAACCAAACATTTGCAATGCAAAGTATATTCGGTCATTTCCCAGAGGGGGGATCCAGAGCGAAAACAGATAACACACAGAGAGTGAACAGCCAGAGGGAATACAATCAAAGTGCTGCACTGATCTGCACATTATATTACAGTTACATGTATGAACAGCTCAGGCTGCTGCAGCTTTATGACTGTTGGTGTGAAGGCTGCATGTGAAGGTTGCATGCTGCACTAAAATTCTTGAGGTTGAGAAAAGTTGCCTCGTGACACTAGCTGATCATGGAAGTAGAGGCATTTTGATATTTCTAGGCGCAATATCTCAGTAGAAACGCTTCCTGTTTGTCAGAAAATGTAAATATAAAAACTTACTTTAGTTTGAGTTGAAAGTGCTCGCAGGTGTTGGTCAGTTAGAGTGTCACACTCAGTGAGGAGCTGCTGCTGCTTCTTCTCCCTCTTCTTCTTCCTCCAAACACAACCAGGTGGACGATCACAACTCATCTGTCCCTGCAGACACCAGCAGCGTCATGTTTATAAGAGTCACTGTCATAGAGTAAACCTGGACATCCGGCCGGGCCCTTCAAAATAAATTACAGCATAAGCACCATTTAGTAGCTACATGTTCTGTGGATATATAACAGATAATGGAATTGACCCACTAACAACAGGCCTCCTAAAAATAAATATATAATACAATAAATACATACAAATACACATACAAGTAAAAATAAATGAATAAATAAATAAAAATCAAAATTAAAGTAAAAAATAAATAATTAAATTCAGTACACAAATACATAATATATATATGAAAATAATAATATATATAAAAACAGTCCTGCATTCAAGATTTTCTTTGAGTAACAATACAAAAATATTACAATCAAAATATACTTTAAGTACCAAAAGTAAAAGTACACATTATGACAGGCCTGTGTCAGAATAATACAATTATTAGATAATAATTAATATTGCAATAATGTGTTCATCACTGCAGTGTTGTAGATGGTATATATGGAGCATCTTTTTAAATTTGTTTCTTTATTTATTTTATACATTTACTTTGCTTTTCAGCACACAGTACCACTGATATCGTAAAGAAAAAAATAAATTAAAAAAATTCACACACACAAAAATACAAGACAATAATAACCAAGGGATGATTGATATTTGAAATTGATATTTATTTTGAACATGTAAAAATAAAACAAAAAAGACACGAACATACAAATAAGCCAAAATACGTTTAATTTACAACATAGTTCAGAAGCTTTAAATTTACAAAACCAGGGTACAGTGTTAAACCACTTTATGCTTAAATTAAGATTAACACAGAATTTGGGTTGCACAATGTTTTTTTTGTTTGTTTTTTTAAATATCATCATCACAATGTCAATTTTCTGAAATAATTGAGAGTCTCAGTAGAAAACTCCACTTTGAAATGGCACCATTATTTTATTATTAGAGCCTTTTGTGTTCAGTTAATTTTGTTTGATATTATTGCAATTTGTTGTATTTTAACAGTTAACTGGAAGCAGCAGAAAGGCAAAAGTAAGCACACTTTAATATCTGTTCATTCATTATTCATTTTCATAATTTTAGTTTAGTTTAGCTTACTTTAGCTTAGCTTTGTTTAGATTAGTTTAGATAAGTTTATCTTATCTTAGATTAGCTCATCTTAGTTTAGGTTAACTTAGTTTAGTTTCCTTTAGTTTAGTTTAGCTTATCTTAGTTTAGTTTAGTATAGATTATTTTATTTTACATTATCTTATTTTAGCTTGGTTTATCTTAGTTTAGCTTCATTTAGTTTAGCTTATCTTAGTTTGAGTTAGCTTAATTTAGTTTAGTTTAGCTTAATTTAGCTTACCTTTGTGTAGATTAGTTTATCTTGGATTATCTTATTTTAGCTTGGTTTAGTTTAGTTTAGCTTCATTTAGTTTAGCTTATCTTAGATTAGCTTATTTTAGTTCAAGTTAGTTTAGTTTAGTTTAGCTTAATTTAACTTAGCTTAGTTTAGCTTAGCTTAGTCATTTACTGGTAGATAAATATACTGATATAGATATACAAATAGACAATAAATAAACATGAAGTTAATTATTTAATTAACATAAAAAACAAAAGGTAAACACAAAAACAAAACAGGACAGAAAACATATAGGCTAAAGCCTTAGCTTATTACACCTACCCTTTAGCATTCATTGTTTTTGTCTGCTCCCTTTAAATCACGAGTACAGTTTTTGAAATATGTAACATCATTGCCTGTTGTATATTTTCCTCTTTTTGTGCAATCCTTCACAGAATACAGATGTAGAGACTAACTCCAAGAAAAAGGGGTAATGAAAGAAGAAATAAAAGTACAGACTTGTATAAACAATATAACCTTCTGATCATCTATCAAAGAGCAAAACTGGTAGTATTCATTTGTTATTTAATTGGTCTTTACAATTTAGGATAGCTGGGGGGCGTTGTTATAAAGTCAAAGCACAAAGGGGAGAAGTTGAGCACATTCTCATTACATCTTATTTTGAAGGTGACATCATCTCACTTCCGGTATCATCCACCGACTCCACTTGACACATTTCGCCCCTTTCCTCTCCAGTTCCCATAGGAACAGCTGACTGACTCCACCTCCACAGGGGAAAAAAGGAAAAGAGGCTCCTATGGGTTTTTATGTTGATTTGTAGATTTTCACACCTGACAGTCAGAGTCACAGATCAGTTTAAAAATAAAGAGGCAGGTAAACAAGTGGGAAAACATCCACACAGATAAACAGCCCAGTCTGATCTCACTGATGCTCCTGTCCTATGAAAACCTGAATCACTTTTATTTGTAGTAAATTAGTTTTATCATTCTAGGATTAATTTCTTGCTCTTTAGAGTCGTGTTTTTTTTGGTGACGATCAGAGCATCCAAATCTGACATCATTCCACAAGAGGAAAATTTAACTCTGACGTGTTTTCCTGTCGCAGTGAGACTAATTAGCGTGGGTGGGAGAAGACACAAGAAGTGACAGACTAAACAGGAAAATAATGGAAACTAATACTCACCCATATTCCCCCGTTCCTCCCATCAGAGACTCATCATCAGCGAAGAGTAACTCATCATCCGCTCTGTTACATCACATCAGTCTCACAAAACAACACAAAAATAAACCCCAGTCCGTTTGTGTCATCTTGTTAACAACAGCTTTTTTTTTATTACAAAAAAAAACCCAGCATACATTAAACATTTTGCGAAGGGGAATGCAAAGATGTTAACAAAAACCTAGCATCGTCCCTCATTTTGTCATTTTATTTTAAATAAAAAAATGTACAAAAGTGCTTACATGGTGCAAATAATGAGAAGTAAAAGGTCTATAAAAGAGGAAGGTAAAGAGGAAAAACAATTTACATTATATCCAACTTCTAAAAACGCAGCAGAGCAGGAGAGAAGCGACTATATTACATTAGCAGTAAAAATAACCCAAAGCTGCTCAGGAGCTGTTCACTAGGTAGTTAATCCTTACACAGCAGGACCGCTCTGTCACTGTCTGCTAACACGGTCTGTAAATCAAACATACCCTATCACTTATCAGGAGGTTAATAAATATTGCTTAAATAACCCACAATGCTCGTGGGTTTCTGTTTAAACTGAGCTATTAGTTTGACTACAGAGTTGGTAAAATCTCCTCTCAAGCCGACAAGCGTTTGCCTCTGGCGGTGATTATGAGCGACATGTTACAGACGATAATAACACAATAAATCTCCCACTGTTTCGCTAATACAATCACAAATTCTTGTGAATCTTAATGGCACTTTCGTCAATAATACCTCTAGATAACTTGTAACTCAGTCCACAGTACAGAAGAGTGAGAAAATTCTAAGTAACAATGTTCATCTGAGCTTTTATTGTTTCTCCACTGTCTGCTCGTTGACAGTTTGTGATGAGCGGAGCTACAGTAAACTGATGTAAGGCTACTCATGAATCCACGCTGATGAGGCTCCTCTTATCACTGACCTGTCCGTTCCGTGATCAGTAACAAAAGCTCCCAATAACTGTTTTAAACCAGACGCTTCCCTGCACAGGTGAGAGTCTGGAGTTTTCTCCCAAATACTGAGGCATGTTGACCGCTTTTCTCCGAGGAGAGGCTCAGTAACTGTTCTCGTGACCTGCTAAGATGTAGAGGTTGCTCAGGGCCGTGGGGTTGTCTGTGGGTCGGCTCTCCAAAACCACCACCCTGCAAAAGAAGAAGACAACACGGTTAGAGCATCACACAGAAATACAGGAGGATGCTGCTTATGGTACCTGGAGAACGTTAAACCGAAGCTGTAATAAAAAAGTTTCATGTCAATCTGGCAACTTTAAAACTGAAATCCTGCTCTTATTTCTATTTTGCAAATCTGCAAGTGGTGCTTTTTGTGGTTTGGTATTGGACGGTGGTCGCATGTGGCTGCAAGTCACTCATCGGTATGTGGAAATTGACTCACCAGTCTGTAAACTGGCTGATGTATTTAAATGTAAACATCAGTTAACATCTAGGAAAAAGTGGAGAAAAATGAGCACCAGCTAAACTTGCATCCTGCTACCCATTGTACAGACGTTGGAAAATAAATGGTAAATGATAAATGGACTCACACACTGATGGAACAGCCACTGGGAGCAATTTGGGGTTCAGTATCTTGGCCAAGGATACTTTGACATGTGGACTGGAGGAGCCGGGGATCGAACCACCAGTATTTTGATTAGTGGTTGGAAGTGAAATCAAAACAACTTGTCTATTTCTACATGAAGTAATCTTTTAACATTTATTTGCTGTCTTACTGAGCGTTAGATGAGATGATTGATACCACTCGTGTCTGTGTGGTGGAAGTCGGTGCTATTTTTTTGGTTAGCTAACTTTGTATGTGAAGGAATGGAAAACAATGGCATTGAAAATTGAGAAAATGTTGGAAAACACTGAGGTTAATGTATCAGAGCTAAAAACTCCTGCTAATGCATTAATGACAAAACTCAAAGCATCATGTTAGTGGTATCGATACACTCAGGGGGGAGAGTGCACTACCAGTTTATAGTAAACGGCACATTTAGCGTCCTGATGTATCCGTCACAGTCAGATCAGGACGTCAGTAGGTGCATCTTCAGATGCCATGTGGTGGTGACAGATGAGCAGGGAAGCTACAGTCCATACTGTCCGTTCCATCAGATGAAATTACAGAGGCATGGAGAGACACTCAAACCAGGCTGGCAGTGCCCAGGCAGCGGTGAATAAAACATGGGGGGCTGGGCAGAGAGAGGCCTCGCTCCGGTGCCACAGGCAGGGCGGCTTCATCAGGAGCACTGGGAGAGCCTCCCTCACTGAGCAGGCTCTCTGTAAGCTATTGTGTGTGTGTGTGTGTGTGTGTGTGTGTGTGTTTGTGTGTGTGTGGAGCTAAATCAAACCTTGCTGTGTCTGCAGCTGAAACCAACTGTGATGACATCAGTCTGAAACAACTATCTGAATAGTCGTTACTTCATTTGAGCCGTTTAGTTACCAAACATTAGGGGGCCTTGGTTTCTCAAATGTGAGGCTTTACAGTTTTTCTGTTTTGTATCATGAATAGATTAAAGCTGGGGTAGGCAGTTTTATATAAAATGCAAAATAAATGGCAGAATTTGAAAGTACAGCCCTCCTTTTGCAGGTCTCCCCTCTCTGTCTTAAGCCCCTCCCACCAGATGAACACAGGTGTGTGCATGCACTTCACACATGAACCTGTACGAATACTAGTCATTCATTTCAATCATCCTGATCATAACTGTGATCCCGATGTTGTTATGTAGTGGCGATTCTATGAGAATCATTGTCCTGTAAAGCCCTTTGAGATGACAAACTGATTCCAGGCTCTAGCTAACGGAAGTTATATAAACATCAACGTGAATTAGCTGAACTTGAGTTTAGCAGGAGGCCAAACTGTTAGCAACATTTTCTCTGCATCTCTGAAACATTTTGCCGATACTGATGCGTTTTATATCGTTAGTTGTCGGACTCTCTTTTAGACTCTAAGTGATAAGTCTGTCCTCCTTTTTTTGGGTTGCTTTGCAGAGTAAGCAGTAACACCATCTCTCTGAAATCGACATGATTGGCCAAAGTCTTTCGTCACAGGCTAGTTTTTCTTTGGGTTTTGAAGCAATTTCAAGACATCACTTTGGGCTCTGATGAACTAAGGATGAGCATTTCTCACTTGTTTTTGACATTTTCTAGATAAATAGTGACAAAATTATTTATTGACATATCTAAAAATAACTATTTAACATAACACCTTTATGACCGTTAGTGAGGTGTCTAACATTTCACTCAGCTTTCATGTCTCAGCCATCAGAGCATATGAAGCAACAAACATGAAACAGAGTCAAAAGGGCATCCAAGGGTAATGTCAGGGGGGCATTCAGGGGCAGCAGGGTTTAGAGTCATCAGAAGAAAAATCAGAAAGTACAGAAAATATAATCTAAGAACAGACAGATGAAGAAAGTTGTTTTGAGTTACGCTGAAATTAGATAAGAGGCAGGTGAGACCAGCAGCACAGTGAGAGATGTAGCAGAGGCAGCAGGAGATGAGAGCTGTGGCCTCACAGCACAGAAGGGGAGCAGGCTGTTTGCTGGTTTCCAGGTAATAAGACCTGAGGGAGGACAGCCATAACACCAGTCTGGTATTATGGTCATGGGGCTGATAAACTATCCCCACAGTAGTATTTTTAACAACACAAACAAACAGGATAAGTGAGGAAAGATAGAGTGAGAGCCTGTTTGTTTTTATGAGGTGATGTGTTTTCTAAGGCCTCTGGGATTTTTGTTGTACGTGCTCCTCCACTCGGTGTGTTTGATCACTCATCTGCACTGATGTAGCTAAAGATGGAAATATCTCTGTACCAACCTGTCAGATCCGAGGAGGCGGAAGACTCTGCTTGGATCACAGATCTCCTGGGTCACCTGGGGAGCAAAGACACACAAGTGACTTTAACTGACAGCTGGTTTTCTGTTTATCTGAAGTACTGGTGGTGCAGTGAGAGCTTTGAAACACATGAATTTTATAGGATGGATTCACCAGAGCCCCTTAGAGTTCACAAACCCATACATAAAAATATTTAGCATGGGCGGCTCCTGTCTTGAGCTGTGCAGAGACAATACACTTTGATCAATCTTGTATGTTACATTAACTCGCTCTGCACATTTTAAATTGCAGCCAACACGTTTGACTTCTATACTCACAAAACATTACTATTAATTAACTGTAATTTTGTCTGCGTACTGACACACCTGTCAATCAATTTGCGGTTCCCATGCAGTGTTTGAATTTTGGTGGCAGGGTGACTGTTTACATGTGGATCACTTATTGTACCTTTAACAACAAGATGTCTATATGTTTTTTAACAGTCTGTAGGTGACTCTGTGGGTCTGTCTCTAGGGACTCTGTGTAACTGTGTACCGTTCTGTCGCTCTCCTGTTCTAGTCACAAGATGTAGCCTGACACTTTGCAGTGTAAAAGACTGGGGCCCCTTCAAAACACACTCTCACGTGTTGACATGTCATGAAAACTTGTCGACAGATGCGAGATAGTCGACGTGTGACACCTGCTAGGTGTAAGTCCTTGGCCTCGGGAGAGATCTGATCTGTTTAAGTCTAAACGAGAACAAGGTCTCGGGTGTTCAGAGAAGCACCCACCGGAGCAAACACGGATCAATAAGCCTGCCCCCCTTGAATGCCTCCGCTTTTGAGAGGAATCATAACGAGACAAAGGCTGAATTATTTAGTGCTGCTCCCTGTTGTGTGACGGGTTTCGTTTATGATTGAGCATGAATTTTGCATGGCCGCTGACATTTCAAAAATCCTTGCTGTGGAGAACTGTCAAGCTGGGCTGGGTGCAGACTCGGCAAACAGACCTTCTGTTTCATCTGAGTGCCACGGGGCCACGTCTGACACGGCGAGCTTTCAAAAGCGTGGCCCCTATCGCTGTATCACTTTTCATAAAAACAGAATGCTTCACCTCCCCGCGATCTCTTGAACTTTTATTCTGCTGCTGAGCGCAACTCGTGATCAGGTTAACATGGAATCCCTCCTTGAAAGGAGGACAAATTCATTACCTCGGCCCGAAACAAAGACACCTTGTGTTGCTCCACCTGAGGTCTAATCTCCTGGGATCACCTACAGCATGTAGCCATGCATATGAACTGCCAGCACTCAGGGTCTTTGTTGACAAGAGCCGGAGGTGTTTGTTCATGTACTGAACAAACAAGCCTGTGTTCACTGCAGGGAAGTGACAAACAAGAGTTTCTACTCTGCAGTCACCGAGAACCCATGAAAAGTGACACCTATATTATAGTATGAATATTGATTTAATGGTGAGTTTTCTGAGTCGATAGGTATCTTTACTTGAACAACTCCAAAGTACTTTATCAAAATTAACTTTGTGAATTTGTGCATCAATGTCACAGCCACCCAGCTGTCATGGTCATGAGATATTTTACCTCATTAGACTTGAAGCTCTTTCCCTGCATGCCGTGTTTCCAGAAGGCCAGAACGCTGTCCTGAAGGCACACTGTCAGAAGACAAAGGAAAAGGCCGTGTGTAAGTGCACAACGGTCAAGGTAGCCACTGAAAGACTGCCAACTTGATTAAGAGGAACAATGCAATTCATTTTGACTTCACAAAAAGCCCTTTTGTAGATGTAACAAACAAGCTTGCTGGATATACAGCCAGCTCCTACTGTACACTTGCCAGCTCGTCATGCTGGGAGTTTTTATATATTTCCCTTGAGAGAATTGAGAGAAGCTTACCAACAGATCCGATGCAGAAGTCGAAGCTGAGCTCAGATGCCAGCTTCTTGTTGGACTTCAGTCGGCCCTGGAGATTAACAATCTTCAAATTTTCTGGGGAGAGAAACAATAAGAGGCTGTGAGAATAATGTCACAGAACATTGATACCTACATCTGGACTATAAAACAACAAGTTGTAGCTGATTAAAAGAGAAACTTACGGTCCAAACACACCAACACTGTGTCTCTCTCCAGCTGGGTGACATGGATTGCGTCCACTTGCTGATGAGCTGTGGGAAGGAAAGCTCAAAGATTACCAATCATGTTCCCCAACATCCTCGGCAATGTACCGTTTATTTGTGATAACTCATAACATCTTCAATTGTTTCATGTAAATTAGTTCTCCATTACTGTATTAGTTATTTTATTATTAAATACTGTAGTTTAGTAACCACACTTTTCACCAGCCTGTTTCACCTCACTACTGAATTTTTCTTCTAAACTGCTGTTCATGTGCAGAGGAAGCAGTAGCACAGTATGTTAGGTCTCAATATGTGAAAGTAAACAGACAGCCTTTTATCACATGCTGTCCCTGGTCGTTCAAAACTTCACAAAAGCCCTTGAAGAGGATGCTGTATCTCACATGATACCAATGTTGAATCCACAAAGATGTGCTGCATTGGACATAGACAGATTTGTTTCTCCAGAAAACGTCCATTCCACCAGGTCTCCACAAAACATGATATGCCTTATTATTGATATTATAGTATTCCTCTTTACATCCAAGCACGTGTTGGACTTACTTGTTCCCATCTCTGTGAACCAGGAGGAGCAGGAGTTGAGGTTGATGGTCTCAAAGCGGACCACCTGGCTCGGCTCGGTGCCCTGGCTGATGGCCACGCACACCAGAGGATACTCCTGCTCCGGGACCACCAGCATCTCAAACACCTTCAGTGGGCTGGGAAGAGGGAAGTCAAAGTGCTGCCGCAGGGAGAGAGAGAAAACATGGAGGTTGGTGTCAATGCTGTGCTGATGTTTAATGATGAGGGTTCCTACACTTCTTTGTAGATATTTCATAATTGACATATGAATAAAAATATGTAGAATCACTTGGAAAAGTTATATAATTTGCTTTTCACGGTGTCTGTGCAGCCTTGTTTATTCACTGTGTCCATGGAAACGTCTTTGAACGCAGCTATAAAAGCACAGTTTCCCAACATAGAAAGGATAGTCTGTTTACGTTCCTGATAACTACATAACTCATAAATGTTTAGACAAGCGTCATTTTTAGTTATTTGTGATATTTGCAGTTCAAAGATGTTGCCACATTTTCTTTCAAACATATTTGGTCATAGTTGTCAGCATTTGATTCAGTTAGAGGACACTTAGAGCAGAGCGGTTTTTGCAGTCTTTGACACACAGATGTAGAGGCAGCTCTGCGTAGGAGTGTGTGCTCAGATGCAGCTGTACTTCTTGCTTTGCTTTCAAAGACATCAAGCTCGCTCTGGTCCACGCTCTGTCATACAGTGGGAAATAAGGGAAATAGTCTGAAAACATAAATATTTTTTCCATACTTATCCAGAACTGTGTAGGAACCCTCAATGATGCTTAGAATTTATTTTGTAGAGGAAAGCTGGTGGCACTTAAGTGTTATGCTTAAAAACGTCAATGCAGAGCCTACGCCGTAGCCTGATGTGCACCTCCCCAGAAATGTAACTAGATGTTGCGGCGACACAGACCTCCTGTCTACTTTTGTAAGATGAAACCATGTCCCTCAGTGCAAACGAAGCTTTTATTTATTTTTTTTAATCTTAATTTGATATACTTTATAAAATTCATTTTTTTCACTCTGTTGTCAATTACACACAGGTCCAAACACACACATGCATAACCAGGACCTATACATGCACTAGGTGGAGGGATGTCAGAGTGGGGCTGCCCATGACAGGCGCTTCGAGCGGTGAGGGGGTTCGGTGGGGTTTGGTGCCTTGCTCAAGGGCACCTTGGCAGCGCCCAGGAGGTGAACTGGCACCTCTCTAGCTACCAGTCCACGCTCCATATTTTGGTCCGGACGGGGACTTGAACAGGCGACCCTCCGGTTCCCAACCCAAGTCCCTATGGACTGAGCTACTGCCCTTACTTTAATTTCACAGACAAGAAACAAATTGTGAAGACAATAAAGCCTCCACAAAAATAGCATTTGAAGTCTTGTGTGTGATTTATCCTGGCTTCACAAGAGCAGAGGACATCTCCGCTTGTTGCAAGGCTAATTTATACAATGTAAAATGCCATAGGCTTGTGCTAATAACGTTAGCATGCTATATTTATTTGGAAAATGTGTTTAGTATAAGACAGTTATTTTGTCAGTGAACCTTGTGAGTTGTATCAGAGCCAAATTTTGTAACGTTACCTTTGTTAAATATTGCTGTTGTCCCTGGCTTCATATGAGTAGAGGAAACTTCTGCTAGCCACTAGGGGTGTAAATCACCAGCTTCATCACGATACGATATTGTATCGATTTGTTTGGATGACGATACAATGTTTGCTGATATTACAAAGTCTGTCACGATACGATTTTGATTCGATTCGATTCAGGAGCCTGCGATCGATATAACGTGATATCATACGCCCATCTAACACAATCATTTACATCAACTCACAAAAACAACTAGAATATGATTTGACCATTTTATTTCTGAGTTCTGTTTGTTGTTTGAGCGGAGGCACGCTTGCCCAGAAATGGTGACACAGACGTGCTATGTGAATTTCAAAATAAATGTGTATCTTTAAGATGACGATATGGATCGATGTTTTCATTTTGCATCAATATAATCGGATCGTTAATCAATGAATCGATGTGGATCGATGTGGATCGATGTATCGTTACACCCCTACTAGCCACTAGGCTAATTTATACAATGTAAACTGCCATAGGCTTGTGCTAATAATGTTAGCATGTTGTATTTGTGAGGAAATGTGTCCAGATAAAGACTGTTTGTGAATGCTGCGAGTTAAAGTAAAGCCGATTTATGTGCTTGTGTTTGAGATCATCTCTATTAAGCCATGTTTAATGTGTGTTTAATGTGTGTTTTGGATCAACTAAACTTTACAACACTTCATAGAAACCTCCGCCACCTACCAGTGTTTTGGAGGTGTAACTGCAGAGTGACACAGACACACCACTGCACAAGGGGGTTGGCCACGTGCGTAGGCTACGGTGTAAGATCTGCCACACAAGTATAAATCCCCCTTTACTGGAACATTTGTGGAGGAACAGTGATGTTTGTGATGACAAAAGAAAGCCATCCACTCACCTTGATGAGCATAAACCTTTGCATGGGCTCATACCACTGCAGCAGGACAATCCCAGACTGCAGTGCTCCGCACAGGTACTTGTGGCCAGTATATGGATTTCTCACTGTAAAATAGAAAAGATTGTATGAAGGTCATTTATAACAGATTATCAGCAGCATATGGGGAGCGAAAACACACAGTAATGAATAATCTGGAAAATTTAATCTATTCAAAACCCCAATTACATAAATGCATTATATTAAACTTCATGAGGGCTTAAAGAACAACAACACTGCAGCAAAGTAAAGGGGGCATGCCCAAAACAGAGATGTCCCTGATGTATTGACACAGTTGATGGAAGGGTGAGTAAATAAAACAGAGTGGTTGGGAGGGAGAGGCCACTCACCAATGCAGCATTTGTGACAGCCCTTTGTGTCGGGGATCTTAGTTGTCAAGGCAAACCTCCTGAGGAGAGAAAACAGTGAAGTTGTTGTGACGACAGTCTTAAAAGAGCTGATGACGTCTAGAATCGGGGAAGTTGGCCAGTGGTACTCCTTTTTTCCTACCACTGCAGCCGTTTGTCACGATGGTAGACGGTGAGGAACAAAAAGACTGCACAGCATGAGTGAAGCAACATGCTTTAAGTTACAAAAGCAGAGTTGTGACCTTATCACACAAGTGACAGGAGTGTTGCTGAGAATGTCACACACGAGACAGGATTAGGACAAACCTATAGTTACCGCCTTGTGGTTGGTCGCCTCCGCCAATCAGTCAAGTTGCAGTTTACATCCATTTCTGTCCAGACTCATTTGTTACCATGACAACAGACTATGCTTCAAATATCAGTGTCGCTACAAATTCTAAAACATGGATGCTTCACACACATCCCCAACCCGGCAGCACAGAAGATCTACACAATCAGCATAGTTTTCAAGGTGTGTCACCAATTCAGTGACTCCCTCCAGGATGCTGCGACTGCAATCATTAATACAAGTTCAGCCAATCCCCATGAATTCTGTGCAGGCCAGCCATGAGGAAATATGGGCAGGGGGACAAAATTTTCAAGAGTGGGCCCCTCTTCCACACCCAACGTGCAGGGTGGTGGTGGTGGCTTATACATCTTTATACTTCCTGCAAATATTACCACATGTATCTTGTATCTACTTGTACTTATATCTACTGTACTTTATCCCAGTTAAGGGCTAACCATAGACCTTTCCATGGTCCCCCCTTGATTTTGGGCCAGGGTCATCTGTACCTTTTGACCCCCCCTGGCAGTGGGCCTGATTCTGTGCAACTTTGCAATTTTGTCCAATCACTGCAACTTTATTGCTAATTTGACTACTTATACAGTCTTTGGTAAAATCTCACTTCATTATAAGGCTGCATGCAGCGGATTGATTCACTTAGCCCCTAATTGCCCCTTTCCCACTCTCTCTGTTTATCTTTAGAGTACTGATGCAAGAGTGTGAGCTCTGGACCTGGGAGGATTGAGACACTAACACACATTAACAGGGCTAACTGTTAGCATCACAGGCCTAACAAACTTAAAAACTTAACTTAAACTTAACGTTACTCAACATTTATTAACGGGTTTAATGTCAGAGTTGAGCTGCTTCAGTGTCAATGTGAAATTGTTAGGACTCTTAAATGGCTTGATGTTGGATGTTAGCTGCAGCTGCTTGCTAGCTCAAGCTAACTGGGCAGAGAGAGCGGAAGATGAGCAGCTTACATAGACAATTTTTCAGTGCTGCTTACAATGCCAGTTACAGCTGATCACTGGCGATCAGCTGTTGCTGCCCCCCATTCCACCCCACTACCATCACAAATATATTATAATTCTGTGGTAAACACTAAATGCTCATAATAATAGACTCAGAATATGAGACAGTGTTAAAACTACTTTTTGCAAGTTTTACTTGTTCTACTTCTTTGTTTATTCCAAAAAAACACCTACAAACATTATCACAGGCACTGCAATTTTTTTTGAGAAGCTGCAGTGAAATCAGGCATGTCAGGCCTCAATAGCCCCAAAACAAGTGAAGAATATTATGATGTCACAGTAATAATGATGTTTGACCTTTTGGATATAAAATGTCATCCATTCATCCATCAGTGTGACATTTTGCCACACTCAGTCAATTAATTCTTGAGTTATGGTCCAAAAGGTGTTCTGTTCGCTCACAGTGACCTTTGACCACCAAAGTTCTTACCATTTAATCCTTAAGTCCAAGTGGATGTTTATGCCAGATGTAATGAAATTCCCTCAAGGGACATATTCCAAAATATTGCATTCATGAGAGTTAGATAGACAATCCAAAAACATAATGCCTCCAGCCACAGCTGTTGGTGGTGCAGAGGCATAAAAACCCGGACATGTTGGTCTCACCTGGGTAGGATTTTGTCTGGGAAGCGGTGAGTCTGGAACTGAGCAGCGAGGCCGGGCTTCTTCAGCTGCTCGAACAGCCCGATGAGATTATGGGAGTACAGCTGGAAGGTTTTCCCTACAGTGGAATATTCAGTCATTAGCTTCATGAGTAAAAACATTCAGTTGAGTAATTAAAGCCAGTTGTTAAAATATACTCATGTTAAATATGACAGACAAGAGCTGAGTAAATTTCCTTCACACTGAAATGATTTTAAACCTAATTTCTGAGTTGCCTCAACAAATTCTGGATCCTATGGTGCAGCTTTCACATGTAGAAATGTTAGACGTGAACAGGGGTAAAAACAGAAGTGTGACGATGATGTGAAGCATGATTACCTTCTGATGAAGCCAGTTAGTAGAATATCAAATCAAGCCAGGCGAGAGGAGGATGGACAGTGTCCAAGGGAAGAGGAGAAGAGAACAGAGGTTAAGTATACCAAGGGGCAAACTGCTGAAGGTAAAACCGAAAGTAGACCTCGCTTTGTAATCCCATCCTTGACTGTTAAGCCGAGAAAAGGCTTCAGCGAGTAAGGCAGCCAAACACAGACAGTTTGGTTTCAAGTGATAGATGATTTGAGCTTTCTGACAACAGATAAAATGTCTGTTTCAATATATTAAAAGCACTACACATGCTTTTGTAGCTACTATACGCTGTAACCTACAGAGACCAATATGTCTGAGTGGACCAGGCTGTAAAGCCAGATGTGTCACTCATGAGTCACTGTGCTACAAGGACACAGTTCCCATAGAGGCTCTCTTACGGCAAACAAAAGAAACAGTTATTTCAGGGCTGCAGATATGGAGTGGCTGTCTTGCCCTCAGGGGCAGTCAGATAACAGGACAAAGAAGCAGCAGGTTATGACAGTGGCCAGTGAAGCAGGACGCTGTGATAAGTTCATCACTTACCAGATAAAGACATCAGGTTGTTGTTGATAACGTACAGCCATGTACACTTCCTCGGGAACAGCTAAAGAGGGAATTAAACAAAGATGATACCATCACCATATAGTTCTAAAAGGAGGGAGTAAGAAGTGCTGATCTATTTGCTTAACTGTCAAATCACAGCTCAACTTCTTTGTGCAGTTACAGTCAAGGCACTTTGTAGTGCGAGCAGTAATCTGTATCCAAAGAGTCAGGAGGGTTGTGTCTTCATTTTCTAGCAGTTTCAAACCAAGAGTTTAGAAGTGTAATGAATGGATTAAACAGTGAGGTTATCTCTTCTGATATAAACTGCAATCATTAGCATGCCCTGCTAACTGTCCTACTACCTACAGTAGTAACAGAGTTACTTTCAAGACCTTATTTTCTGTCATATATAGTGTTATAATGTCAGATGTTCTTATTAAATGTGGCCAAGGTTTCAGATAATGAGGTAAATGTCTGTAAAAGAAATCCCTGTGAGCAAATACCTCAGGCTTCAGACCGTTCTGAATACTCTTCTTCTAAGTACACTGCTAACGTACATGAGGCTACATGCCAACGTCAGGTAAACATGTAATCGTGGTTGTTGATGTTGTTAATTTCTCCCTAATTTCGGATCATATTTTTGTTGGAACATGTCTGGTTGTGTTGAGTTTTATTGGTGATTGTTCCCATGTAGGCTGAATCCATAGCGGTGTCTAGGGTTGGACTATGACCTTTGGATGCTGCATGTTGCGCATGTTTGTGCCAAATTTTAGGAAATTCCCTTGAGGTGTTCTTGAGATGCTGAGTTCAAGAGAATGAGATGGACCATCCACCCATACAGACAACCCAAAAACATAATGCCTTCAGCAGCTGCTACTGCCCGTGTGAAGGCATAAAAAAGTATGTGTAAGACCCGAAAACGCTAACCAATCAGAACAGACTGGGCTTTTTTTAGGAGGGGGGCTAAAAGAGATGGGTGCTAAAAGGATGCATCTGAGACAAAGGGTGTATACAGGTGTTCCTGCACAGACAGTATGAGGAAAATAATGTGTTTTTCAACCGTTAAATATGCCAACATGTTCTAGTAGAACCCAAAATACAAAAATGAATCTGAAAATGAGCATTAAAGTTCCCCTTTACACAAAGTAATTCTTTTAACTAATACTGGTTATAATTAATGTTTTTTAGATTGATTTTAGCTGCTGTTACCTGCTCCATTGTGGCTTCATGCAGCTCATTAAGATTCAGCGTATAGATGCCATCCTCTGTCCCAAAGATTAGGTACTGATCTAGAAGGAAAACATTGAAAAATATAAATATGTTGGCTGGAATAAACCATGTTTATGTGGAGCGCTTGTTGCATGAAGCTGCACCTTTGGTGTCAGGATGAATCCATGATGTGGCACAGTTGATCTTCAGTGGACAGCCATCAAACACTTTAGAGAAACAGGCTCCCATCTGAAATGAAAAGCAGCGTGGCTTATAAAGGGCTGGCTCAGTGAAGCGCTAAAATGTCAGCCAGGGTTTAATGAGCTGGAGCTGAGCAGCGGAAACCACAAAACAGAACGCTCTGAGGACCCCAAATATCTACAGAATGTACAGCAGCAGCTCAGACAACAGTTTAATAACAGTGCCTATGAAACCAGGCCGGCAGGGAAGAGCGGAGACTGTGAGGGACAATGCAGAGGATTCACTCACCAGCACTTTGGGAGTGGGTGGAAGACCGTTGATGGCTGGTTTCTAAGGAGGAGCAGAGGAAAAAACAAACCATAAGATAACATAGATGAAGAGCACACAGACAATTTAGCAGCTTAATTTAGCTCCAGTGTCAACAATGAGCCAAACAGAAAACAATATGGTCTGTTTTCTTTTGTTCTGTCAAAGTCAATTAAATGTTAAACATGAGCTGATGCCAAAATTCCCTCTTTAGCTGTTAGTGTTTGGATCTGATGAAGGAAAAACACCATATTTGAGGTTTCGGTGCAAGGCCAGCCAGCTAGTTGGAGACACCTCCCATATAAAACATAGGTTCTTAGACCACAGATGACATTTACATCCTAAAACCCCTTGAAACTACAAAAGAAATGTGGCTGTCATGATTGAAAAACACACTGCAATGTAATATTGTGGATCATCTTCAAACTCACAGGGAATTCCTTTTTCTCCTTCCGGTGCTGTCGGTTGGGTGGCTGTTTGGGGCTGCCTCCATTCACACACTCATCTGAATCATTATCTGTCATCAGAGAGCAGGGAGATGAAAATTACATTTGTATCACACAGTGTTAATCTTGTAAACAAAAACACTGACTGAATATGTTTTTTTAATGATGATGAGATAGCAACAATGTCATCAAACTCTGTGACTGACCAACATGCAATGTAGTTGATGAAAATAGACATGATTAAATGTAGTTTAAAAAATAGGAACTACAAGCATCTCTCTTTATTTTCACTGACAAAAAAAGAGGAGACAGCTTTTTTTTAATGCAGTAGTTCCATTTCCTGTGCTTTGAGGACTTGGACTAACTTACTCACTTGAGTTAAAATAACAATGACAACGACAGGGCTGTCTGAATGTATTACTTAAACTGATACCATCAGACCTCTTGTCCAGACCCTTTGTGCAAAGCTGCATTCTTAATCATTTAACCTGTGTTTTTCATCAAATAATGATGAAATAAAATCTTATGTGAAACAAATTTGACTATAATTAGAAAATTATTGGCTTTGGCTTGACTAGTTTGAGTGAAATATTCAATATGATGAGTGAAAAATGACAACAGCATTCATGGACTAAAACTAGACAAAAATAGTTAGCGTTTTCTTTGGCTAAGAGTCAAGTCAACTAAGACTTGACTTAAAAAACAAACAAACAAAAAACTACGAGATCCAGTTGAACAGAGGAGGAAATTATCTTAAAAAATACTTTTGTGTTTGTGTAGACAGGGCCTAAATATGATAAAAACTAACAAGGAAATTTGACACAGGACTAAAAATAAACAAAAAACCCCAGCTAATTTAAATTAACACTAGCTGCATGAATATTATTTGTACTGTCAAACACGTGGAATCTAAATCCAAAGATCAGACACATTTACATCAGACTCCCTTACCTTTATATTCTGATTTACTGAGAGCTTGTAAAAATAAATTAAGTCTCATTTAGAAACCAATTTGTTTTTAAGAGGACAGACAGTAGTCAAAATATATGAAAGACATATGAACAAGTTATGGAACATAAATTCAGATGCTGAGACTCACCAGGATCAGAGGCATGAGACAAAAGTCCGGGGCTGCTGACGCTGACAGAGAGGAAATCTGGAGACGAGTTCTCCGCCTTGTTGCCCAGGTGCTCAGGTGTGCTCTGTCTGCGAACCACCTGGCTCGGTCCGTTCTCAGAGTTGGGGAACCTCCGAACCGTCAGAGACCTCTCGTCGTTAAGGCCTAGCTCCTCTGATGAGCTGTTTAATCGTGGCTGAGATGGACACAGAGAAGACAGTTTGGTTACACTTAATTAGATTTTTAAGAAACATACATACAATACATAGCTATATCAAAATTGCAAAAATCCACACAGGAAAAAATATTTTAGAATTTTGCATCCCACCTTCGGGGGCAGAGGAGGAGGAACACCTGGCTTGAGGGTTGACCTGAAATAAAAGTTTATTTTTATTTTTTTTTAATGATGTAAACGACAGCAATTGATGTTTTTGTGTCCATGATGAAATCTTAATGTAATGACATCACTCACAGCTCCATTTCTTCAAAGGCATCTTCGAGATGGGCGACGTGTCCCCTGCAGGAGACAAACACAGTGATCAGTGTGGAAAATAAGACTCACCAGAGCTCAGGAGGGGTGTTAATGGTGCAAATGTTTACGTAAAATCCCTCCTTAGAGATAAAGAGAGTATGAGTCTAAGGGGAAAGGGGGGGGGGGGGGGGTTGTCGTTCGGATCCTGGTGAGCATCATGGGATGGAAACCACAAGAAGATACTTTTACAGAGCTGTGTTTATACTTTAAAACATTATCTCTGAGGTCTGTCATCACTCACTATATCTACTATGTTTGTTTGAAACATAAAAACGTTCAGAATTTTATCCATCCATTAAGGTCAGGTGTCTCTCTATATCACAGTGTTCTGCCTGCCTGCTTGTCTCAGAATCATGCCTGCAGCAGTATGCTTAGTTTGGATCTACAGCTATTATCACACCACACATGCTGAATGAGTGTCAGGGAGGGTGATCTGTGAACATGGTGGTGCTAAACCTCACTGCAGAGAGATGGGAACCAAGCGAGGGGTGGGGTGGATGACGTAGGTGGGGCACTACAGCACACACAGTGTTAGTGTTACCGTTGGAACAATTCATCCTCAACGCTTTTGAGGAGGCTCCTTCTTGGGATGGGAGAAAAACCGACAGCAAAGAGAGGATAGAGAGAAGTGGAAGGAGAAACACATTTAAAGCATGTGAACAAGTGAGAGATGGAGCTTACAGGCCAAAGTAACATTTCAAACTGCAGGTGGGGAGAGTGAGTTCATGCACAGACACAGGTTAGCTCCAGTGAACAAGCAGGTTAATGAGAGACAGTGAGGAGGATCCCCAAGAAAATCAATTTTCACTCAGTGTCAACAATGGATATTAGACCACAGAGCATAATTACAAATATCCTTTGGGCCCCGCTCAGACAGAGCATGTTTAACCAGCCTGAGGCGGCTTTTTCTAAGTGTTTTCAATGATAGTGACGTTATGCTCGCTGCTTTTGCACTGCTGAGCACCTTGTGTTTTTTTACTCTATGCACCTTGTATTTTTGCAAGAACATCCTGAACACCTTGAGTTGAAAAACTCAGTCTGTAGTAGCAATGACGACAACTGATAGAGTAGCTATTACATGGTTTGTGTTAAGCTAACATTAACTCTCTTTCATTGTTGCCCTACTGGGGAAGCTGCAAGACATATCTTAAGGATTGCAGCCTTAACCACCTGCTGATGTTTTACAAATCATAATTAGACCTGACAATTGACAGTAGATTTTTAAACTGTCCCCATGAGCCAACAATCAGCCAGGCAAAGCTCCTGGACCAGCTGGTGGCAGCGTCTGGGGCTGACAAAATGAAGCCAACACAGAAAGTGCCAAAAACTGCAGTTCTTTGAACAGCCACTTGAGGCTGGCTCCAGAAGCCAGTTAATCCCCATGTACACCAATGGTAAAATTCACAACTTAAAAGCAGAAATAAACATGTTTACAGCCTGGTACAAAAAACGGTTTTGGTCTCAATGGCTTATATTCCCCTTCATGACAACTGTACAACTCACCCTTAGACATTTTATTAAGGTTTAAAGTTACGCAGGGCAGCTTTGAGTGACAAGCTGTCTGCCGGTAGTATCCTCGGCTTCTTAGTCAGATCCACCGGTCATTCCTCCACAGTGCCAGCCCTTCGCCCAACTATGGCCACTTCTGTCTCCGGAAACCAAGATGTCAACAGCATATATGCTGAACTCGAGGCTTCAAAACAGAAGACCACAAACTAATGGGTGACGCCACGGAAGCTACGTCCTTTATTTTTACAGTCCATGTGACTTCTTCTCATTCTGAGGGTCTCATGTACCCACATGAATCTCCGTTTCCCTGTGTCCCGTCCCCAAGTGCCCCGTGTTTAAAAGTTTTACGCAGATTTTAAGGTACAGTTTTGTGAGTTTCCTTCACAGCAAAATGGTGGTTAAGCTAAGGACAGGTGGTTCATTGGTTGCCTAGCAACAAATAAAAAAGATGCAGTATGCTGCAAAAAGCACTCTGTCAGACTGGGGCAGGCTTTAGCACACACACACACACACACACACACACACACACAAAAAGGCAGTGCAGTGCGCCTCACATTTTGCAACCTGCAAAACACACTCTGTCTGATCGGGCCTTATTGAGTCTTTTCATCATAAAAAGTCTTGCTTTCTAAAACTAGTCTTTATTAGTCAACACTACCATAACTGCAAATATTTCTGTATTTTCTTTTTAATATGAACAGACTCCAAAGAAGTAAAAAACATAAAAGAACACTTTAACTGCATGTGTGTTTACTTTCTCTGGATGAATCTCAAGAGTGCATCCATCTATTAAGTAAGCCAGGAGTGAAAGAGACAAAATGGGAGGTAGGAGCAGTTCCCGTGACAACAGTTTCCATGGATTACCTGGTTGTTATTCCTCCCTCTGCAAATGGACTCCAGGGTGAAGGGAAGTCATTATCTTTACTCACATCCTGTGGAAACACAGACAAAAATAGAATACTTAAAAACCTGCATTCTTTCATTTGCAGATATTATTCTTCCGCATGCCCTTAGACCAATTCATCAGAAACAGAACGCAGAGCTTGAATATTAGTATTGATTAAACTGAACATGATTATCACCATTTCAGAATGAGCCTCAGTTTCCTTCCGGAGTGGTGGTTCAAACTGGAGCTTGTCAACTGTAAAGTACAAAAAAATGTTTTCAGTTTTGTTTGTTTTTCCCTTGCACACATCTTTGGCACTAGAGGGCATCAGTGCCCAACACTTCAACACACACAAAGCCTTGGGAGTAGTACTCTTGTGCATTAGTAGCAGTGACACAGAAAAAATCACGTGTAAGAATGAACCAACAGCAGATCAACAAATTCCATTACATCGTACCTGCCAAAACACCACAGAGATCCTTCACTGATTTATTATGCTACTACGTGAATGTTTGGTCTAGAGCCCAAAGACTAGTCGGTCATCAAAGATAAACACAGATTACACTTGACGTTAACCAGATCTGTTCACTTTGTGGAAATATTGGTGAGAGAGAAAGAAATACAAATAAATCATGGAACAGATTCCTCTGAGTTTAGATTTGAGGTCACATTCTGTCAAACAGTTGATCCCATAGAGGAAACTGGTTTAGTGTCCAGTATAAACATGGTGTGATCCTGCTGTAGTTGTGAAGGAGAAAGCAACCAACCAACCTGCCAATAAATTCTCCCACATAATCAGCTTCTCATTAACAAAGAAACTCTGTATTCAAGAATTCAGACCACAGATTATTTTTTCCTGGTGTGTTTCTCTTCTTGAGGTATGCTGATAATGTGGAGGTGCTGCAGTTTTTAGAACACAGCTAACAGCGAGGAGGTGAGTCACTAACAGACTTATGAAACCAACATACAGCGATACGTTTGAGAAAGTGAAGCTGAAGCCCCTTTTACACAGCCTGTTGAATGTTGCACCGTTGTTCTGCCCCACCATTTAGTTTTAGAGTAGTATGATAACCACTGTCATATATTCACCTCCCGTTCACTTCCGAAGAGGTGGATAAATTTGCTTCTGGTGGCAAAGCAAATTTGCACTTTCGCATTGCCTGGAGTTCAACTTTGGTGGACTTTATCCAGCGAAGTTTTAGCTTCAACCAATACCAAGGAGGTGTGGAGGAGACAGTGATTGTTGCCGCGTTTAACAAGCTGTTATTGTATATTATTGGTCATGAAAAATAAAACCTGCCCCGCATGACAGATAGTAGCTGTGTTTCAATTCAGGGGCTGCACCCTTTGAAGGTCGCAGCCTTCGTGATCTACGTTGGCCACGTCCTTTGGAGACCACATCAGCTAAACCGAACGGTCTCCGAAATGAGACTGTCTGGTCTGCAGAGGATTTCCTGGTTGCATCACTGGTTGTTCTCGCCGTGACCCGTTGCTATTCCTGTTACCTAGAAAGCAGCTGTGCTTGACGAAAGAAGGAGTAAGACAGCAAGTTAGCTAGCCCTAAATCATGGACCCAGAGATTGTTAGTATATATATATTTTTTAAAAATCTAATTTAGGAGATGATTCACCGCTGGAGAATCTGGCATTTGACACATTTCAGGCTGATGGACCATTTTCAGGTAGACTTAAATCAAGATTGTTTAAGCTGTGTGCTTTTAGCTACTGGTGATATTAAAAACAGTTAATTGTTAACTAGTTAACAACTGTTAGTTATCTTAATTTAATATATAATAGCCGTCGGCACGCAATACATCTTGGGATAGGCTGGGCCACGAAGGATTCATCCGTTGCATCCTCAAAGTTCTGGGAAAGAAGGCTGCATTTCTCAACCACATTTGAAAGAGCCTTCGAAATGGGACAGCCTTGGTCGCACCGATGTAACGCAATCGGTCTTCAAATGCAACCTTTGAAGGCTGCAGGCCCTGAATTGAGACACAGCTGCTGCCTGGCTAGCAGTGAGTCAGGAGACAGGTCTGGAACGTAAGAAAATTGAAAATGTACCAATAACATCACGATTTGACATATTAATTTGCATGATAGCTAACATTAGCTTTCTGTGTGCATCAAATCCGTCACTGTCCACATTCAGCATGAATATCACCTCAGCAAGTGATGGTCACTTGCCTGCAGACGCTCATGTATGACTGTGCCTTAAAAAGTTACGATCACGGAATGGCCTTGTCTTTAAGCTGGCAGCAGAGGTAGTAATAGCGCCGAATCGACATCTGTGTAAAAGTGTGACCAAGCAGAACAGGATGGGTGCGACGTGTGCGCGACCCACCACAGGAATATTTAAAAAGCAGCTAGCAGCAGTTATTAGCTAACTTAAACATAATGAGTTCCAGGAGCTCCTTACCCTCTGAGCAGGGGACGAGATCAACCGCTACATAACAGAGAGGGTAAATGATGGTTATTGCCATGTTATGCCATTTTTAATGTCTAGAAAGCGCTGCCCAACATGTACATATGTTAAATGTCACTTGACAAATTTCCTTGTTAGGATCTGATTAGTCATCTACAGTGTTATTTTATTTCAGTGAGTCTGACAGGAACAAACACGTCTTAATCGAAGCTAAATAACCTGTAAGAAACCACCCCATGCAGAGGAACTCACATTATTAATGCCACTTAAATCTCAAACACAACGATCGGCTTTACCATCTTATTTCTCAGGAAGTCTTGGGAGTGAGCTCCGGAATTATGCAAACACACAGTGACTCACTACACTGTCACTGACCTGCGTCCCCCCTGTGTCCCTCAGTGAAGCTAGGACTTGAGCATGGCCCTCCTTGGTCTGTCCCATTGTTTGCTTTATGTAGGAGGGAAAGTCAGACGTGATTGTGAGAAATAAAGATAAAACTAAACAGGAAGTGCATCTGGTACAATCACAGTACGAACAAAGCACAAGACACAATGAAGCACGACACGAATCGTTAAAGATAAATATGACAGAACATCCAATGATGACACATATCTCACCAATGGACTGTTACTACGTCGAGCCAAAATGATGAAATGAGAAACAGTCTGATGCGACAGGCACAACACAGCGTTCAACTTATCTACAGCTACTGATGACAGCACAGACACTCAACAACTTCCCTGAAGGGTTGCAAAATTATATACTGACACAATCTATTTAAATAGATCCTCTGCCAAATTCAGTATCAGCACTTGTTGACTAAACACCAAATTCCTCTAGAAACCTTTACGACCCCTTCAGACAAGCTATTCACAATATTCACCGAGTTAAAAAATGACAGGGACAGTTAACTTAATGGACTCAACTACATCCACCTTCTCTTCCGTGAATCCCCAGGCTATTTTTATACGCACTACCACATGCTGTGGTTTGGAAAAGTGCCAGCCAGGGCTGCAGGATTAGTGGGATGACCCTCAGACAAGCCGGCGGACCTCAATCAACCTACACAGCCCGGCTGAATGACATGCTGACCAATGGCAGGTCAGATTCACGACAGGGGGGCTGGCCTTAGTCTCAGTGATGCGTTTGGGCTTTTTGTTCACTTACAGTTTATCTCTGAACGCGTCCTCTCAGCTCTGGCTTGTTTGTTGGTGGAGCGGATGGTGTGTCTGACCGCAGAGAGAGGCTGCGTGAAGCAAAGAGTGAGAGATTAATAAAGATCAGGAAGTATGTTTTCACAGTGAGAGCAGCACTTGACTAGACAAGCACAGAGTAGGGTAAAGTGTTATCAAATTATGTAATGCAGACGCTGCATCCCCTCGAGTCATTTAGCACCATTATCTTTTGATTTATCTATAGACACAAATTGTGAAACTTGCATGTCAAGTTAGGGGAGAACTAAGAGCTACTTTTTGTGCTGCGTCTATGCATCATCACATTATTATGCATCCCAGAGGCTGTTTGTTTGCAACAAGCTCCATTGCTTGCAGTCAATAGCCTTCAGGGTTTTTTCATTCATGGTGGCCAAGACAGTGCTACTGCTGTCAGGGGGGTGAGAAGCACAATGGTCTTTTAAAAGGCACTGGTACCACCTCTTTGGCTGCCACATAGATGTGATGTTGATTCCAGTTGGAATAATAATGTTGATGGAGAGAATCAAGAAGAGGGGGAAGGGAAGCTTCATGAAACATGAAAACAAACTTCAGAAAAGCTCACCTTTGATCTTTTTTTGACTAGTTGCTGAAAAAACATGCTGTGCTAATATTTACATTCACTGCTGATAGTCTGTCTGTCAGTGTTTGCATGGAAGTCTGTTTGACTGCAAGATTCTGTCAAATCTGACAAAGAATGGTTGCTTTTTTAAACCATTTTGCCATTTTTTAAATAACTTTCCTGCAACAAGACATTCACAAACAAACAAATATTCATATTTACGAGTATATGTGTTCAAAAAAGATGTCAATGTGTTGTTATGTTTGATCACTTCTTTGTGGGCTGAAAGGATTTTAAATTTCCTTCTAAATTTCTCAAATCAAAGGTGAATCTCTCACAGCCTTGTTGCTATGTTTATATGCAACAGAATACGGCATTACCTCAAGGTCATCATCGTCCACCTCACTGTAATGCTGGTGGTTGTCTGGGTTGTTCATCTTATCCAGGAGGTCAACAGCGAGCCTCCTAGTCAAACCCGTCTGGGACACGTACACATGCTGCAGGACACAAGAAAGGATTGCAAGTTATCACAAACTGGTGCATAACATGAGAATAACGGCTTATAGTGGCGGTCTGGCACCCAGTAATCTCAAACACATGGTCCTTGCTAACCGGGACATCAAAATCCCTGCAGAACTACATATCAAAGTCCAAGTTTCACTGTTGCAGAGTAATTAAACCACCTGCTTTAATCATTCCTGGGCCATTAGGATGAGACACCTTTCCTCAGAGACGTGCACTGTGTTAATAATGAAACATATCCTTTAAGTGGCAGCAGAACTGTCTGCTTCTTAAACGATGGTTCTTCTTGGTGCATAGACACAGGCTGGAACCTCAAGCCTAATTTATGGTGGGGTGCTTGACACTTTTGATAAGTGTTGCTCGACAGAGATGACATATTGTCAGCAGAAAAGAGTGTTGCTCGACACTTTTCTTTCATGTCGTACACCTCAAGAACTTTGTTATATCATATTTTGACACTCAATGCGATTGATAGTGTTACTATTGTCACCGCGGAGATGGCAGTTTTCACTTTACAGCAACTGTGACTTGCATTCAGCATCTCTGAAGCAGCCATCTGTCAGCAGCTGCTCCTGAGGAGCTAAGAGGACAGCAGCCGGCCACGGTGCCATCACCAGGCTGACTGACAGCAGATGTTACTGAACCAAAGTAATTTTCATGTCAGCGCAACAGACAGCAATCAACAATGTTTGAATTTATGGATTCATTTATTTTCTTTCCCAGCTCACCGCAGTGAGTGAGGGGAATCTGCCACTCACAGACAGACTGGGAGCTGTTAAATTTTAAATACTGTTAAATTTAAAACAAATATACAGCAGGTTATTGGTTAAAATCTGAACAGCTGTCTGTACAGATAATGCTTCAAAACGTAACCAAAATACACTTGGACTGTAAAAAATGCAGGGTGTCTCTGATTACCATGAAGACAACTTCAAACCTTTCACTGAAGTCTAAATTGAAACTGACGCGCGACTGTTTAATTTCTGTCAAATGATACTTATCAAAAGTGTCATGCGCCCTACCATATATCAGGCTTCAGTCTTCTTAAGAATGTGACTGCTAATAACTTTTCTTTAATAAATATGCTGTAGTTTGGGAGTTTGGGACCATCATCTGACTCTGACCCACACAGCTAGAATTTCAGCCAAACAACAGAGAAACTCATTGGGCCATCTGAGATCCTCTCCTTCTTTGTCTGGTCTTCAGGATTCACACATCCAACAACTGCAGTTTCTAATCTCAACTAAAGGAAGAAACTGTAACAGACAGGACACTGACATGACTTATGAGACTTGGCTAACATGCAACACATCCACTGTGAATGTTTTCAGACTAAAAAACTTGACTACATTCATTGTAAACATGTAGGCCTCCTACTATATAATGTCTACCACATGTCTAAGAGGGCAATAACAAGTATTACCGATAGCAGTTTTTCTGCCGTGGGCCTCTTCTTTGGGTTCTTTGTCAGAGACACTTTGACAAAGTTATGGAAGGCGGTGGACCTGGGGAACAAGATGAGTTTGTTTTAGTGCAATGATCATCACTTTTATCTTCTCATACCAAAAAGTAAAGTATCACAATGTCATCCCAGAGTAGCACATGGAATTTTCTGGGGCGCTCACCATTTGTTTTTGTCTTTTAGCTTCGGAGGTTGGAAGCTGCTCTTTGACATCAAAAACAAGGCCCTTGGGAAAAACAAAAAACATGGATTAAGAGTGGTTTAGACAGACTTAGAGAGAGAAATATACTTAGTTAAGGTGACCCAAAGTAAGCCTGCCACCTCCTCTAATAATATCCTAAACGTATTTTGAATTAAACAGGATTGAACATGATGAAACATTACTGTTACAGAAAAGGAGAAAGTAGCTCTGACTGATCATTTTTGACGAGCGTTAAACATACCTCATGGGGTGTAGGTCAAACATCGGAGGCTGAAGCTCGGCCAGCTCTATGGACGTGATGCCGACAGCCCAGATATCACAGAGCTGATTGTAGCCACCGTTCTTCTCTACTGCTGCTACTTCTGGAGCCATCCTGCACAAATTCAGAACAACAATTCAGTGACGACTCTCCGATAGTAAGGAAAAACTAAGGTTGGTTAGAGAGTCTTCCTTGATGTGAAAACCAATGCTGACACAAATAATGAGATACCCTGTTCATATGTGCAGGAAACTGATGTTTACTTTGTCCCCTTTGATGGTATGTTTAGAGGTCAGTGACAGAACAAAGGTTTTGGAGTCGACAAGGACATAATGCCTTACCCAAAAACACATCAGCTGCTGTGGGAACTTGAACATGTATCTTTTGATGAAAGCATCTATCTGATTACATGTACAACATGTCTACACAAGCTAATTTATGTTAGATAAAATAAGTTTGGTGACAGAGACAGTTGACTGGAAACATATCTGACTGACAGTATTCAAAGTGACTCCAGACAAAAAAACCTTGTTCAACAAAGCCTGTCAAGGGTCCAATGATTCATTCGATGAGGGTGACACACTCACCAATAAGGTGTTCCAATGAAAGACTTCCTTTTGGCAATGGTGGCTGTTATTTTGGCTGCAACTCCAAAGTCAGCTGCAACAAGGTTTGACACGGCTTTTCAGATTATGTAATCCACATACGACTGGAAGATACAGAAGAGCTCAAGTCCTTCAGAATTAAGATGCTTAGGAGCAACTTACCTAACTTCACATCTCCGTTGTCTGTAAGAAGTATGTTGGCACCCTGTTAAAAAGAAATCCCATCAACATTTATTTTACTTTGAGGAAATACTAGGAAACCATAGTAATGTTCTAGTATCATGAGACTGAGGTTGAAAATACTGAGATCATGTGTTGCCCAACTGGTTCATAACACGGTGCCAATCACGTCTTGAACTTTCTCAGTAACATCTGGTTTAGTTAAAGCATTAACTGCTGCTCTGTTACTGATCTGACTGCCTGTAAAGCTGCACTAGTATCACAGCTTTTTGACAGTTCCACTGAAATTGTTTCTGTTGGCTGTGACTGACAGTCTCTCTGGTGGCATCCTGCGGTGAGAGTAGAGGAAACAGGAAGTGCTCACAGCATAGAGCTGAGTAAAGATAATAGGTCCAGCCCTGACCTTGTGTGATAACGCATGAGACTGAGGCTCCAGTCTGTGTGAATGCACCGGGTGTGATCAACTTCAGCTCAACCTCAAAACCACTCAAAGTGACACCATTGGTCACATGCTCTCGAGTGAGCACTTTTCCTGTGACTTCAGTTCACACCTCTGCAATGCTGCTGCATCAGAGAGAGGTCGGATCTCTGGACTGCTTGAGGGCCAGACAGATGCACTTTCAGTGACATTAGTTGTTTTAGAGCTGTGCAACTCTACTGCTTCTTTTGTAAATCTCACTCCTCTACTTTTTTTTGCGTTTTCTGGTTTGAGATTTATTGCTAAAAGATTTTATTGGTAATCTGTGTTGGTGTGAGGCCAAGGCCCAATCCCAATACACCCATTGGCCCTACCACTTAGGCCTTATCCCTACGTTTTGCACATGTACATACAGGGGTAGCATGTCCCAGTTTTTGTTGGGACAGAGGTGTGCAGCGAAGTTTTAGGGCTACATGGCCCTGCAAACAAAAGTTTTCAAGAGGCACACTTCAAACCAAGTGTTGATGAGAAATCATTGCCAAGATGGCAGCACAAGCAACGATTATTTTCATTGTATTTTTCATTGTCGATTAATCTGTCGATTATTTCTTCGATTAGTCGACTAATCATTTTATTGAAAAATGTGTTAAAATGTTGAAAAATGTCGGTCTGTCTCTCCCAAACCCCAAAATTATGACAGATGGTGCCCATAATCTAAGTTGCTGCACTTGTTACGGCTCCTCTTATGTCAGTGCCGAGTCCACTGGCAGGATAGCAGCATGGGTTGCTTACGTTAGCATACAGAGAAGGGCTAGTGGCCTTGTAATGAAGCCGTGCTTTTTAATTTGATGCCTTGTTTGATCGATTGATAGTGTGAAACTTAACTTGTGAACTAATCACAAGTGACCTGCCAACTGCAAGAGGCTGCCTGTAGTGTGTGCAAGAAAAACTACCACTACAGAAAACAGCATATTTGCAATGTCCGGCAACACTCCTCTTATCTGTTGACATAAATACCATATTGATTATGTATCAGGGTCTTAAAGTTCTCCGAAACACTGGGGAAGTCCTCAACCACTAACTGCTTGTAACTCTGTTCCCTGGTGGCAAGGTGGCACTCGAAAACGAAGGGTAGGGGTGAAAATATGAAATGGGATTGGGCCAAAGTGTCTTTGTGTGGCATATAAGAATAGGCCTGACCTGGATACAATTAATGCTAGAAACAACGAAACAAAACAGAAAAGATACGATACCTTGATGTCACGGTGCATCTTGCCCTTGGTGTGCAGATATCCCAAACCCTGCAAAGGAAATTAAAATATTTAGTTATTTGTTTAACTGAAATTCCATAAATTGACTTATTCTTTTATATATTTATTTACCTGTAAGGTCTCTCTGCAGACGTATGCTATCTGAAGCTCCGAGAGAGGTCCCGTCACTGTAACAACACAATTTCATTCCATGTTTGCAGGGTAAGCAGTGAGGCAGAGACAGGTTTTACAATGTATGCACAGTATTTCAAAACATTCCATGACTGCATCTTACTAGTATCGAATAATAGAGAAGCTCACCATGATATATGTCCTGCAGAGATCCTCCACCACAGTACTCCATACATATCCAAAGCTTCTCTCGACTGATGAAATGAGAGAAAATCATCAACTGCTGCTTTGCCAATTGGCTAGTTACACTTAAAGCAAGACACAATAAAGCAGTACAAGCCTTCTAAAATCTTGAATAAGTTAAGCTGTGCAATTCAGAAAATGTTCCTGACACAAATGTACCAAAGCACGTTAATAAACAAGGTTAAATGCTTATGCAGAAAGGTGTACAATAAACAAATGTTGGTGCTTCTGTAAGTAAACTGGATATCTGATGTGAGAGGGGTGTGTAGAAAAATTATGTCAACGCTCTGACAAAAAGCTAAATATAAGACTAGTGTGTGACTGTGATCACACTGTGACAGTTGAGGCGATGGTACTGTGCACTGCCCCACTCAATCACAACCGTGCTACTTTTCACACGTGTCAGCTGGACATGGAAAGGATTTTAGATCAGGAAACAGCCCTGAACGGAAACTAGAATTTCCCAAAAAAAAACTGTGGTTCCTCGAATACAATTAATCTAGTTCGATAATAATTAACGCATGGTGGGTTGCTCATTAACATTTTACAGTAACCATTCGTGCTCTATGTGGCGAGACTGTACTTCACATGCCTGCTGTGATAAGACATGCATCTCTGTGGAATAACAGCCAAATAAAACAGATCAGACGCTCATATTCCAGTTAAACCTGCTGGAAGTCTAAAGCAGCGGTGGGCGGACCGGCCCTACTTCCTCTCAGATACCAGCCACAAAACATAGGCTCCATTAAAACACAAGAGCTGCATCCTGACACTGAAGGGCCTAGTCAGCACCAGTCAGTTGAAAGGGTTGAGTCACACTTTCACGCGCAGGTGTGACTAAGTAATTAAATACGTCATGTGAGTTTCAGGCAGTGGCCTGTTAAATCTCTCTGACAGTAATGTATGAATACCTCAAATGTTATACCTTGGACTGGCTGCGAGAGAGGATAAAATACTGAGTATAAAATGACAAAGCAGGAGTATTTTAAGCTGGCTCTTACCAGAGGTAGCTCCCAAAGTAGGCCACAATATTGTGGTGCATGCATTCCTTCACCATGAAGATTTCCTGCTGTATGATGGAAAAGTCATCCCCTGGAAACAGAGGGAGAAATCACACAGACACATGGACAAAAAGTTATTTTTTCATTTTCTGCTCGGGGAACAGTTTCATTTTAAAATGAGATGTTTTCCATTCGGAAATAAACACCTCACAAAATGATTGTGGGCATGAAATGTGGATTAATCTACAAAATCTACAGAATAAAATTTCTGTTTTTGACACTGAAACAAACCAGAAATAACCACTCAAAGCATTTCAGATGATACAAAGCTTGCGCACGCCCTAAACATTAGGTTTCAGAAAACACTTTAATCTTGTCATTTGGTTTGCCAAACTCAAAACCACAGAACAAACTCTCCCCATATTTCCCTCTGACTGCACGGTTCAATATTTCATCTCTGTGTAAATACAGCAGATTATAAAACAGCCAATAACAATAGAGGGAACACCTTGTACTTTTAAAGTTTATGTGGTATAGGCTGATATCCAGGCTGCTTTCCAGTTCAGCAAAGCACTCTAACACATCCGACCAGTAGGAAGTACAAAGACTAAAATATGTAAGCCCAGCTGCTCCCAATTGTGCAGAGACATGCTCCTGGAATACATTAACAGGGGGTTAAGAGCTACCAGACGATGCCAGCTCCAGCGCTCTATCAACAGACTGTCATCGAAGTCATCTGCCCAGATTAAGATCATTTCATGGATAAAATCTCTGTGCCAGAAAAAAACTGCACACTGCTTGTGGTGGAAACTGCTGTCAACAAACCAGCTTTTAATTATTTTCGCATGTGGTCAAGTGTGTCACTTCTGCTCACCAAAGCTGCATGTAAACAACATTTTCTTAATGGTCATAAAAATCAGCTGTCAAAATACTCAAAGTATCTAGCAAGTTTTGGCAGTTGCCATCAGCTGTGGCCTGAGGACAAAAATAAGTCCTTGACCTGCACTTTACTACAATACATAGCGGCAGACGCTGTACCGGTGGCTTGTGGTCTGGCCAAATTAGAATGATACAGGGACATTTCAACTCTGGAAGAAAACATCTCTGGAGATATATCCTGGACCACAGAAGCATTTTTCAAGCACACAAACAAAGTTTTTACCCAGTGAAAAGAGCAGTCCTGTTTTCAGTCTGCCTGGGAGGGGTTAGGCTCTCTCACGTGAGCATCTGAATTAAAGTCTGGTTGGAATGCCAACACGTGCTACACAAAACTACCCAGCCGATAAACAACAAGCAAGTGAACTTACATTAGCTTTAATCTTACCCTCAGCTACTAATTTGGGTATTTAGTGACATCAGAAGGCTTGAGATAACATAACTATTAGATGTCTAAACTACATAAGGAACAACAACTGTGTACCTGCATCCCTCGTGACTGTGGAGATGTGTTTATTACAAACATCACATTTCTTTTTTAATGAAACAGACTCAATCTAAGTGCCAGGTGGTATCACTTTGTCTCACAAACAGAACTTGTTCAATCATGAAGCAAAGATGAAAGCCTTAAAGGGAAACCTTGGTATTTTTCAGCCTGGACCCTATTTTTTCCATGTTTTTGTCTCTAAGTGAGTAATTTTTTGAATTGGTTTCGGATTCAGACAGAGTGCTGCCATCACAGCAGCAAAATAGGGTTCAGTGTAAACCCTATGAGCAATTGTGCGCCAATCAGTTTAAAGCCACTACAAGTGCTTGTTTTTGCCACTCACAGGCTCAGATTGTTTTTAGAAGCTTCTGACTGGGACGACCTCTGGCTCAGTGGTTCCCAACTGCAGCCACAGGGTCCAGATTTCTCCTTAGACATTAGTTCAAGGTCCACACAGTTTCGGTTTCTGCTTCACAGCTGTCTGTTAGTCACTCACTCTACAGCAGGAAACGACACTTCAAAATGAAAGCTCCGTGCTGGAATTCACTGTAATAAAGTGTAAATGTGTTCTTCATAAACTTGACACATGGGCAAGTCACTTGTGGTGCATTATAATGGACCCTCGAACCACTTTTGGACCACGACCCACCACATTGGAACCACTGCTCTAGCTGACCTGGTAGAGTGTGGACCCCATATAGGCAGCTTGGGTTCGATTCAAACCCATGGCCCTTTGCTGCAAGTCGTCCCCCCTCCCTCCCCCTCCGTTCCTGTCACTCAACACCTGTACTGTAATACAGGCAAAAAGCCCTGCAAATAATCTTAAAAGAAAGATCTGATAACATTACAGCAAATACCTTAAAGAGAAACTTCATAATTTTTCATACCATTCACTGTTTTGTTATTGTGACCAAGTCTCGCTCAAGGAGCAGCCTTCTTCTGAAATCTTGTAAGAGGTGACGTGTTGCAGGAAAAACAATGGCAGAAACATTACTAAGAGTTGGAGAGATGAGTGCCGGGAGGAGTTTGTTGTGTTGGAGTACAGAAAGCGTAGCTTAGTGTTATCTAAAAGATTTTCTGTGTCATGGGTAAATATTTAGCTGATTTCGTCAAATTGGAAAAGTCGCTAAAATTCCAGAACAAGACTTCTCCTTGAGACTTAAATGACTTGGTCACACACACTAAAAAACAGAGACCAGATTAGTGAAAGGTATGGAAAAAGGTTCCTTTCTCTGAAGGGATCTTTTCCATAATGTTATCAGACAACTGTAATAATAATCTGAGCCTGTCAGTGGCAAAAAAAAGCACTTTTAGTGGATGTAAAAGGACAGTGCTAAATTGCTCGTAGGTATTATACTGCACCCTGTTACACTGCTGCAGTGACTGCGCACAATACTAGACCAATTTTTCAAAAATTGTATTCTCAATTAGACACAAAAACATTGGAGAATAGGGTCCAGGTTCAAAAATATTTAAGCTCCCCATAAGGCTGGAAAAATCTTATTGTCAGCAAATTGCATGGGGAAAAAAACACAGCAATGAATTGAACCTACTAACTAGTAGCTGATTAGCAGTAGCAAAAATACAGAATATAACTAACTACACTTTAATCAGGGGAGAAGAGGTAGTCACAAAATGTTTTTTTTTTTAACTTTTACACCGCTAAGTTGCAAAAGGAAGTCACCAGTGGGAGATGTACTATGAACATGTCATGTACACTGAAAGACTGAGCGGTGCATACATCCATCTGGTTTTACATAGCAGCCTGGGATGCTGCTATTATTTTGACTTTAAAAGACTTGACTCAAGCTTTCAACTTAAATCCTCTTCATGGAGTTCTCTCACTTGTTCTGCACCTTGCAACAGTCCTGTCTCTGCATGTTTGAGAGCTGGCATCGGTGATTTATTCCTACAAGCTAATCTTGTCCGTGTCTTTTTTATTAATCTTGTTACAGATGCTTGACAAGTCTGTAACAGGAATAAAGTACGTATGCACAGGAATGTCAACAGAGGCTATGAAGTGCTGATCATTTAGTCTGAACCTCTCCCTTCTATCTGTAAAATTTAAGTTCTGCTTATTACTTTTATGTGCCTTAACAAGGGTGTACTAATGCCAGAAAAAGGTCACACTTTTGGGAACATTTTAATTAGTTCACAACTACATATTACTGCATTCATAATTACAGTCTTTAATTAGTGTCACTTCACACGAGGGAGAACAGTTGATCACAAACATTTTCAGCATTTGTTGACAGAGAGAAAACGGCGCAAGGAGCCACAAAAATGTGAGCAAGTGTAATTTCAGTGACATGACTTTGAGCTTGGCCCCCCTACAAAAAAAGAAGACAATCTTCTCTTCTTGGTGAGTTGAGGCCTAAGAGTGAAGCCACTTCCTCTCAGACTGAGCGCTTCCCTCTGCTCTCTGAATATACACACCCTCACTCATCGCTCCAAGTTTCAGTTCAGTGTGTTCATTGTTAAGTTTTACACCAATATGATTTGATGGATGGACTTTTTAAACGATAACTGCTTCTGTTCTGACATAACAGCCTTCAGAAAAACAAATGTAACTGCGTGCAGAGATGAGACATTGTTCCACACCCAAACGACATGCAGCTGAATTTCTAATGGAAACTGCCAGACGGTTAGTGCCAACTTCTCAGGGACAGCAACGACACGACACACAAAAAAGGCTTGTCATAAGAGGAAAAGACACTCTGGGAGGAAAGGAGGGAAAGTAAAAACTATCTCTCCGTTCTCCATCCTCCCTCCCTTAATGCTCTGGGAGTAAAAACCAGCACTAATTTGGTTTAAATAGTTGTTTACCATCCAACTTATCAGATTAACCTGTTCTGCACCCTACAGCCCCTGCAGCCAGAGGGCTTCACCACTCCTGTTTCCTTTCTCTGTCTGCCCCTGACTTCACTGCAGCGTCACTCCTCCTGGTCAAACCTGTTTGATTCTGTGGTCCGCCCAAAGCTGTTTACCTGGAGCACAGAGAGGAGTGACTCTTGCAGAAAGGAGGGGGGTAAAGGAAAGAGACTCCTGCTTTAACAGAATGACCTAAGTTGGGTTGATTCTTGTTTCATCCAAAAGAAAAAGAAAGAAGCAAATATGGACAGAGCAGATACAGTATGAATGGTGTTTAAACATGCTTATGGGATTACCTGCCCAGGGCCATGCACCTGACACACAGTAGAAAAACAGAGGACAATTTCTGACTAGAAATTCCTCTGTGTTGAACTGTACTACCACAGTACTACACTGTTTTAAACTATTTTTATTCAACTTAAACATTGGAATGGAAAAAGCCAAAAATACTCGTGCAGCTTCTAAAGTGTGAGGATGTGCTGCCTTTCTTTAATCATTCTACATTTAAATATATTTGCATTCTGGACCATTGCTTTGACAAAAAAACATTTTAAGACATAGCCTTGGGCTCTTCATTTTCTGACATTTCAAAGACAAAATAACTGATTGATTAAACAAGAAAATAATCAGACTAATTAGGAATGAAAATTGTAAATTGCAGCCCTGTTATTTTAGTTATTTCTATTCTTTATAGAATTTACAGGATTTATTTCCGGTCTCAAAAGTCAGAAGTCATGACAGTAAGCCCTTTTCTTCTTCTGCCTACTCTTCCAAGTCACAGCTAAACCTCCTGATCCTCTGCTTCTCACACACACACTGATCCTACCTCCTCCTGTACTCAAACAGAATATGTGTATGCCATGAATGCTCAAGACCTCTATAGATTTCTTAATAAGCTAAAAAATAAATTCAGAGTGATTGTTTGGAAATTACAGCTCAAATAAAGGATGAGTCAACACCTGAGAAAAACAACACGTTTAAATGTCGGATGAAAATACACCCAAATCCTCTCACTTGCAGCCAAACACAAACAGTGACATGGTGAATGAAAAGAGAAAACAAACAGGAGTGAATCTCTTCCTTCACTGACTGGTAATCATCCGAGCTCAGTCTGGTTGCTGGCTGCACAAAGCTATCTTCGTAATTCCACTAATCTGGATCGCACTAACTCTGTCACTAGGTCATCACCAGCGCAGACACCAAAGCTGAGCACTGTCACACATGTCCTCTCCTTCTTTATAGGAAAGACTATCACATCACTTATAAAAGAGTTTAGACTAAACGTTCTTTCACAGAAGTCATTTACTTTTTCCAGATATCTAAAACAGCATAAAAGTCCAGGGGTGTTGCTATCTATTTACTACAGGCAACTGTTTCATAAAAAATACTGAAATATGTAAAGCAACACTGGGTCTAGTAGCACACATATTTTGAGTATTGGCACTGCACATTAATATTTTCATTTTCAGTCTTTTTAGTATTCATTGTGCATTCCATTCAAAACCCCTGACAATACCAGACTTATTTTCCAGACTTCTCCACATTTTTCAGCTCTGATATAAAAATTACTTTTCTCATCGCTCATTATGACAAGACAAACTGACATAATGAAGAGGACATTCTTACCTGGTTCCAACTTTATGATCTTCACAGCAGCAAGCTCTCCAGTTTGTATGTTTCGAGCCTGAAAGACAACAGCACGATGGTCACTAGACTGCAAATATCACAATACGGTTGCCATTATTGATTTAATCAGAACTTGTTTTCCAAATGTTCATGTCAAAGCAAGAAGTTTGATTTGTTGACCTGCAGAAAAACAATTGGTACTGTTTTGATAATTTATTTAAGTGATTTTTCCAATAAAAAGCCAAATTACAACATTCCTGAGCTCCAGCTACTCAAACGTGAGGGCATGTCATTTATTGTTTGTAGGGTTGGGTACCGTTCATAATTGAACCGATACGGTACCGGTATCTGGAATTCGGTACCGGTACCAAACAGCACCTTATTTTGGTACTTTTTAACCCTATGGGCCCTAGGCCTTTTTGGGGTATTTTTACTGCCTTTACTTTTAAGCTCATATCACAGTCATTATAAAGGCTACATACACATGCTATATCTTGTTTTTTTCAGGACAATCTGGGCTAACCAGATTTGCCATCATTTCATGTTCTTCTATGTGCCTGTATTTTATATTAATTTTTATATCAATGAAAAAAACAAATCTGTGTGCCTAAATTCTTACATTTTTACATGTATCTCAGCATAGCATGTTGGAAAAAGACATATTCTGCCATATATGCAGAGGGGAGACTCTCTGGAATCTGGCAATATAAGAACCATGATGCTGGGACATTCTGTCACTTCACAGCTGTCCAAAACATGTGGTTTGTGCCAGGCGGACATGTTTGCCAGTATTTTTTCATTATTGCAAGAAATTCCATTGAGTCATTCACAAGTCAAAAATGTGTTTTATCTGAAAGAAACATGCAATATTTACATCTAAGATCATAGAAAAATAGTCAACCAAGTGCAATGATGTCCCCCAAGATAATATTTGTTTTTCAGTTTCAGTTATATATTGGGGGGACATTTTGGGCATTGGTGGGGGGGCACGTGTCCCCCTCAATGTATATGGTGACTACGGCCCTGTCAGCATGCATTAGGCTGCAGTTGTCTGGGTGCGCAAAGGTGAAGTGGCTGGTCTTGTCATACAAAGTTTGAGTGTCAACTGGACAAGATGGAGATATTTGCATCTTGAAAGCCAGACTACAAATGTGGATAGACAGGGAGAAACACACGGAAGCCTAAGACGTGGTAAGATACGATATTCCTCACTATATGAAGTGACTGACAACAAGATCTGTATCATGGATTGTAAAGAAATTCGTCAGGTTTTTATTTTGTAGACAATTGATCTGTATTTATAGCGTGATGAGATGACAGCACAATGATGTGTGTGGTCCTGCGCTTTCATGTGATATGCGTGGCATTTCTGTGCGAGCCTGCGTTCGCGAGTAATCCATCCAAGAGTAACATGTGTGCAAAGCTGTATGAAAGCTCTGTTATACATCATTTTATTGTAATTTTTCGCTGTGAAAACATTGGATTACCGACAAGTGCTTGGCCTTGTCGGAAAGCTACAATTCTGCTGTTTCCGCTGATATGCATGGCTTCTCGCTATGACGCACGGTCGCGGAGAAAATCCACAGAGAAGAACGGGTGTGAATTTGGACACACTATGCGTCGTTCGGGCCCATAGTCTAAACTTCTCAGTTTCAACATTTTATTGAGAACATTTAGGAACAGTGCTGCACGTTAACTTTTGTCTGCACATTGTTTTTGTCGCCATTGTTGCTGAGTCTGAGGTGAGAGTCATGCGCTCTCGCACCGCCTCCACCTCAGGTGCCAAAATTTGGCACCGTTTCATTTTAAGTGAATCGGTACTCGGTAGTACCGACGTGAACCGGTACCAAGTACAACAAGTACCGAGTTTCAGTACCCAACCCTAATTGTTTGTCATATTTGATAGTAAATTAAATATTTTTAGGTCCTGGAGAGTTGGTTGGACAAAACAAGACATTTGATGACATCACTGTAGGCTTGAGGGAATCACAGTAGGACAATTTTCTGACAGCAGGGATGCATATTAGATTATCTGACGACATCTGATAAGCCGATATTATCCAACTCATTCTGGCCGATTGTCAACACTGATAAATGCACTTAATTTTTTCCACCCAACTGCAGAGAACATCAAGTCTCTTCAGCAGTGAAATTAATGTATTATTACTCCTACTCTTATCTTGATGGCCCACTGGCAGATGTATATCAAAATGTAAGGCATTTCAAAATGTATACATTCACTGGGCAAAATTGAAATAGTACTTTGACTTAGGTTACATGTAAAACACGCCATATTTATTTGTATGCAACATTTCTAAACAAAACAATCGCCACAACCAGGACTAAATCTTAACTATTACAACTAATTAAAGTTGCATAATTAAAGCGTCATCTTATCAATGGAAATGTTCATTTCTTGCCGATGCCAATACTTCCTTTTAAAGCCTTTATCTGCCGATAATAATGGCATGCCGATATTGTGTATCACTAACCAGAAGGTTTGGGACTGTCGGTTAGACAATTCAAGCAATTTGCTGATGAACTCTTAAAACTTGTGATTGTTTTCCACTATTATTTTTAAACCTAAACGATTAATTTAAAAGACAAACAACAGATAAAAACTGATCAAAATAATTGTTACTTGCCACCCTGAACATTACATAACAGGATACTCCATTCTGGTCAGTTACAGCTTTGACCTACATAAGTGTCTAACCAGCAAATGTCATTTGGATGATCCCCTTGACTCTGTGACAAGTGGAGTGAAAACAGTCGACTGCAGGATACAAATGGCAGCCCTCCATCTGACAAATTCAACATCATTATACTCTTAAGTAATGCCAAACTCTAAACTTACTAAAACCAAACCTAAAGTCAGTGTAAACCTTTAAATATCCCTGCTGTGGATGACTTAAGATTTAGTCAGTCTCACAGTAGCATACTTTCATTCACTTGTGATATTACTTTTTGTTCTTCTTTATATTTGTGCAGTAACATCAACTTCTCAATGGCTTTATATTTAAAATACATCCATCTATCCTTGGTATGTGAAATTTCCATCTTAAAGTAGGCTGCACTGACTTCAAATCCAGGTCAAGACGGGATGCTCCCTAATCCGTGGGAGTGAAGTGATGGGACGAGCAGCTAAATCAACCGTAAACCATAAAACCCTTCAGCACAGCCACCTTTCAACACAGGGAATGTGCTGCTGATTCACACAGATAAACAGAATACCACACACAGCTTATATGTGTTCTGCAGCCGACACCACAAGTGCATACACATAAACAAATAACAGGGAAACTATTGTGCAAAAAAAATGTTCCTGTCCTGTGTTGTGACACATTTGTTCAGTAGAAGTCAGTGACTCTTCTGCTTTAACACAATTCAAGTAATGAGCAAATACTTGCTTACAACCTGCATCTATCTTTACATTTCCTGGAGCAGCTGAAGTCAACCTGAGAACTAAACCAAGAAAAGGGAAGTTCTGGACTGACTGTTCAAATGTGTGATGCAGCAGACGCCATGAGCTTTAACAACCTCGCACAACCTTTGACTGGAGGAAGGAGCAGTCTGGCATGTAGCAGACCTCTAAAGAGACCAGATCTGACAGAAGATCAATCATCATGTCAAACCAAACAGGTGTGCCTGGTGTCTACATAGATCTAAGGCTCAGCGTACTGTAGTGAGAATGTAGACACTGAACAGTGACTATGTTTGAATGCACACTGGTATTTCACATGCATGTTCTGTTTGGATCTTTTCAGTTAGACCTGTTTCTGAATGAAGCATTTTCCAGTTGAGACATGTGGGTTATAAGAGTAGTATTCTACTGCGTCTTGCCTGTTTACGGTCAGCTTTATGCGCTGTCATGAATGTGATGTACACAAACTAACTAGGCAACAGTTTGAATGGCTGGGGCAGAGATGCATACCAAGAGAAAAGCCCATATTTCTAGTTGTAAGGAAAAACATAGCTACTATTAAACACTGTGAAAGACTTGGACATCAACAAGTTTTTGTATATGCACAAATATCACAGCTGTGACCTTTTCAAGAAGATGGTTAAATGAATGAAAGAGGGAGGCTTTGTCCACAGGGTCAAACATGTCTGCCACCGGTGGACAACTTTGAAAAACCCTATTCTGATACAAGGACGCAAAGTGGCACAAGCTGCTCAAGGCGATACTTTTTTAAAAGCATAAGAAGTTGTTGCGGCACATTAACCAGAGTAGGCACTGCTGCATGTAAACAGGAATTCCAGTGAAATATTAATCTTCATTAGCTATGTAAACGGGCGGCTGTGGCTCAGAGGTAGAGCAGGTCATCCACTAATCATAAGATCAGCGGTTTGATCCCTGGCTCCTCCAGTCCACATCTCGAAGTATCCTTGAGCAAGATACCAAACCCCAGTTTACTCCCGGTGGCTGTTCCATTGGAGCGTGAGTGTGTTAAAAGAGTAGCAGGTGGCACGTTGTTCGGTAGCCTCGGCCACCAGTGTATGAATGTGTGTGTGTGAATGGGTGAATATGACACATAAGCCCCTTTTACACTGCCAGATTTTCCACAAATGTTGGGCCGTTTAGACACACAGAGCTGGACTGGCGAGTTGATCCAAGGTGCCCAATTTTCTGCCTCGTAGGGTAGTCATATTGGCGTAACCCTTTGGGTTTAAATTGGCCGAGGCGCCCTTCCGCAAAGAGAGGGGCTGATGAAAACTTGTGGGAGGAGCTATTGATGACGCCGCACATGTGAGCCACTGACGGTGGATAAACAGGAAACAGCTGATAGCAGGAATTAGTGAGCAGCTAGTAGCAAGAGGGAAACACAAACCTGACAGACACTGTAAAGATGAGCAACTGAGGAAACAAAGAATTGCGTGCCCTCCTTGTCCTCACAAACAAAGAGGCCATTAACCGTCAGATGACGGGGACGGTGAAGAACGGGCCGACTTACGAGAGAATCACCGAAGGACTGACCAGCCGTGGCTTCCCTCCACGTCACTGTTTACGTCACACACTGAGCTACACGTTTTGTTACTTGCTCACGCCCCCATTGCCCCGAAAAAGGCACATTCTGTATAAACAAAAGTAGGCAGGCGGCATTTTGCTGCACTCCCTGATTTTGTTTTTATACTACCAATGCTGAAAGAAGACTGATTGGGCTTTCCTGCAAATTTGCACAATTCCTGTTTAAAAAGGGCTATAGTGTAAAAAAAACGCTTTGAATGGTCAGAAGACTAGAAAGGTGTTACACAAGTGCAGGTCCATTTACCAAGTCCATGTAAACAGCTCATTTTCAGAGTAAGGACAAAAAACAAAATACTTGAATGTGCATGTGAATGTAGTCATTGTTCCTTACATCCAAATTCAAACAGCTTAAAGATCTTGCACACCACAAAAGGCTTATTGAGATTTGTAGGATCAAAAAATCTTTAAACTCTTGACCAAAACACTGCTAATGTAGTTAAGACAAGTGACTGACAATGTGCAGGACTTTAAGGTTCCTTCTTTGTCATCCACATTTGACACGAATGCTGACAGAGGCAGAGCTACTCAAGTATCGATACTCCAATTCCCTACATTACTGACCATTTGTGTGCCGATCCTTACAGGAAAATATGTAAAAAGTACTGATTCTAGAGAAAATTCCAGCATATAAAGGGATACTGTGGCAACACACTACACTGAGAACTAATTGTATGACATTATAATGATGATAAATGAATCATTATCACCAACAATATCTGATTCTCAAATTAATATAATCAGATGTAATGAATCATCTGCGGCATGGAATTCTGTGCCCAATCAAAGTCACAACAGGCCGCAGGAGGACTTTTTTCCCCAAATTGAGGTGTTTCTGCTGTCAGTGCGGCCCAGAACACACCCATAGTGAAACGCATGTTTAGACAGGGGCCTGATCATATTTCAGCCTGCTGCAGCCCTCGGCCTGCGAGCTGTGGGAGAATACCAGGCGCAGCATTCCACCAGTGGCCTGTCTGGGGGTGGGGGCTGGCCAGAGAGGCTTTGTATGGAGAGGGACCATGACAGGCTGTCTGAGCTATCACACTCTGGATCAGATGGGTCGTCTGTTTATCTGTGGCAGATGGATAAACACTAGAAATTCTGCAAAACACACCTCCCTACAGCCAGCGGATAGTGGGGAAAAATGTGGATAAATTATCTTGTTTAGCTAGACGGTTTCTGTGTAGACTTCATTCATTTTTCTCATATCTCATTAATCATTCCTGCAGTAATTCTCCTCCAAAACTGCATCCATTTGATACCAATACTGCCATAAAGCAACATTTTCTTCAGATTTTATGCAGTCATTTGTAACTCTCTTGTAATAATTTGTTAATTTGAGTTTTTTTCTGCATACTTTGAAAGGTTTTGACTCTGGGACAGTCCTGTTTTGGCAGTCGAGTCTGCCTGTGGACTCTGAAATGATTGCAAATGTGTACATGGTGCTGTCTGTGAGTGAAAGACTGCACTCTTGCACAATTTCATCAGAGTAAACTAAAAATATTTGGATGAAAGTGGAAGGGCTTTTAAAGGCAGCAAATAAATTTAGCACATGAATGGTTCCTTCTTTCTCCACCTTAGTCATAATAGTATCTATAATCATGGCAGAACTGCTGCTCCATCATACATCCTGCCATTATCTAAGTTTCTTTACAATTATTTATGTACAATATCAGTAATTCTATTCAATCACTGATAGGTCAATATCAGTTTTGGGGAATGACTCACCCTGTTTTCATACATGCTACTCACAATGGGTAACATGGTCTCCACAGAAGAAGAAAAAGTGATGTGAATAAAATGGACAAGCAGGTACAAGCATCCACGGTTTGCCTCACTTAGCACAGTCAAAAACGAGTTCGGGAAATTGTTTCAGTTCACCATGATGCAGCTTGCATAACTAAGAAAACAATAATAGGGCTGCAACTACTATTTGTATTATAGATTATTCTGCAGACTTTATACTTAGTTTAAGTTGAATGACCTACAGTTAAACATATATTTCACTTACTATCATGAAAGAAAACAGAAAGTAGTTAATCCTCATGTTTGAGAAGGTGGAACCAGCAAATATTTGTCATTTCACTGAATCAATTTATCTATCATTGCATATTCTTTTTTTCATTTAATCTACTTCTAGTCAATAGATCTAATTACATAATAACATAACATACAGAGCAATGCAAGAAGGGCATTCACCTCTAGATCATATTACACAACAAAATAAAATAATTCAAAAAGAGCACTTCTTTAGAAGAAATTTTTGTAATTATTGAGTATTCTTTGGTGTTTTAATTATATGTTAAATGATGATATTAATCTGTAAGATCATGATGATTTCAGTTAGAGCTGGTCTATTTTCTTTGTGTTTTGTAAACTATGTTAATTGCTATTTTTTAATTTACAGCAGCTGCGCATTATGATGCATTATGATAGCATATTATGCTGTATAATGTGAATTAGGGTTGCAGCGCTTTACCAGCTTTCAAGTATACCATCATATAAAAGTTGCCAGTTACCATACCATGTGCATTTGCTTATCTAGCTCACCTTTATTTTAGTTATTTTTTTTTTTAAAAAGGACACTTTTTACACAAACTTCCATTAACAAAATGGTTTCAAGTTTCAACTGTTATAACCGTTCCATTTTTATTTCTTTAAGAGTCATTCTGACTTGTGATAATATAAATTCAATAATACTTTGATACCATGAAATTGTGATATTATCTGAGACAATTATCGTGCCATGAAATCTCATACCACTGCAATCCTAGCGTGAATGTGCATTTTTTGTGCTGTCACCATGTAAGTGGGCACAACCCATAGAGAGTAGCTGCTGCAATGCAAAAGCTAACAGGGATCTTAATGAAGAAACAAACTTATCGATTAGAAAGCACATGCTGTCAGTCCTCCTGACTTGGTGCAGGTGATGGCAGGAAACATCAGATTGATAGTAAAGAAGTAGATGCACTGCACACAAGAGGGCTGACTTGCTTCTTTTAATTTGATCTTCATTTGGCACGTTTAAAATGAAGATTAAATTAAAAGAAGAAGTAATTCAGCCCTCCTGCGTGCTGTGCATCTACTTAATTACTACTACTGTATGGTGACTTACAGTACGATTGCCACCCTGAGCTGCAGTTATTCCTAATAAGTGTATTTTAGTGGCTGATGAAGACTATCACAAGGGATGCAGAGCTTGGCCCTGATTCGACAGCTCCTGTCAAATGTGTTGGCCACATGTTAGCATTTCTTACAAAACAAACAACACTCTGCCTTCAATTAAGTCGATTAGTCATGTGATGGTGGACCAAGCTATCTACAGCTCTAATGACAGGCTGTGGGAATTTCACTGTACCTTGTACACGTCCCCATATGTGCCACTTCCCACCCTCTGAATGAGCTCGAAGTCATGCTGAGGGTTCCTCCTCTGGATCTCACCGCTCGGCCGGGGAAAGATATCCATGGTGGCTCGAACCAAACGATCCTTTACATTTAGTTGATCCAATCTGGCGGCGGTGGCTCGATGAAGCTGAGGTCCTGATGAGTTAATCACTGTTGCTCAAACTGTTCTTCTCCGTGCTCCATGTCCTGATACAGAGACATGAGAGAAGTTTTAGAGGAAAGGTGTAAAGAAAGGAGTATGAAAAGGGTTGTAATGGCAGCACAAGGTTGACAAGCATCTAATTTATGTGCGTCAATAGCAGCAGAAAAGATATTTAGTCACATACCGTGACATCTGTCAAACAGCCTAACCTAGGTATTTAATTCCTCTCACGCTACCATTCAAATTAAAGTTACTTAAACCCCCTCCTGACCACTAAAACAATATTAGCATATGTGTAACGTTAGCATGGACACTGTGGTCACCCCAGCAAATAGCCAGAGCCAGGTCTAACATGACTACTGGATGGGGTGAGTTAGGGGGGGGCTTAGCATCCAAGTCAGCTAACAGCTAAAGCTAGCTAGCAAACGTTAAGTTAGCTTCGCCGCTGCTTCCAACTTCAGCCGTGCCTACCTTTAACAATGCAAACACCGTGGACGAGTACGCCTTGCATTTTAAACCTGTCCCAGTCCTTTAGCGGCACTATGGCGTCGAATAACCGCACCAAAAGAGGAGGAAAGGGTCCCCCTTTGTTATCGAGGAAACAGTAATAAACTTGAGTTGGCTGTTGCTGTTCACTCCGTCTCCTTTGGTCCAACGGCAGCGCAGACGTTACAGTCGAGTTCGGTCCTCGCAGGCGTCAAGTTTGGCCGTTGACATGTCATTTCCCCCCGCTGACAGGTTAAGAGAAGGCTCACACTCGTATATGAAAGATTAACGATAAAACACGTCAATAAAGTCAAGTGCTACTCTTCAATTTATTCTCCCAAAAAATTCAGCCGAAAAAAGCAACAGTGTGTTGGTGCTAATCTCTGTGGAGTCGCAGCTACAGGATCCTGGTGCTGCGTTCAGGAGCTCCCCGGAAAATCGAACTGCTCAACAGAAAAATCAATACAATGTAAAAAAAACAACAACAACAACTAAGAAACAAAAAACAACAACAACAAAATTGAAAAAAAAATTCACATTCAATTTTTTATAATCATTTTTTATTATATCAATACAAAGGTAGTTTACTTTATTATCCCCACAGGGAAATTAAGTCATCACAGCAGCCCCATACATTAAAATACAGCAACAGTAATTAAAATGCAACAGCAACAGATTAAAAACAATTTATTATTATTATTATTATATTGCACCTTATATAACATCTAATACCTCATACTATACTATACTGTGCTATATCATAGTATACTATGTTTTGTTTTACCACATCATATACTACATTACATTTCTATTTGCTATATCAATACAGACAACACCAAGTATTATGACTTTTCCACTGTATATATCATTCTTGTGTACACTTTTTTAATAGAATACAGCTGCTATTAATCAAACAGTGTCACTTTACCTTGTAACACTGTCTTTACTTACTCTTAAATAATTCATATTTTTTTACTTCTACTCTTATACTGCTTGTATACACCTCTTATTTATTTATTTATTTATTTTATTTTTTATTTCTTACTTCTCTATTTATATGTATTTATGTCTGTCTTGGTGCTGCTGCAACACCTGACTCTTCTTTCTAATTTATTTATTTATGAAACCTTTATTTAACCAGAAAAACCTCTTGAGATTAAAATCTCTTTTTCAAGAGTGTCCTGGTCGAGACAGGCAGCAACATGAGTTACAGACAGACAACACAGAAGAAAAATGCAGAGTGAAAATGTAAAGCTCAAAAACAAGTAATGTAAAACACAAAATAAGATTACTACAAAGAGAAGCCAAAAGTATGTTAATATATACTAGAAATAAACAATAAAAATGCAAAAATGGCAGCTATACATGATTACAAAGACCAGCTAAGACACACCGTGACTTTGGCATACAGAAGATTGTGTACAAAAATCCTCCAGCAATGCTTTGAAACGGCCCAGAGGAACCAAAGAGTGCAATAAAAACGTCTTATCTTATCTCATGTTATCTTAATTGCTTTGTAGTTTGGCTGCAGCACAACAAAGATAAAATGATTTACTTTATTGCAAGTTATTTTGCAGTAACTTGTTTTGCACCGGCTACTGTGATTGATAGCATTTTGTGTGTCAGCCCATACATTTCAAGAGTATTGGGGAAAGTTCTGACATCCCCAGTGACTAAGCAGGCTTACATTTACTCAAGTACTGTAACTAAATGCAAGTCTCAAGTACTTGTACTTTACTTAGATATCTTAATGTTCTGCAACATAGTACTTTGAATTCATCACAATTAAAAGCAAAATACTGTATTCTTTACTCAGCTGTAGTGACTTGTTAATTTGCACCTTGAGATCTTAAATATAGTGCATTGTCATACAGTAAAAAGTACATAAAACAGCTACAGTCAGCTCCACTGTGGCTTGCTACAACATTAAAACGCTGCTTACATGTTATAGTGATCCTGTTGTGTACTATAACTTCATCACAGACTGTTTTTGCCTGTATGAAGGTACTTCTTCTGTATGTTTACATATGTAAATATTGACTGCAGGGCTTTCACTTCTAACTTATTTGTGGTATTCTACCTTTACTGATTGGTTGAGAAAGTAATTAGGAATTTAACTGATGTAAAATAACTGTAAAATCAGATTTAGATGTATTTATTTATAAGGACAACACACATTAATCAACATTTCTGTAAATGTGCCAGCGTGAGCCAGCTGCAGTCCTTTGGCAAAATGTTTTGAAACCAATAAAAGGATAAAAAAAAAATCACAGGACAATTCACAAGACAAAGACAACATAAAGACAGCGAGAGAGAACAGAAGCCATGCAAAGCAACAAGCAACAGTAGCGCATCATCAAAAAATAGTCTTGCAATCAAAATGTTACGTAAATAGTTCAAAAGTATGAACAGCTAAATGAACTTTTAGAAGTGAATATGCAGAAGCTCTACACTATATTAATGGATTAATTTGCACATTGATGATTGATCTATTAAATTAAAATGCCCTCACATATATTTGCTTGTGATAAATTAATACTCTTATTAACCTTTATTTAACCAGGTAAAGCTTATTGAGATACAGAATCTCTTTTTCAAAAGCGACCTGGCCAAGAGGCAGCAGAATTTTATAGTACAAACAGTAATACAAATAAGTAGCAATCGTACAATAAATAAAAATAAAATTATCACACTCTATAACACTTTATCTGCATACTGAGTTCTTTAACCTGTGATACTTTAAAGTGCATTTTGCTTAGTTTAGTTTATTTAAGAAGGGACAGTGCTTAATTACTTTTTCTTTTTTTTTAAATATATATATATATATTTTTTACATCTTGTTGCCAATCACAACAGGATGGACCCTGATTAGGCCTTCATCTTCTGCAACTGCCTGTTCTTTTGAAGGTTTTGTGCATATCTTGTTATGTATGTATATGTGTACATGTGCATACATATACCCCTTTTTTCTGTTTCTTTCATAATGCTGTATAGCAGTTTATACGTTGTTTAAAAACCAATAAAAATATTATTATTATTTATTTATTTATTTTTTAAAAGAAGGGACAGTGCAAATTAATAAATACACATGGTATAAAAATGCCAGAATTAGACAAAAGGCTATTTGTCATCTGTAGTCCCTTGGCCAAAATGTTACACAAGGCTACCTAAAATACAGCAAAACACAAAAAAAGCAGACCACAAAATAAAAAAAAAGAAAAGGAGTATAAAAGACTTTGAATACATCAACAAAACATGATTTTAACAGGATTTTTCAGTAACAAGAATGTAATGATCATGAAATTCTCGATTCAGTGCTAAAACCTGAGGACATACAATTTTAAAAGCACTAGAGGCAGTATTTCCATATTAACAATAACATTGCAACACCAGCTGCCGGTAATACAAATGCACTTTTACTTGTGTAACATTTTGAATTCATGATTTCTACCTCTAATTAATGGATCTGAGCACTTCTACCACCACTGCACGTCATATCCAGTATGTAGGTTAATTTTTTGTACAGTAGGTTCATTTCTGTACAGTAGATTTGTTTCTGTACTGGTTATTTACGACGCTCCGCGAAGGCAGCGTGAGCTCCATTCTCTGTGTAACTGCCGCCACCTTCCGGCGGAAGCTGTCAATGTAACTTCACAGTACCCTCAATGAAAGAGACTCGACATCAATTGCAACAGCCATACTTAACATTCTCGGTGGTTTCGCTCATTCTAGCACAATATCCGCTGAACCACAGTCATTTTTTCCGCATTATTCCTCCGCTACATCACACCGAGCGGCCACAACAGACAACAGCGCCCCCTGGCTGCGTTCACGGGCCCCGCATCACGCAGGGAAGAAAAGCTCCATCATCCTCCTGCGATACGAGCATCGTTTCGGTGGAGCTAGGGCATCCTCCCTACCCTTCGACACTCATGACTACCGATTAGGGCCGCTGATTAACGGACAAACAGAGGGGATATAAGGACAGTATAATGGCCAAACACCGCAAAGAAAGAGACAGCTGGGGTGAGTGTACGTACACCATTTGATATTTCATGCTCTCATTGACGCACATACATTTTTTTTCCTCCTTACTCCTGACTGTCGAGGCGAGGGTGTAAGCAATGCAGCCAATTAGATGTTTGTTTTCCACCATGGTGGGCTTGTTTTTGTTGCCTTAAAACTGCAACCACTGTTTTTATTTTCACCCTAATATCATATATAATGAGAAAATACACATTATTTTATATTTGTCACTGCATTGATGTCGGTCAGTCAAGCATAAGCAAGCACATATTGTCATCATTTGGGAAAAAAATGTGTACAATATGAGGAAATGCTGTGTCCAGGCTCCCAAAAGGCCTGAAAATAACCCTATGATCTCATTGTGTTTGCCACATTGAGCCTCCTATGATGCTCTGTGGTGCATCTGCCATGAAATTATGTAATGTTGCATCAGTAAATAGCTTGTCATGATTATCAGCATCATCTTTATACTCAGCTTCACTGCTATCATCATTATCACCCTGCACCACCATGATTATAATGACAACCAGCATCCTAATATGCACTGACATCACTCAACTTTAAATACAGGCCTGTGAGAGGAGAGAGGAAAGAGGACTGGATCAAGGTTGAGGGAAAAGAGGGGGAGAATGCTGTTTGTCATTAGTGAGTTTATCTGGTTTGACCCACTTTAAGCAGACAGAGCTTCTGACGTCTTCGGGTGGTTTTAAGAGCAGCAGCAACATGATCAGGTTAACCAGGCACAGGCTGGAGCCAGGCCTGGGCTGAGGCCTTTGCAGAAAGACGTGGAGTCGAACTGACAGTCCTCTTCAGGGCCTGAGAGGAAACCTTGGCTGATTCCTGCTTCAATTATTCACCGTGCGTTCTTGGCACCCGGCATTAATCTTTCAGCATGCTCCCAAATTTTGCTCGCTACTCCTTAATCTGCCACAGTGTCATTGTAACACTCATAGGCATGCTTAATGTGCAATTACATCCTTGAAATGAACATCACAGCCACACAGATTGGACCGAATGACGTATATGTGTGTGTGTATTTTCGTGCTTCTGTGCTCACAGGGTCAGACACTAGTTAGTGGTATATTACATGAATGGGATCTGGAAGCTGAGACTCCCACAGTGTTTGCATCAGGACGGTCATGCAGCTTGCACGCTCTATATGAGACAGCAGAGATTGGAAACACACTGAGTCACTGCCAGGAAAGCGCCAGAAAAAGCTCTGAATGCACATGATCTCATTGGACACAAACAGATGGGATGGATAGCATGGCGTGATTCATTATTAGTATTAACAAGCTTGCAGGCGATGCTATTGATCTGATGCTAACAGGAAGGAGTAATGGACTCAACTCTCCTGTTTCCTCCCCTTAATGGACCACTAAGTTTGCTTATCATCGCTGTGGATACGTCCTGGCCCATCACTCACTTTTATAATAACATTTTAGTCGACTTTTCAGGGTTCGTTACAAGATGGAAAATATCAGCAGCATCAACATGATCATTTCTGTGCATGCAACCATGTTTAAATAAATTAAAAATATGTTTTTCCTTCACTACTTCTCCATTACTGGGCTCTCTCCCCCTCTGTCTTCTCCTCCAGGGTCCCTCAGTGACAAAAATGTCTACGACTGGAGCTCAGAGGAGGAGGAGCCGGATGGACGGGCCCGGCCAGTGCAGGTGCTGCTGGTCAAAGACGACCACACCTTTGAGCTGGATGAGGCGGCGCTGAGTCGCATCCTGCTGGCGGAGGAGGTCAGAGACCGTGAGGTGGTGGCCATCTCTGTGGCTGGAGCTTTCCGCAAGGGCAAGTCCTTCCTCATGGACTTCATGCTGCGTTACATGTACAACCATGTAAGTGACTGCGCGGGCGATGGGGGTCACGGGCAGGTTGTAAAACAATGGGGCCCCTGGGTGCAGATATGAAGGAGAAGATATACTTTATTAATCCCAGAGGGGAAATTAAATTTTTTCACTGTTGTCATACACACACAGGCCCGCAATACACACACATGTACAAACAGGACCCGTGCATGTATTACATGGAGAGGTGTCAGAGCGAGAGGGCTGCCCGTGGACAGGCACCTCGATCAGTTGGGGGTTTGGTGTCTTTCCCAACCCAAGTTCTTATGGACTAAGCTACTGCTACCTACGAATCTCTCCTACGTAGGAGAGAGAGACACACAGACTTTTTGGTGGTTTTGCCTCTTTTTTTTTGTAGCATCATGCCTCTTTGTAGCTATTTTGTGTCTTTTTGAGGTAATTTAGTGTCTCTTGGTGGTTGTTTTGCGCCTTTAGGTTTTTATTTTGTGTCTTTTTTTTAGGTGTTTTCTCCTGATTTGTAGTTGTTTTGCCCTCTTTGTTAATTGTATTGTGTTTGTTTGTGGTTCTTTTACATCTTTTTGTGGTCATTTTGAGTGTCTTCCTCATCAGTACATCTTAATATGAGTAACATTATGCAGCTGAGGGCCAGGGGACCCACTGGCATTTTGGGGCCCCTGAACTTGTGCCACGTAGGCCTGTTTAGTAACACATTCATGGATGGGGTTTAGCTTTTGAATCTGGAGTGTCAGATCCTGGAGTGTGGTCCTCCTACCTTAAAAAATCTAACACAGATATTTTTTCCTGCTTTTCGAAGGTAAATGCGACGACCGCATGTTTAAAAGATTGGTTCTGACTTTTGTATATTGACGTTGGGCTAAAACGAATCTGCCATGAGTCTGCCAATATCAGATATTTTGCTGATACTCTAGTTTGTCTAATTCCTTTGTCCTAGAAATTCAGTTTTGTCACCGTGGAAAAGTGTGATTTAGCTTATGAACATTACTGACTTTTTTTATTTAAGAAACAAAGAACATGAGGTCGTCATGAATGTTACGAGGTCAAATCAGAGTACATTTTTCACATACATCCTGGTGTACAGTATCACACTTTTCTCAACAGCGTTTATACACAATCAATTTATCAATTTCTCCCAATATTTTGTACATTTTTCCATCTCAAGTCTTAAAATGAAAATAAGTCTTTCCATACAGTAAATTTGGTTTATAATCCCCAGCCATTGGGCCAATGTTGGAGGATCAACTTGCAGCCATTTGCGAATTATGGCGTTACTTGCCAAAAGTATCTTTAATAGCTATTTATCTTTGTGTGGGACAGTTTCAGGTATTCTTCCTAAGTATAACACAGCAAATGAGTAGATTACTGGACATTTTAAAAATGCATTTTGACTCAGACTTATTACATTTTTTCAGTGAATTAAATTTTGAAAGGGTGGCAAGAACATATTAGGATGCAGCACATAAATGGATGTAAATAAATTCATAAAAGGATAGGTAAGAAAATCTGAAAAAAGTTTGGAAATAAAAAGAGAAATGGAAAAAAAAATGTAAGGTTTTGCACTTTTTTGGTGAAGCTACAGGGATGTCCCCCAGACTATTGACTTGGATGCAGTGGCGCTCCCAAGAGGAGCCAGGGGAGGCCATGGCCCCTGTGGTAAAAAATAATTGGATGTATTACTTTCTTTAAGAGGCTGTGACAAGCTATTTTTTTTTTTAAAGCTATGAGTTTGTATGTTCTCTCCGTGTCAGTGTGGGTTTTCTCCGGCTTCCTCCCACAGTCCAAAGTAATGCGTGGGTCGTGGTCGATTGCACTGCAAGTGACTCGCAAACGTGTCAAGATTGTAATAATACACTTATTTTGAAGTACAGTGAATTTCCAGCACATAGCTTTTATTTTGAAGTGCCATTTCCTGCTGAACAGCTACAGACAGCTACTTCACAGAGACAGCAAAGTAGCACAATGACGTGGCCAAACGCAAAAATGACGCTGAATGTATTAATCTGTGTGGACCTTCAACTAATGACTAAGGAGAACTCTGGACCCCGTGGCTGGACCAGTTGGGAACCACAGCTGTAATATATATTGTGTATATACTATATTGTTTGTAGTTATTGTGACTGCTGTATAAACAAGGCAGATACAATAAAAGAAGAACAGCAGAGCACATACTGACCAGAAATCCCACTCTTCATTAAAAAGGATAAAAGATATTTAAACACTTGAACTAACGCTTGTGATCCCGCTGTGCTCAGGCATCTGAAGGCTGGCTCGGAGATCCAGAGGAGCCTCTGACCGGCTTCTCCTGGAGGGGGGGCTCAGAGAGGGAGACCACCGGGATCCAGATCTGGAGCGAGGTCTTCCTGGTGGACAAGCCAGATGGCAGAAAGGTGATGTCCTTGACTGTACACCATTCTCTAGAGACTATTATAATGCAGCAAGGTATAATGAGGCATAATTAAACATGACACTGATACTTCATTAACCTTCTTCTTTGCTACCTTTTTAAATATTTTTATTCATCTTGGCAACAGGTCTGCTCCTCACCTTTATATTCATACAGTTACACGCATTCACACGTACAAGCTGCTCAGGAAAACCACACCATAAGGAAGCCATTTCTGCATTTAGACACTTCTAACTAGCTGTGTTTACACTTACATCAGCCAAATGTCTCCTATCTTTAGTCTGCACAGACGGCAGCAGCAAAAACCAAAATACTACTCTTTGTCAGCTTTAAATTTCCTCCTAAATTATTGTACTTGTGTTATTTTTTCAAATCAGAGTAGGGCTGGTCCCTTTCATGATCTTCTCCATTTAAATCTCCATTCAAACCAACTGACTGCTTCCTCAGTCATTTTCCCTGCCTGTAACAGACTCTCTAATCCCCCACACACACTATTACAACTCTCTCTCCACAGTGCAGAGGAGGCGAGAGAAGCGTTAAGATTATCTTGCAGCACATGTCAGTGTCTTCATCTGTCTCGTTTCACAGGTTGCTGTGTTACTAATGGACACACAAGGCACGTTTGACAGCCAGTCGACACTGAGGGATTCAGCCACTGTGTTTGCACTCAGCACCATGATAAGCTCCATGCAGGTACGGTGACTTTCACCCGTGTGACCCAGCTTTGATTCAGTAAAGACATATGTGCATATTTATTTAAATTAATGAATATGTATGTTTATATATATATATATATATATAGCCGCTTTAGTCCAGACTAAAATATCTCAACAGCTATTGAGAGACATTCACGCTCCCCTTTAGGATAAACTGTAATCACTCTGGTTATTATAAAAATAATAATAATAATACATTTTATTAATAGGCGCCTTTCACGACCTTTCACCTTACAGGCAAAGATAGAGAAAATAACAGCAGATTAAAAAAGTCATCGAGATAAAGAATATAGTAACATTAAATAAATAAATAAATAATAACATAAAAACAAACAAATAATCAGCAAATCAAGTTTACAGTGAATAAAGTTCAGGGTAAATAGAGAATATGTGTGACTAGATGGACGGGAGTCAGACTGAATAGGCTATTTGAAAGAGGTGAGTTTTGAGGCGGGCTTTTGAAAGTTGAGAGAGAGTTGAGGGGACAGTGAGGTGGATGGACGAGGAAGAACTGACAGTGTGGGTGGAGGTGTGGATGTGCAAAAGTTCCGAGAGGTACAGAGGAGCCAGGTTGTGGATGGCCTTAAAGGTGAGGAGTAAGATCTTAAAGTCAGCGCAGTACTCAACTGAGAGCCAGTGAAGCTGCTGAAGGACAGGAGTGATATGATTGATGGAGGGGGTTCCAGTGATGATGCTGGACCAGTTGAAGTTTGAGGATAGACTTGAGAGGAAGACCAAAAAGGAGTGAGGTACAGTAATCATTACGGGATGTAACGAGGATGTGAACAAGAATGGCAGCACTGTGTGGTGTGAGGGACGGGTGAAGGCAGTTAATGTTGTGTAGATGGAAGTACGCAGACCAAGTGACATTATTAATGTGAGCTTGGAATGACAGAGTGCTGTCTAGTATGACACCCAGACTCTTAACCTGTGGGGAGGTAGGTTTGGTGGGCAGATAGAGCTGGGTGTCATCTGCATAGCAATGAAAATGGATGTTACATTTACAGAGGATGTAGCAGAGATGAAGTGAGTAGATGATAACCAGAAGGGGACCCAAGACAGAACCTTGAGGAACACCGGAAGTAACCAGAAATGGCTGGGATTTGAATCTCCTTAATGTTTTTGTTAAGTGCAATCATCAAGTCAAAATTTGATTTGTTCAATACTTGTTTATGACCACATATCTGAAAAACAAATTATGTCCCTGTTAGCCTAAGCTGTACATTGTGTTTATGGCAAATGTTAGCATGCTAACTCCCTAAATGGGGGTCATTCCTATGTTCCCAAGATCCTACTCTCCCAGGGTCCAATGGTCCCCAGCTCTATATAGCACATAATATGAACCTGAAAATTATGTTCCCCAGTGCTGTATTTGCTTAATATAACAAGGGTTAGGGCAGCGGTTCCCAACTGGTCCAGCCATGGGGTCCAAACTTCCCCTTAGTCGTCAGTTCAAGGTCCACACAGTTTAATATATTCAGCATCATACTTGCTTTTGGCCATGTTGTGTAGTTAGTTTGTTGTCTCTGCCAAGTAGCTGTCTGTTAGTCACTCACTCTACAGCAGGAAAAAGCAATTCAAAGTAAAAAGCTTTGTGTTGGAAATTCACAGGGCAAACTTGACAGGGTTAATTTTGACAGCTATTTTAGATGTAGTCTTAGTCTTGAGATGAAAATGCTTATTAGTTTTAGTCACACTTTAGTCAACTTTTCTTGAGTCAGAGTCATCATGTTTTCTGTATGTTATTTTTGTCTTTAAACTGACCCGGTTAAGCTAATTCATACATCAGAAACTCGAATCAAAGTGACAGGTTGGATAAAAATTTCATCCATCATTTATATTTAGCCTCGCTGTGCTCTCCTTTTATAACAACGGACTCCCCCTAAGGGGTGCACCCCACAGTTTGGGAACCACTGCCCTAAACCTAGATGGTGAACACGGTAAACATGAAACCTACTAAACATCAGCATGTTAGCATTGTCACTGTGAGATTATCAGCATGTTGATGTCAGTATTTAGCTGAAAACAGCTGCTTGCAGAGCCGTTAGCTCGGCTGTAGACTGTTGGTCTTGTTTGTTCTTTGACTGTTCCTTTGGTTTCACACACCAACATGATTTTATAAGTTGAATGTACTCTATACTTCACTTTTATAGAAATTACACTGTAAATGAATGATCTATTTCAGGTTTACAACATCTCTCAGAATGTACAAGAGGACGACCTTCAGCACCTGCAGGTAACGCTTATAAGTGTTGACATTAATGCATAACTGAGAGCACAAAGAGCAAAGTACAGATTTGAAACCTTTTTCCAACCAGACATGATGCATATTAGTATTAGTATACCACTGAAGCCATAATCTGAATGAATGCGTTCCCATAGTATTTCTTAAGCATTCTAGTGGTTCAGACATTCCTGTTGCTCTTTTATTTAATGAATACGGTACTTAAACTCAACATTTCACATCCTCACTCATGTTGTCTTATTTCAGCTTTTCACTGAGTACGGCAGACTAGCTATGGAGGAGACTTTCCTCAAACCATTCCAGGTACTGTAAATCATTTCTTTCCTCGCTGGATGGATTTGCTGATTGCATCCAAATGTCAGGAAATGACATTTACAAATTATTATTGGTGTTTGCTTTCAGCATCTTGAAATATTGGATTGAGGTTTGTTTGGAAGGACATTAACTGAGCAATGGAAAGTTTAGATAACCAGTTAAAAAGGATTCGAAAGTGTCTGTCACTCAAAAAATGCAGGGACTTATTTGTATTTACTATTTGAACATAATGTGCACTACAAGATGCCCATGTCAGTTTGTTTTTGATCTTAGTCGATGATCTTCCTCGTTCGAGACTGGAGCTTTCCATATGAGTTTCCTTATGGACAGGAGGGGGGCATGAAGTTCCTCGAGAAGAGACTTAAGGTCAGTGTCACCCACCCTGCTTTGATGTTGAACGTCTCACTGACATTGTTCAATTTTGAATGATTGCTGCTCTGACCTAAGTGAGGCTTGCTAAACCAAACTAATGCACTTCTGAAACTTGACACATGTTGTGGTGTTTGGGGTTTAAGATCTCAGAGAACCAGCATGAGGAGCTGCAGAACGTGCGCAAACACATCCACTCCTGCTTCACCAACATCTCCTGTTTCCTGATGCCTCACCCCGGCCTCAAGGTGGCCACCAACCCACACTTTGATGGAAGAATTATAGGTACACTTTTTTTATTCAGTGTCTCATGAACACACGTCTACCACTTTGGTTCACTGACATATCGTATCGTATCATATCATATCATATCACAACTTTTGGTGGTCTGCCATGATACTTCATACAGATTTTGTTGATCCTTGGACTTTTCTTTCAGTGCTTGACATTGACATTTTTGTTTTTGTTAAATGTCTCAGGGAAATGTCTCGGAATAATTGCAATGACATTTGGCACATACATTAATGTTCCTTTTAAGGATAAACTATTTTAACTTTGGTAATCCTCTGTCTTTTCATCTATCATAAAGTGCCCCAGGGTTGACGTTTTTCTGTAGGCCGACGCTGAAGTTAGCATCACACTACATGTGGGATTTTTCCATTGGATTTTGGATTATTGCTGAAAATAAACAAATGTTTATGATGCTTACACGTCCAGAAATGAACACCACTTTCATAATCACTGACGTCTAAATGCAGTTGCCAAGTGATAAGCTAACATTAAGCTATAAAAGAACTACGCTGTGGTCGCATGACCTAACGTCACTGCCATAACAAGATCGTAAAGCTGTGTTTGGCGCGGCGCGGCGTGATGACTTTCAGTAGTCTCATTTAGCCACTTGTTAGCAACCGCCTTTTTTTAAGACACATAGAAGCTTCAGAGTGTGGGATTTCAGGCTTCCAAACAAAAACCCATTCAAAAATCAATTGACTTTGAGACAAGGGAACTAGGAGTGGTAAAATGCTGACTCATTTCCAGGTCTTAGGACTCATTCCTGGGGCACTCTATTGGGTCGAAATTTTGAAGCTGGAGTGTAGAGCTTTTGTCTCCCCCCTCTGGTAGTGGGAGTAATTACACAAACACTGTCCACGTGTGCTTATGAGCTATGCCTGCAGGTGGGCTCGCCGTAACACCTCTGCCCCCAGGAGCGCTTTATTTAAGTCTTTTTTTAAAACTTTAATCCTTCCTCTAAAAGCCGAGTTTCTTTTTTTATCGGAAGCATCCCCTTTAGAAACTTTTCTTGGATGCCTTTTGGATTTTCTGCTGTAGCTTTCACCATACTACCAGCTGCTGCTCTGTTACTATGGTCCCTCCACCATTCCTGCTTCCTTTAGCTCTGACTGGTTGACGTAGAAAGCATTGCTTCTGATGCATCAGCACGGCAAAGTCGCCACAGACACCACAACTCCAGTATACTGCAAAATACAGATAAACATAGCTTTTCCTGGCAGTGATAGGATTAATTAGAACTGTGTGAACTCATTATGCGAGGGCTGTGACGAACCGTCATTTATATCCAATACTTTAGTTTATGACCAAGTACTCGCAAAAGCTAAAGACACATCAGTAATCAGTAATTAGCAAATGTTAGCATACTAACACACTAATGTGATTACCAACAACATAACCTGCTAAACATCAACATGTCAGGATGGCTGTTGACTTTTGATTAAAAGTCAGATATGTAGAAATTTGAATCAGATAATTTAGGTAATGGGCGAGTTGAGATAGTACACAAATGTACTTTTTACAATAATTCATAAAATGTATTAATCTGTGTAGTAAATAAAAAAATAAATGTTACAGCATGGCTCTGAGAAAGAACCCCACAGGTTGTAAAATATAGAAGGCATTAGTACACAGAATTATACACATACATATATCTACAGATCTAAACAACAGCCTGAACGTTGGAGGTGAAACAGGTGTAAATATGTACAGGAGCAGGTGGTGCACTGGAGAAATATTGCTCAGGGGGAAAAAAACACTGTTTGCTGCTCTGAATTGTTAAATCTCTCCCACATTTCTCGGACTACCACACATACCACCAGGAACTGAATGTAACAGAGCAAACAATGTTGAATTTCAGCTCATATACTGCACACACTCACCAGGTGTTGCCTCTCCTCCCCCGTCTAGAGATCGACGGTGAGTTCATAAACAACCTGAAGGTTCTGGTCCCATGGCTTCTCAGTCCTCGTAACATTGACGTGAAGGAGATCAATGGCAGCAAGATCACCTGCAGAGGCCTGCTGGAGTACTTCAAGGTCAGAGCACAGAACAGTGTTAATATGAAACACACAAACCAACACTGTACTTTCTTTTCGATATTGATTATGTTTTTTAATCTTAAGACTAAAACTTTACATTTAAATTATCAGATAAAATCAAACTGTTCGTTCTATCCCCTCTACTGGACATTAAGTCATATTGTCCTTTATTATGTGTGTTGATAACTAATAAAGAGTATGTTTCTGCACGACTGTGATTAAATTCAACATATCAATATTAGTTAAAGGGTAACTTCAGTATTTTTTTAACCTGGCCCCTAATTTCACATGTTTCTGTGCCTAAATGACTAATGGTAACAACAGCTTTTGAAACTGGTCCAGTATTGAGCGAGAGCCTGCAGCCACTAAACAGGCTGCATTGTAACCCTGTGGGGCATTTGTGCACTTTCAATTTATGTTCTCTAAAAGTGCTTGTTTTTGCCACTGACAGGCTCAGATTGTTATTCTAAGTGTCTGACTACATTATTAAAGGATCCCTACAGAGATAGACCTTTTTATTAAAGAATAAGATCATTTTTATTTAACCAGAAACAGCTCGAAATAACAATGGCCAAACCCACCAAACTCTATTTAAATAAACAGTCATTTTAGCGTGTATAGAGGCAACATATTGTCACATCTAACTGTGTGAATGAAGGGTTTATTTCAACCAAACCAGAGTTAGTTATTGTTGAACAGTGGAAAGACAAGCCAAGTTGGCTTTTGTGAGTTTTATTTTGTTTCTGTCGACTTTGAATTAAGTATGTTTAGTAATGATAAAAATACAGTTTATTGAAATAGAGTCTGGTGGGTTTGATGATGGCGATTTTGTGGCCGTTTCTGGTTAAACAAAAAGGGTCTTACTCTTAAACAAAAAGGTCTGTCTCTACTGGGATCCTTCCATGATGTTGACAGACACACTGAAAATTTACCAGCTGGCCACAGCACAGTGCAACATGTGACATGCATCAAGTACCATCCCTAGCACACACTGGACTGCGTCATGCTGCAGCCTGTCAACAGATGACCACGCAAAGTTATTACTACTTTTACTGAAAGATCTATACTTCCTCCACCTTTGATTGGGCTTAAAATCATGTGTGGAGAACCCCCAATTCAAGTTGATTTTTCACCTGAAGATTCAATCCCCAAAACTAGACTTGCTTAGCAATATCTTTTTGGCCATTGTCTTTATAATGACGGGATTATGGGTCATTTAGCTTGGGATATTTCTCGACGTCTTAACTCTTGGGATATTTCTTGACGTCTTAACTCTGTAGCAACAGCTACAGAATTCTCTTTATACATCAGTGCTGAGGAGAGGAGAGTAGAGAGCGAGTGCAGGGAAAAAGCTTTTAATTCCAGGGGTTGCGAGGCTGGAAATAGGACAGTGGCGTAAAGTGTCATGGGGTGGTGCATCAAGCAGTGCTTATGTGCGTCTTGCCGCCGCCAGTGTGGAATTGCACTTTGAAAATAATAGGGGCGTATTTTTTTGGCCTTTAGAGTAACAAGCTGAGCCTGTCAGTATTAAAAAAGTGGACTTAAAGTGGACTTAAAGTGGACGTAAATTGGCGAAGCACAAATGCCCCAAGTGATTACACTGCAGCCTGTTTCACCACTGTCAGCTGCAGCGCTCTCGCTCAGCACTGGACCAGTTTCAAAAATTATTGATCCCATGAGTCACTTAGACACAAAAATGTAGGAAAATAGGGTTTGGTTTGAAAAATACTTAAGTTACCCTTTAAATTAACCAGTTCTGTTACTTCTAATGCTTTTGTCATCCCTTTGTTTGTTTCAGGCGTACATCAAAATCTACCAAGGTGAGGAGCTGCCACATCCGAAGTCCATGCTGCAGGTACATTTTCTCCATCGTCTGAATATTTTATTGCAAGTTTTTAAAGTTATATATTTATATTTTATCTTATATAACCTTAAAATAAATGATGACTATTTTTTTTATCTGCTTCCTCTCAGGCCACAGCAGAGGCGAATAATTTGGCAGCAGTCGCGGCTGCAAAGGATCTGTACAACAAGAAAATGGAGGAGGTAGGTGAAAACAGGATTTTCAGATAGATCCCTATTTGTCTCCCGGCTGTCTAATCCTCTCACTGTCCCTATTCTGTACTGTTCTCAGGTCTGCGGCGGTGACCGGCCCTTCCTGGCCCCCAGTGAGCTGCAGGCTCGACACAGCAACATCAGAGAGGAGGCCCTGCAGGTGTTTAGGGGCGTGAAGAAGATGGGAGGCGAGGAGTTCAGCCGCCGCTACCTGCAGCAGCTGGAGGGAGAGATCGACGAGGTGTTTGTCCAGTACATCAAGCACAATGACTCCAAGAACATTTTCCACGCAGCCCGGACGCCGGCCACCCTGTTTGTGGTCATCTTTGTCATGTACGTGGCTGCGGGCATCACGGGCTTTGTGGGCGTGGACATCATTGCCAGCTTGTGTAACATGATCCTGGGCCTGGCACTGATCACTCTCTGCACCTGGGCCTACATCCGGTACTCCGGGGAATACCGAGAACTCGGCGCCGTCATCGACCAGGTGGCTGGTGCACTGTGGGACCAGGTAATTCAACGACAACATAAACATTTATGAAGTTAGGAATAAATCTGTCTGTCTTACTTAATCAATATTTGAATCAATACTCAACATGTTTAAGTTCACTTATTAATTATGCAGAATCCTCAGCAAGTTTTTGCAAACTGGACAGGAAGATAAAAATTTCTTCATATGTGCACAGACACAGACAAACCAAACATGGACTAAATTAACACACATCACGACAGTAAAGTCCCATGTCCTAAAATGAGTACTTCCTAATTAACAGCGTCTTAGCTTGTTGTTGCTAAAATTGGTCAAATTTGTTGCCCTATCAAACCACAAACATTACTTTAGAGAGGCTGGAAGAAGTAAATCTTTGCTATTTTATGCTTTAAAATGTTCCGTTATTAAAACCGCTATTAAAATGGATAGATTTTCTGTTAATTGACCTAAAAGTTAATCAACTAAGAGAATAATCTGGAATACACCATGTACAGCAGAGACACATGCTGCACAGTCAAGTGCACATGCAGTATTTATCTGTGACATAATCAAGTGTCTTTACACCACCAGAGGGCGACAGTCACCTTTAAATCAGTGACAGAGAGAATGAGGCCAGATCCATTTACAGTAATAGTGAACTGTTTTTGAAACATGATTTATGTTGTATATATATATGTATGTTTGTGCTCACACTATATATTTCTTTTCTTATTAATGCCTCTGCAGGGGAGCACAAATGAGGTAAGTGAAGCAATCCACGTGGGAATATTTACAAAGGATAACAGAGGCTTCTTTTGGGAGAGTATTGATGAGCTAATGTCATTTACATCCTCACAGCAACATATACAAATAAATACAATAGTACACACTTTTTTTTAACTTTCATGGGTCTCTTTGTCGGCTTTTTGTCACTATCCACATTGCTCCCAAACTTGCTCTACTATATCACTACCCTGATATCATCTTAAAGGGACAGTTCACCCCAAAATCAAAAATACATATTTTTCCTCTTACCTGTAGTGCTATTCATCAGTCTAGATTGTTTTGGTGTGAGTTGCTGAGTGTTGGAGATATCGGCCGTAGAGATGTCTGCTTTCTCTCAAATATAATGGAACTAAATGGCACTCAGCTTGCGGTGCTCAAAGCGCTAGAGAAATACATTTGAAAAACTCAATAGCAATGTCTCTGTCTAACTTTCACTCCCACTTCTCAAATACCTTCACACTGAGGCACCTTCCAGTGGCTGAATGAGACACACCAGGCGGCAGCATTTCTGTGATGCAACAAACTCTGAGAGTCTGTATGCATCTATGAATGAAACCTGTACATTTTCTGTGGAAAAATGGTGGAAGGAAACCAGAGTGTCATAGTTAATGTGTACAGCCACTGTGTTGGTATTAGATGAGCTGGGGGGGATGTGTTGCTCTTTCCAGAATTCATGACCCAGTTACTCAAGATAATCCACAGACCTTGTTTTGAGCAGTTTCATGTAGGAACTATTTTCTTTCTACCGAACTACACTTACCAACTGTATCACTGCTCAGAGGGAAGCGTGCATCTACTCAGGGACGAGAGGCTGGTGACAGCGCAAGATGTAAACATTAATGGTGTTCTCCTCTGCTGAGCTATAACCAAGATTACAGTTAACTAAAACTAAACTAAAAACTAGAACTAGGCGTGAAAAAACATTTTAGGTTGCTGAAATAAAAATTGAAAACTAAAACAATATGTTTACATAACTAATTAAAATAAAGGTAAGTTTTATTCTCAGTCAATGTGATCAAATCTGTCACAAAACAAGCAGGAGGAGGCATTGATATGTTCATTTAGGGGCGGATATCTACAAGACGGTGAGTCAATCACCTTCACAAAGTGTTGTGCTTGTATTGTAATACCTATAATGAACTTTTTAAATCTTGCCCCTGAGAAGTACCCCCCAAAGTATAACAAAAAAACCCTAAAACTAATAATGAAACTAATAAAATGAAACTAAAACTTCAGCATTTTTAAACAATGAAAATTAAAGTAAAACAATAAAACCCACTCTGGAAACTAACTGAAACTAAACTGAACTGAACTCAAAAAGTGAATTAAAAATAAAACCTAATGAAAATTACAAAATTCTAATAACTCTGACTCTGTAACATTAGTTTGCTGAGCTAGCAGTAGATGCACACATCCTTCTGCGCAGTGTAGTTTGGTTTTTATTTCAGTTAAATAAAATGTTTTATTTTCCACACCTAGTTTTAGTTTTTAGTTTAGTTTTAGTTGACTATAATCTTGGTTAATGTTCAGCAAAGGAGGACGCCATTAACATTTACATCTCACACTGTCATGAGCCTCTTGTCCATGAGTAGATGCACGCTTCCTTTTGCGCAGTGATACAGTTGGTGGGTGTTGTTCAGTAGAGAGAAAATAGTTCCTACATGAAACTGCTCACAACAAGGTCTGTGGATTATCTTGAGTAACTGGGTCATGATTTCTAGAAAGAGATATTGATGTTGAGTTTTTCAAATGTATTTTTTGGCACTTCGAGCACCACAAGCTGAGTGCCATCTAGTTCCATTATATTGGAGAGAAGGCAGACCTCTCTCTGTTCTCCACCTTTAACCACCTCTCTCTCTCGTCTCTGCTCCACCAGGCTCTCTACAAGCTGTACAATGTAGCAGCCAATCACAGGCACCTGTATCACCACGCCTTCCCCGGCGGGCCTCAGGTGGAAGAGGTTGCAGAGGAGCAGGACAAGAAGAGGGACTGATTAGATAAGACAGAGGACAGCACGGACTTCCTGGTGATGGACAGGAGGAGGAGGGACATCCTCACCCATCAGGCACTCTTTTATCCTGGTATTGGCTGGTGCTGTCCACCAATACACCCACTACTCTAAACCTAACAACAGACTGTATAATGTTCATGTATCGGCAGAGCATCCTCTCAGTGGGCGCCTGCTCTCAAAGCGATGGATGCCATTTATCAGTGTCTCACTTTTCGTCTGTGATAAAACATCACCTGTACAGATACTGTCTCCCGCAGGAGCCCACGGCAACCTCCGGTCACCTGTTGATTTCACATATGACCTTTTTTTTTTTTTTTTTCCCCCCCTCCATCATTTGTCACCATTTGATGATTTTCAAAAGTATAGCCAAATCTGTGAAACCCTCATTTGTGACGATTGTTCTGTTCTTTGAAGTTTAGTGCTGTTTATAAGAAACAATATCTATCGACCTGCGATGTTTGAAAGCCAAAATATGTACTGTATGTTAAATAATGACGCGTTACAAGCATCATCAGCATGGTAAGTGGTTAATGTCTGTCATCTTTAAGCTCTAAATCCAGGTATACTTTATAAAAAGTTTTAATAGTTGTGACAAAGTGGTTATTGTGCCATAACATGTAAAAAAAAAATGGTTTCACATCTGCTGCAGCGTGGCTACATGCAGACACTCGATGGCACATTTATTAGTTGTATACAGTTTTTGTCCTGGAGGTTGATTTCTGCATCAGGGAGTCGCTTTGTGCTTTCAAATAACAGCAGCACCGGGTGGGAAGACAAAAATAGTTCAAAGTTTACACAACATAGCCGACATTATCTCTCACTTTGTAGTCTGCTTGCAGTTTTGTAATTACGCAGTGATCCTCGCTCTATATGTGTTTGGTCTTTGAGGTTGGGGGGGTGGGGATGGGGGTGGGGGGGCGTTTCTATTGTGATGTAGAGGTGGTGGGTGAAAACCATTGTTGTGTTTCTCTCTGAATGTTCGAGCAAATCCGAGGAATGTAGCTATTCTGTGGTCACTGAGGAATCAAAGCTAGTTGTTATTAGGCGGGGTGACAGCAGGCCTGCTTTGGAAAAAAAGAAAAAAGAAAAGGATCCTCATTCCACATCTCTTTCATCATCTTCACACACTTAAGTTGAATCATCTGTGAAAAAACTGTTGCATGGTGAAAGAAGCCAGGCCCCGACTTTTTGTGTGTATGTGTGTGTGTGTGTGAGAGTGTGTGTGTGTGTGTTAACAAAAGGCTTGTATTGGTGACAGCACTTTTTGGTGTTTGAATACGTTGGCTTCGTAGACTGTTACTGTACATTTGTGTGGTTATTGTTTTTAGCTCACAGAGTAACCCCCGAATCACAGAGCTCACTGTAAAACGTCTGCATCACACACAGCTGCAGCATTCAAGCTTTTTGTTTTTTCTTTCTCTCTCTGGTCACCGACAGTACAGGAACACTGTCATGCATATTTAGCAAGTTTATACTGAGGTTTGACCTCAAGGGTTGGAAATTTAAAGGCACTGCAGCAGAGTGGCTTCTTGAGTCTTCCACAATGTATAATCAGCATCAGTGAGGCCTTCACACAAAGACCCATCTAAGTCCAGTTTAAGATTCGTGAGGTTTGAAAATCCCATTTCTTCACGTTCATTCATGAGTCAGAGAAGTAGCATTTGTTTACATTGTGTTCCCAAATTAAATCATAGTAAAAAGATTTTATCTGTTTAAAGAGTATGTAAAAAATGTATCACAACATATTATTCTTGGATTTAACAATTCATTCCTGAAGCCGCCCCCATCGACACTTAAATCATCTCCGGATATCGTGGGAGCCTGAGTGTACTGAAAGGTCAAATGAATCAACCTCTTCCAAGTCGACACTGCTACGTTTCCGCACACGCATTGCAAAATTTCAGTTACAAGAAATAACTAATAAAGTTGGACCAAATTAATGAAAACTAGACTTGAGTTATTTCTTTGAAGATTCACCCCGGACATGTTTCAACACAAAAATACATTTGTTTGTTTTTTCACACAAGAGTTAAATGAAAATTCTCAAAAATACATCGACACATAAAGATGAGATTTATGCTTTACTGGCAACCCAATCGCCAAGGAAATGTTGGCATTCTTCGTTTCTGCAAACCACAAATGTATTATATTTGTACGTTTTATATCTTTCATACCAGCGTTTCTAAAGTGAAGTATATGAGCTGACTGTCATTAGGCGGAGAAGGGGGTGGTGGATGGTGAGACGTCTGCTACTGTTTGAGACCAACAAATAACACAACTGGGTGTTTTTTAGTGAATCATTTAGTTAGCCGTTGCTGTTTTTCCAGCGGGTATATATTGCCACGAAAAGCAGTTGGGGTTTTTATTAACAAAGATATCACTGTGTTTCGAAACAGGATAGTGCCATGAAAATTGGGTTTTACAAGCTCAAACTTTTCCTTATTTTAAAGGGCTTTTTTTGCCTTTATTATAGATGCCTTTAATATAGATGGTGGGACACCTACTGTACCACTGTTTGAGACCAACAAATTACAAAACAGGTTGTTTTTCAGTGAGTCATTGCTGTTTCCAGCAGCTTTTTAGTCACCAAACGTGGGTGTCTTTTCGCTAGCCCTTGCTGTTTTTCCATTGGAGATAATGACACAAAAAAGGTTGGGTTTTTTTTTACAGACATCACTGCGTTTTTAGACAGGATAGTGTCACGAAAATTGGGTTTTCCAAGCCCAAATTTTCCTTTTTTGAAGGGCTTTTAGTGCCTTTACTATAGGTGGAGGACGGCGAGATGCCTGCCACTGTTCAAGACCAACCAATAACAAAACTGGTAGTTTTTTAAGGGAGTCATTGCTGTTTCCAGCGGCTTTTTAATCACCAAAGGTGGGTGTGGTTTAGCGAGCTGTTGCCATTTTTCCATCTGGGATATTGCTCCGAAAAGCAGTTGTTTTTTTTTTACCAAGACATCACTGTGTTTCTAGACAGGATAGTGCCATGAACATCGGGTTTTCAAAGCCCAAACATAATCTTTTCCTTTTTTAAAAGGCTTTTAGTGCCTTTATTATAGAGCAGCTAGAGCAGTCGTTCTCAAATGGTGTGCCGCGGCAGATAACCACACATTAGTATTGCAATATTCAGCTGGGCCTAATCAAAAAATTATTAATTAATTTTTAATTGGCTGTATCAGAATGTTGCGTGCACCCATGTCCTAATAAAGAGGCAAACTCTAGCTAAAAAAATTTATTTAATTTTAAAAAATCCTCACAGAAACATCAAAACCCCTCATTTGCAGCCGGTGTGAGGGATGATAACATTTAAAAGAAGAAAGCTGTGAGTGGGACAATGGATCGATTTACTGTACAGAGCAAATTACAACAAAGCACCAGTGAAGACGACCTACCACTGAAAGAAAAGAGAAAAAACTGTCAGTAGACGGCATCACAAAATTTACCCGTCTTATGTTTATGGTCTTATGGTAAGAGTGATAACACACATTATAGAAGCTATTGTGCAAAGGGTAGTATTTTTATGGTGCTTTATAGAGGCTATAGTGCACAGATATAAATACAGGTGTGCCTTGAGGTTTTGTTTTGCCCTTGGGTGTGCATTGGGCACAAGAACTTTAAAACCACTGATCCAGAGAACAACAGGAAAGAGGGAGAGTCGGGGCATGACACACAGCAATGGGCCACTGGTGTCTGTGCCTACACCTTACCCTACGTTAACCCGTGTTTTGTTGAAACTTACTTGGCCGCTACATAATAATGTACAAATGTAAAGTCACCATGGTTTACAGAAAGGTACAATGCCAACAGTTTTTTCAGGTGATTGGGGTTTTAAAAACAGGATTTTTCAGTTTTACATTAGACAAGTCTTAAACTTGTTCGTGGTAAAGAGGCAACAGCTGTACAATCACGAGTATATTTTTCTTCACTGCAGACTTTATTGCTTATGTCCTGTATTTGCAATCCACAAAATCAGATATGTACAAACTGATGACACCGTTCTGACAAGATGTGACTGAGACCTTCTTGCATAGTGAAGGTCTCATTGAAGAGAGGTTCAAAACAAACCTATTCCACTGTTTGCTAATCAGACAGCCTGTAAGATACTCAGAAATGTTTGGATTTGTAATCACTCTTGAAAATTCGCTTTACGTAATGAGTGAATTGATTAGAAGCTAGCACCAGCCTGTACTACACAGGCCTCCAGCATGAAAAAAAAAAGTTTCAGAGTATCTTCAGAGGGGTTTAAGCTGATTGGTCAGCGATCAATAGAATAAGATCAAAAGAACCCGCGCTTCTTCCACACAAGAGACGTGTCAGTCCATAAAAATAAGGCATTACCAAGGCGAGAAATATCCAGGAAGAATGAAACAAGGAAGAAGCTGAATTGCACTTGTTTGGCAAACTTAGTGTGTCTTCTGATTTATAAAGTTCCAGTAGCTTATTTATGTTTCATTATACACACACACACACACACACACACACACACACGAGAATATTCCTGACTTACAGTAATGCCGAGAGCCAAGAGATGCTCAAACCACTGCATCAAATGTGATGCTTCATCCAACAAAAGGTCTTTAAATAAAGACGTGTTTCATATCAAAACTTAAATATCCGTGAAAGTTTTGGTGGATTGTCGTAGAAAGGATATGTCATACAAAAAAAAGGAAGGGAAATGCACACTTTAATGTAAAAGAGTGTGGTTTCAGTTTATGAGGGTTTCAAAGCAAAGGAAAAAATACTCATGAAGTATTTCATATAGAAACAAATTAGGAGGAGCTGCCAGTCATTTTTTCCCGCAGGAAAAAAATGACGGAGTCGCTGGTGTATACGAGACGTGAGCAGACATCGTAAAAATGCTGCGTTTTATTGTATTTAAAGGCACAATCTCAGGATGGTTTGGAACAAATATACGCAGTGTCTCGGACTCTGTTCTCCTCAGTCTTAAAAACAGAAATCCATACAGCGATTCAGTTCCCAGGGCAGCGGCTGTATATGGCACCAGAAGCAGTCTCCCCACATGTGGCACATTATAGGCTCGTCTTCATTGGAGTGTTTTTCAGTCACATGGTCATTCATAAATTGAGTGTCATATGGGGGGGACAGGGGCCCCAGCCAATGTGAGTCTCGACTTCCTGGCTGATATATTTGGATCAAGCGAAGGCACAGATGTGTTTGGTAAAGAGGCAATTAAGAGTCAATCATGATTTCAAAGGAAACCCTGACCACTCCCAAACTGTGGAAACCTCAGAGGCGTGGCACTGAGACGTCCCCGCTGCGCACACACACATCACATGTTCCCAATGAAGTTCTTGTTGGGCTGCTGGGCGTACCACTGCTGCCGCTGCTTGCGTGCCTCCACCTCAGACAGCAGCGCCTGCCGGTACGCCTCGTAGGATTTGACGATGTGTTCCAGCTCCTTCATGAAGAGCAGCTTCAGCATGCCCTGATACGTGTCCAAGTCTGCCAGCTGGAACAACTCCCACTTCAAGATGTGGTCATACCTGATGTCAAAGGGAAGATATTTATAGTACTTTAAAAACGTACTTTACGAAGTGTTGGACGTCAATAGCGCCCTGTATTATTTGTACCTCTCAGTCTATTAACTACAGCCTGACATTTACTAGATTTCTGAAGCTGGAAGTGATGTATCAAAGTTAAAAAATACATTAAGCACATAGCTGGCAATACTATTTTTAGACAGATATGGATTCCTTATATTTGTTTTTACCATTACAACCAGGATACATACTGAGTGCGACATTTTAACGTCAAATAAACTTGTCAGCGGTCTATTAGGGGTGGGGAAGAAATCGATACACAACAGTTTTTCAATATTTTTGTGGGGCATTATATCGTCACACAGTGCAGAGTATCGATTTTTTTATTACATAAATTATTAATATGACAAATACAAATTAAACTTTAGGTCGCCTACAAGAATAAAAAAATCAATTACTTTTTCAGTCCATCAGATACATTTTGCTGCTGGAAAAAAAGTTCAAGGCTCAAGGCTCAAGTGAGATGAACAGACTGAAAACTTTATCTTATTAAATAAAACAGATGGTGACAAAGTTTTTCTTTGGAGACACATTTTACAGTGGAAAAAGGGAATAAATCGCAATACTCAGCATATTGCAACCAATTTAAAATCTTGTGGTGATTACCCACCCCTACACCAAATTGCCATGGGTTTTAAAATAAATATGACCTCATGGCATATCAATCATGTTTGAGCACTGTCTCCAAAACTTTCATCTGTTGTGAACGTTTCCAGAAAAGGTTCGATGACCTGCGTTTTTTGCATCTGTCAAACAGTTGTTAGACCAATAAGCAGTGAAGAAACTGCGGCGTAACCTGCAGGACACAAATATCTGCAACAAGATAGAGGAACAGGACAGAAGTGCACAGCAGGTCAGCGAGACAAATAAGTGCAAATATATGGAAGCAATATCCTTGAAATCTTCGATTACAAAGAGAAGATAACATCAGCCCATCCAGAAATGCACAACAACAATGATGATGCTTACTGCCAGTGCAGTGTAATAGCCACATAGTATCCTTTTATAACATGAATGGCCACCGCACAAAATGCAGGATGTGTCAGAGAATGGTGACAGGCAGGACGGTAACTCCAGTGGAAAGAAGTAAGGGGGCAAATGTGTCTTTACATTTTGTCTCTATTGTGTATTTTTGCAATGAATAGAACAATAAATGCATCAGATTCAGTGTGCACGGTTTCTGTGCGTATCAAGTTTTATCAGATATTGACTTGATGTACAAAGGCTTTAAGTCATCCAATGACAAAGACACTAATACCAACATTATGCAATAAGCTAATATTGGTCGATATATCGGTCTAGCTGTTCTATACACGCCACGCACATTAAACATATTTCAACTGACTTCAGAGGGTGGTGACGCATATTAATATTAATTGGCAAACATAG